CACAATACACGCACGCGGCAACAACAGCACAGCACAGCGGTGTGCACCAGCACAGCAAACGTCTTGGTTGACGTTGAGCGGCGACGACATGACGGCGACAACAAATAAAAGTTGTACTACTACCATCTACCGCAGTTCACCGAGTACACCGAGTTCATCTCACCGTTCGCTTGCTGTCGCCTGACCCAATTCACCGAGTGCGCAGTCCACCAAGTCGACCCGGCCGCTACCTGGCCACACCGTCCCGCCCCCTTCTTTCTGTACCACTTGTGTCCTTTTGTGTATCATCTTTCTCATCCATCTTTCGTACATCCCTCATTACAGGCGCAGCGAAACCGGCGGCGACGCAGCCGGACACATCAGATACTGCAGTAGGGAGGTCACAAACACCGGCATCTCCAGTATCACCACCGGATGCACCACCTCCTCCACCACCAGCATCCATCACTCCCCAGGCAGAACCAGCACCGGAACCGGCGGCAGCGTCCAATGCAGGTTCTACAGGAACATCATCAGAAACAACACCATCAACAGGAACAGATACTACAGTCACAGGAACAGGAGCAGGCACGGGAGCCACTGTTACCAACCCCAGTAGCGGTGCGGATGCCGTCGTCGATGGCGGCAACGATGACCCTCCTCCTCTCAATCCACCCAAACCAAAACCGAACCCGAACCCCGATCAATCCGGTAGTAGTGGCAGTTTCAGTGATGCTGATTTGGCAGATGGAGTTTCTGGTGGGGAAGGAAAAGGCGGAGGTGCCGAAGTTGGTGGTGGGGAAGGAAAGGGAGGAGGGGGTGGTGAACAGGCTGCTGGCGGCACCGGTAGCGGAAGTGCAGGAGGAGGAGGTCGTAGTGGTACTGGCGTTGGTGCTGGTACGGGTGGTAGTAGTGGTGGTGGTGCAGGCGGTGGAGCAGGTGGTAGCGGCACTGAAGTTGGCACCCCTTCCCTTTCGCCTGGCCTCACATGGGAAGATGTCAAGCCGTACACCCCCGCGCTCATTCCCGCGGTGGTTGGTATCGGGATCATTGCGTTCTTCCTATGGAAGGTAAGTATACATGGCAATCAGGGAATGCCGCATGTGCCGGATGTTTATACCTCTGAACATCCCTACGGGCTGCAATATATGATCCTTCTTACCAATATACTCCTACACCCGCATTCATTCCTTTTATCCTACCGTGCCCACCCTGCTCTTTACCCCCCTTTTTCTGTTTAGTACTTTGCGTACCTCGCCAAACGACGACGAACATATCGAACCGTTCGTGACGTCCCGTCACCGCCACTCGACGACGACATATTGGAGCATCTACAACGCGGCGAGCCGCCACCCGATTACGGGTACACGATGGTTAGGGATACGCAGCCCGGCAGATTGCCCGCCCGACTACTACGCTCACCACGCGTGAATCGCCGCACGATCATTGAGCTACATCTAGAAGTGCTCAACGAATGTGCAGCGGCCGCGTGGGAAAACGTCAAAGACGACTATTTGCACATACTTGTGGCGGAGTTTGCGCGCGACTTGGCGCGGGACCCGATTATGTGCAGTAGAATCTTGGATGCTCCTACCACAAACGAGGGTTTATCAGGGATCAATGTTTCCTCCACCGTGGATCCAACCACCGATTCCGACGAAACGGATGCATGCCCACCACATGACCCCGATGCATGGACTTGTATGGAAACCACACAGTTAGCAACGGACCCTTGTCGTCCTAACGAAGAGGACTCCGATCCATGGAGTTGTATGGCAACTATACCTTTAGCAACGGGCCCTTGTGCACCGAATGACTGCGATCCATGGCGTTGTATGGAAAACATACCGTTCGAAATGGGCCCTTGTCCACCTCATGACTGCGATCCATGGAGTTGTATGCAAACTATACAGTTAGAACAACAACAGACTCCTGCTCCCCGTGCATACTCTTCCGACCCCGGGAATGAATGCACGATCCGCGACCACACCCATTGGATTAACTGGATTGACCGCAACAAGCACCTATTGCAGGACTGGACGACGCAGCCGTGGTTTCTGCAATTAAAAGCGGAATGGAAGCAATACCTGCTTGCACACATGGTGGCAAACCAGGATAACGGAGTATACGGGCAGCGTGAACTGGGTGCAGCGGCCACCCTGCCGATGAAGAAACTGCGGTTGTGGAAACAATGGGTTGCCCAACAATATCGGCAAATGAGTATGTATGGCCACGATGCGTGGTTTCAACATTTGTTGAATACTGTAGAGGAGCAGACAGTGCCGGCAAAAGGCGAAGTACCTATAGCGGAAAAAGGCATAGAAGTGGACAAAGTAATGGCCGCAGAAGATGTTCTAAGAGTGCGCGCTGCACCACGCAAGCAACTGCATCCGCAACCTTACATGAAAAAACAATTAACCGCTCAAATATGGATACTGATCCTGGCATTAGTCATAGAACAGTGCGCGATCGAGAGTAGCATGCAAGAGAAGGAGTTATATGTGGATGATCTATTGGACAAGCTCTGACATTCGGATGACGGGGCATATGAATGGGAAATAACGCATGCTAACCGTACACCACTTTTACTTCATTATGTGATATACATAATATATTTCTTGTTTGTACTATTCCATACCGTCTTTTTTTTTTTTCTGCTCTGTTCTGCTTACTTCTGTTTACTTGTGCTTTGTTTTGTTCTTTTTCTGCGTCGTCAACTTCTTTTAACATGACCATAGGAACAGGTGCGTACCGGTTAAAGGCATATAAAATGTAGATTTACATGAATAATATGAAGGGGTAGTATTCTCCTTTATGTGAAGTTAATTATTAACAGATGAGCAAGTGCATTCTAACGGTATAGTGCAGAACAAATATAGAACGCGCCTACGCATTCGAGTATAAGGCGAGATTGTCTCTCCGACCAAACGCGGCCGCGTACACCGCACTGTAGCCGAGTGCAACCACGCTTCCACGACGGATTGTGTGTCCGCGCACACGCGGTTTGACGCAGTAGCTGCGTGTAACACGGCGGCGCCTTGTCTGTCCGAGCAAACGCAGTTCGACGAAGTAGCCGAGTAAGCATTGTGCCGAGTGTAAGAAAGGAGGGAGAGATTGTCTCTCCGAGCACCACGCGTCGACCAAAGCGGCCGGGTACCCGGATGGTCCGCGTGCACAACGCAGGACCATTGTCTCCGAGCAAACGCGGCCGCGTGCAACACCGATTGCACGACGTGGCCGAGTGTAAGAAAGGAGGGAGAGATTGTCTCTCCGAGCAAACGTGGCCGCGTAAAGCATTGTCGTCGAGTGTCAGAAGCAGGGGATTGTTTCTCCGAGCAAACGCGTCGACCTACGCGGCCGGGTACACCACGCAGGACCATTGTGCGCGAGCAAACGCGGCCAAGTGCCAGACCGATTCGACGAAGTAGCCGAGTGTAAGAAGGAGGGAGACATTGTCTCTCCGAGCACACGCGTCGACCAAAGCGGCCGCGTGCAACACCGATTCGACGAAGTAGCCGAGTGTAACCACGATTCGACGAAGGATTGTCCGAGTGTAAGCCCGATTCGACGAAGGATTGTCCGCGTGTAAGAAGGAGGCGATTGTCTCCGCGCACCCGCGGCCAAGTGCAAGACCGATTCGACGAAGCAACCGAGTGTAAGACCGATTCGACGACGTAGCCGAGTGAAGCGGTTCAATTACGGCGTTCGAGTAAACGATTCAACGAAGTAGCCGCGGGAGGGACGGCGACCACGACGGCAGAACAAATTGATGTTGTTACTGCGCTGTTAGTGTAAACCGGTGCAGTAAGGGCGGTATTCATCACGCGTTGCGTGTGTACGGTAGTGTAGTAGTACTGTTTTTTTTTTCCTTTCTTCCTTTGTTCTTCTGCAGCAGGAAAGCGGAGGGACGACGGCAGGACGGCGGAACAAGCATTGATGTTCTTGTTGTTACTGCGGTTTGGTTGTGTACGCCGAGAGAGCCAGTGTGTGTGACAGGCGTTTAGTGCAGACCGGTGTAGAAAGGGGGGGACGGGGTATTCATGCTGCGTTGTGCAGTGTTTTTTCTATTTTTTCTTTTCTATTCTTTTTTCCTTTTTGGTAATTTACTTGGGGACATTGTTCATGCGTGCACCAGAGACAAAGTCTCCTCTGTATTGCGTACATGATGTTGTTATGCATTTGTACGGGTATGATGTGTGTCGTGCAATTGTTTCTTTTTTTTTTTTTTATTTCATTTATTTCTATCTTATTTTTGTTCTTCTTTTTACTCGTATTTATTATTTTTCGTTGTGCTGATCCCCCTTATGAATATAAGGATAAGGAGTAGAGATGTGTATATGTATATATAGGTTAGATGAATTGATGCATATATACCCCGTGTTAAAGTGGAAAATAGTGTTCCTGTCGAAACAATGTTAATGAGTAGTGCATATAGAGGATTACATTGGATATGTAGATATTGTACGTAATGCACTTGTGCAACATATGTAAGCGGGTACGCGCATTCTGCAAGGCATGATCTTTTCTATGTTGTTAGGCTGCGAGAAGAATGGAGGAAGCTTTAGCGAAAATATTGAGAGAGTATGCAGAGCTTAGAAATATACCAGCAGAGGGTGGGATTTATCAGGTAATCTCCTATACATACAGGCGGAGTGCGGCGCTGTGCACAAGGCAGCACATATGTGTGTATAAGCGCAGCATGCTAAAGCGCAGCAGCATGTCGGACATGTGCGTGCTTCATATGTACCGCAAGAGGCAAATTTACATGTAACAGCCAGGAACGGACACATATAATTAGATGATTGCAATGGTTGGTGAATACTAGTGTGCGACCACATATATATGTGCATTGTGTTAACCGCAGAGTAAGTTATGGGAAGATATACAAACACAACTGGAGCTTTTTATTACGGATATGAAAGATGACAGTGAGTACAACAATGCTAAGAACTGTGAGAATGCATACTGGCAGCATCCAAATGATGATGGACAGCCGAACCAACCACCAAGGGAAATGACCAGGAGCAAAGAAAGAGTTATATGCAGACTCATGACGCAAGCGATATACTTTGCGAACGCATGGAGTGACGCAGTAAGGAAAAACATAGGCCACGATACACATAGTCACGATATTAAGGGGTTGATGAGATGCACCATAGCGGATATATACCAAGACATACTCAGGACATATGCATGCGAGGGTCACTGGGGCACATATTACGCATGGTGGGTGGTGGACCACATGTGGCCAGCAATGACGGACATGTGGGGCCAGCAGCATTGTAAGAAGGGGAAGTACAGGGATATAGAATTGAAGAATTGGGACATGAGGAGTAAGATGAAGACATGGCTAAAGCAGGATGCACGCGTGAAGAAGAAACTTGCACAGGAACAGATAATCAATGGCTGCAAGGGAGGAACCGTAAGGACGAGAGCACAACTGCAGAGGGAAGAAGGTATAACACAACCAGAGGCTGGAAACAAGGAAGAGATAGAACTGAAGAATCAAATGAAGGCGGACATACAGGAAATTTTTGGCAACATGAAGACAGACATGAAGCCGAAGGAGATCACCTTACCGGCGTCACCTGCGCGAGCACCCCCGGGCCCTTCTGTGGTCGAGGCAGACGAAAAAGAGAATGCCGAGATAGAGGACCACATAAAACAAGCAATCGAGGACGCGAGAGAAGAATTAAAAAAAGTAATCGTTAATCCCGACTCGGAAAGAAAAGCAAAAGACAGACGAGTCGAGGCAAAACCAGCAGAAACAGCAACGCCGGAAACGACACCACCAAAGGCATCGCCAGGTAAGGACCGATGGGAGAAAGCACCAATACGGCACGCACAAATACGGCTCGATACGACCGCATATGGATACGGCCAACAACAACGCACACGCGGGGAGAACAGCAAACCACTTCGTTGAGCCGAGGTGTGTGTGCGGCGGCCACGACGGCATCGGCGATGAGCGTGTAGCGATGGAAGCGGTAGCGGTGACGAGGCACAGGACGAGGCACCGGAGACGGACGGAACGGGACGGCGGACGAGATGACGGCGACAAATAAAAGTTGTACTGCTAGCATCTACCCCCAGTTCACCGCGTGCGCAGTCCACCTCACCGTACGCTTGCGGTCGCCTGACCCAGTTCACCGCGTACGCAGTCCACCGAGTACGCCCCCTGCATCTCTCCATTCATCCGGCAAGTGTTACACACCCATGTGCTCCTATATTACCATCATTCTTAGGACAACCGGAAGCAGAGGAACCAAAAGAAACAACACCAGAAGCAGGGACAACTACAACACCTTCCACAGTATCAGTACCCCCATCAGATGCAGTCCTGGAAGCACCTTCGACACCATCATCACCTGCAGCAGGAAAAGACGGAACAGACCCAGCAAGTACAGGTAATGGTAGCACACACACAACATCGGACCCGGCAGCAGCAGCACCACCCTCCGGTAAGGAGACAGAAGGAAGTAACCATAGTTGTTCCACTGGTGGCACTGCGGGTACAGGCATTGTAATTTCCTGTGGGCGCGCAGAAGGCCCTGGTGTAACACCTCCCGCCAATCTGGACGACTTAATTCGTGGACCACCCGAAGGTAATAGTACTAGTGAGGGCGCAGGAACTGTTCAAAAAATTCCCCACTACGTGCACCCTGGTTCCAACCGCGTCGCCAGCCACCCATCAGCGACTGACTCACATTCGTGTAGCCGATCGATCGCGGTCAACAATGAGTGCTGCACCGTGTGGCCCACCCACAGCACCGGACCGTGTGGCAGACCGACCGTGTGGTCAACCGTGTGGTCAACCGTGTGGGCAACCATAATCATCGATCGCAAAGCTTCAGTTTCATCCATGTTCTTCTTTACCCCGGGGTACCCATATAGGAACTAACGCAGGGGAAAACAAAGAGACAACGGATCAACAAAAAACAGCAGCAGCACCAGCAGGCACACCAGCCGAACAACCAACACCACCATCAAAGGGACACGATACACCAGGAACACCAACAGACACACCATCAACAGTAACAGCACCAGACGGGACTAAGACTGCTAAGAACGATGGGGATCCCGCCGCCACTGCCGTCGTCGACGGAGGCAACGATGACCCCCCTCCTCTCAATCCACCCAAACCAAAACCGGCATCCGACAATCCAGATCAATCGGGTAGTAGTGGCAGTTTCAGTGATGCCGATTTGGCGGATGGAGTTTCTGGTGGGGAAGGAAAAAAGGATGGTGCTGCTGGGGGTGCAGCAGGAGGTGGGGATGGAGGAGGTGGCAGTGCAGGCGACCCCGGTTCCCCTGCTACAGGTTCTACTGGTCACCAAAACCCTGGTTCCTCTGGTCCAGGTTCCGCTTCGCCCGGTGTTGACACTACCAGACAAGGCACTGTACCAAGTGGAGGAGGGGCTTCTGGAGCAGGTGGTTCCCCTGCTTCCGGTGGCCAGGACCCACCGAACAAGCAAGTTCCACCCATCCTCCCTCTTCCCTCGAAACCCTTCGACCCTCGAGACCTTATCCCGTACACGCCCGCGATCATTCCCGCTGTTGTGGGTATTGGGATAATTGCGTTCTTCCTATGGAAGGTAAGTATATATGGCATTCCGGGAATGCCGCATGTGCCGGATGTTTATACCTCAGAACATCCCCACCGGCTCCAATATATGATCGTTGTAACCCATATACTGCTACAGCCGCATTCATTCCTTGTATCCTACCGTGCCCACCTTCCCCACTCACCCCCGTTTTCTGCTTAGTATTTTGCGTACCTCGGAACAAACACGACGACGAACATATCGAACCGTTCGTGACGTGCCGTCACCTCCACTCGACGAAGACATATTGCAACATCTACAACGCGGCGACCTGCCGCCACCCGATTTCGGGTACACGATGATTAGGGATACGCAACCTGCGTCCGCTGCCGAACGCCGCGGACAACGCTCACCACGCGTGCATAAGCGTACCATCATCGAGCTACATCTAGAAGTGCTGCACGAATGTGAAGCGCCAGATTGGGAAAACGTCAAAGAGGACTATTTGCAGATACTCGTGCAGGAGTTTGCACAGGAGTTTGCGCAGGATATGATACGGGACGGAAAGGGGTATAGTAGTTCCTTGCATGCTCCTATCACAAACGAGGGTGTATCAGGAAACACTGTTTCATCCACCTTCCATCCACCCACTGACTCCGAACAAACGCACACTTCTCCACCGAATGACCCCGATCCATGGAGTTGTATGGAAACCATGCAGTTAGCAACGGACTCATGTCGCCCTAACGAAGAGGACCGATGGAATTGTATGGAAACCATACAGTTAGTAACGCACCCTTGTCCACCTAACGACTGCGATCCATGGCGTTGTATGGAAACTATACAGTTAGAAGAGGAACAGAGTCCTGCCCTTACAGGTTCCGAGGACGCGACGTCGGCGTGCACACAATGGATTAACTGGATTGACCGCCACAAACATATTGTGCGGGCGTGCACGACGCAGCCGTGGTTTTTGCAATTGAAAGCGCATTGGAAACAATACCTGCGTGAGCACATTGTGGTAAACGAGGACAACGGGCAGCGTGCCTTCGGTGAACACAGAAGTATTGGATGTGTGGAAATGAAGAAACATGCCTGGAAGAAGTGGGTCGAACAGCAACATCGGCAAATGAGTATGTATAAGGAGGAGTGGTTTCCACATTTGTTGCATAATGTTGAGGCGGACACAGTACCGCAAACAGGCGCAGTACCTGGAGTGGAAACAGACTTAGAAGTGGAAAACGTGAATGCAGCACAACAGATGCTAAGAGTGAGACATGTACCACGGACGCAACTGCATCCGCAACTGTACCTCAACAAGCCGCTATGCGCTAAAACATGGATACTGATCCTGGCATTAGTCATAGAACAGTGCGAGCTCGAATGTCGTTTGCAGGAGAAGGAGTTATATGTGGATGCTTTATTGCACAATATGCGACATTAGTATGACGGCGCATATGAATGCGACATAACGCATGCTGCCCGTAGACCACTTTTATTTCATTATGTGATATACATAATATATTTCGTGTTTGCATTATTCTATACCGTCTTTTTTTTTTTTCTGCTCTGTTCTGCTTACTTGTGCTTACTTTTGCCTTGTTCTGTGCTTGTTGTGTAGTCAACTTCTTTTATTATGACCATAGGACCAGGTGGGTACCGGTTAAATGCATATAAAATGCAGATATAAATGAATAATATGAACGGGTAGTATTCTCCTTTATGTGAAGTTAATTATTAAAAGCTGAGCAAGTGCATTCTACGGGTATCGTGCAGCACAAATATAGCATGCGCATACGCATTCGAGTGTAACGCCACTGTCTCCCCGCGCAAACGCGTCGAACAACGCGGCCATGTGCAAGACGGATTCGACGCCGTAGCCGAGTAAAGCGGTTCGATTACGGCGTTCGAGTAAACGATTCGATGCAGTAGCCGAGTGTAAGAAGGAGGACGATTGTCTCTCCGAGCAAACGCGTCGAGCAACGCGCCGGCGTGCACCACGCAGGACCATTGTCTCCGAGCAAACGCGTCGACCCACGCGGCCAAGTGCAAGACCGATTCGACGAAGTAGCCGCGGCAGGGACGACGGCAGCAACGACGGCACCAAGAATTGATGTTGTTGTTATACTGCGCTTTGGTGTACACGGGGTTTAGTGTACGCACAGAGAGAGACAGTGTGTGCGAAGGCGTTTAGTGGAGACCGGTGTACAAAGGGGGGGGTGTATATTCATGACGGTGCTGCGTGTGTACGGTAGTGTAGTGTACTTTTCCCCCCTTTCTTTGACAGCACCAAGACGGCGGCAGCCGCACGCACAAGCCTTGACGCGAGACACGTGGACGCAGACGGTGTAACGGAGAACGGGGTGCCGGAGCGGCGTTGACAGAGACGGCGTGACGTACAGGCGTTGACGGGAGAGGCGTTGACGGAGACGGCGTTGACGGAGACGGGGTGACGGAGAGGTGTTCACGGAGACGGGGTGACGGACCGACGCCTTGACGGAGAGGTGTTGCCGCAAGAAGCGTTGAGGGAGGTGCGTTGACGCAGAACGGGGTGACGGAGACGGCGTTGACGGAAGAGGTGTTGACGTGAGAGGTGTTGACGTGAGAGGCGTTGAAGGCCACGGCGTGACGGGAGAGGCGTTGACGGAGAACGCGTTGACGGAAGCGGCGTTGACGGGAGCGGCGTGACGGAGTGGCGTGACCCGCACAAGCGTTGACGCAGAGGCCTTGACGGGAGAGGCGTTGACGGGAGCGGCGTTGACGGAGAGAAGCGTTGACGGAGGGGCGGTGTCGGAGGGGCGGTGTCGGAGGGGCGGTGTCGGAGAGGCTTTGACGGAGACGGCGTTGACGCAGAAGGTGTTGACGGAGAATCGTACACGGAGACGGGGTGTGACGGAGAAGGAGGTGACGTAGAGGCGTGAGGCGGAGACGGGGTGACGGCGAGGCGTACACGGCGACACGGCGACACGGCGTTGACGGACAGCCCTGACCCGGATACGGGATGTGTGTATATTTTTTGTTGTTGTTGTTGTGGTTACTGAGCGGTGTGTGGTAGTAGTAGTAGTAGTAGTAGTAGTAGTAGTAGTAGTTGTTGTTGTAGGGTTTGTTTTAAGAAGGGGAATAAACTGTTTTTTTTGTTTTGGGGGTTTTTTTCTGTCTGCGTCTGTTTCACTTTTGTTTTTCTCTGTTCAACTTTTTATTCTTTTTTTCTCCTCTTTTGTGTCCTCTTTTGTGCTTATTTCTTCAATATACGTATACATAACTTGCGGCTAGCATTTACATGGTCGAGGCTGCTATAGTTTTTGAACGCTGAGCAGTAATCTTTTCGTACACGGGGAAGGTAGTTATAACAAGGCGAGAAAGACCATATGTATAGTAGGCCACGGGAAGACTAGAATATCGTGATGATATCTTGTGCGCAGGCACAGAAGTGAGGCGGACATATGAATCAAACAATATTCATATAATTGTCTATAATACGGACAATATGGCAAACCGGGCACATTGGACACATGTAATTGCAGAATGGGCAAAGAGCATAGTAATAGGGAAACAGGAAGATTTTGACGTAAGTATTAGATCACAACAAGGGATTGCACGACACAGCGCACAAGCGCAGCGGAATATAGTGTTGGTACATACATATGCGGTAAAACATACGGCACGGATGATAGAGTCGTATAGGGTTGATATATTGTTATATATTAATCATTTTATCCATGTATATATTTCGTAGAGTGCATTATGGGAACATATGAAGACTGTGTTACAACAATTCGTGGACCACATGGAAACGATAAAGGACAGCTTAGAACAGTATGCCACAAGCTGTGCGGATGCAGGTTGGGAACGTAGAGGACGCAAGCAACACGGATCAATATATACCGGACACACAGTTGCGGACAAGATGAAATGCAGACTGATGGTTGGAGCATTACATTTTGTAGCTGGGTGGACACCTAATCAGGCGCCGGATACGGACGACTCGGAAAATGATAGGGACATGAAGGCTATTATGAGGTGTATGGTGGCCAATGTTTTTGCGTATATATTGGCTGAAATACCGTGTGGACTTCAGTGGCCCGGAATAGATCAAGCTTGGAGGATAATGAAAAACATGGGAGGAACTGGTGGATTCGAGAATTCAATTTCAAGCGGAACATGTACACTGGATGAGTACAGGGGTACAAAGGTAGGAACAGCCGATTTGCAGGGTGCGGTACAAAAATGGTTAGAGACAAATACAACAATAAATGATCGTATAAACGCAATACAGAAGGACCCAGAATGCAAAACGAGATGGGCAGCGTATAAGACAAGTTTGGCACACAACGAAGAAGATGCATTAGGAAGAACATCAGGGAAAGTGGGTCAAGGGGCAGGTGCCATGGCTAATGGTGGCATTGGACAAGAAATAGTGACAGTGATGAAGGAAGTATTAGTACACATGAAGGACGAAGTAATAGAAAAGTCCAAGTCACCGCCAGAACTACAAGGAGCAGGTAAGGGAAGCAAGCATGCGATTTCTAACAATACAAATACACGGCCTAAAAGGGACCGTACGGTAACGATACGGCTACATACGGGAGGCCAAAACATGCACGGATGCCGCCATCACAACAACGCACACGCACGCGGGCAGCAACAACGCACGGGGGAACAGCACAGCAAACGACGTCGTTGACGTTGAGCGGCGGTCACGATGGTCGTGGTAGCGACCGCCGCCGGGACATGACGGCAACATACATGTACTGCTACCGTCTACCGCAGTTCACCGAGTACGCAGTCCACCGATTGCACCTCGACCCACTGCATCGACACACTCTATCGAGCCGGACCCACACCCTGCCGCTACCTGACCGCACAGTCCCGTCTCTCTAACGCCGTCCCGCCCCCTTCTTTCTGTCTACCACTTGTGTCCCTTTTTTTTTTTATCATCTTTCGACCACCTTTCTTCCGTTGTCCTCATTGCAGCAACGAAGCCGGACGCACCCACACCACCAGCGGCCAAGCCGGCGGCTACCAAACCAGCAACCACAACACCGGTAGAAGCAGCACCCGCAGGCAGATCAGAGGAAGCTGGGGACCCACCGCAGCCATCACCAGCACCCGTCTCACCCCAGGCAGAACCCGCAGGGCAACCAGGGGAAGTAGGGGGCCAAGGACCAGGACCTGGACAACAACCCCCACCTCCACCACCAAGCTCAGATACTGGAAGTGAACGTGAGGGGGGCGGGGAGCCACCTGAAGCCAAGGCTACTGTCAAGGATTCATCAGGTAAGAGCCCAACGAAACATTCGAGGACAGAGGACACCAGCATAAGGTCTTCGCAGCGGGAAGAGGACTGCACGTACTTGGAAAATGGTCCCGTGGATAAAGTCGTCGCCTGCCTGGAGCAGGTTGCAGAGGCAGAAATAAATAATATGAGGGACCCCACTAAGGATCTGCAGGGGACATGGGGTGTCTATGGTAGCACGAGCTCGACAGAAGTATCCATGGGTACTTCTCCTGAGGTTTCAAGAGTACCCCAAGGTACGCATCATGAACAGTCAGGGAAGGACGTGAGGAAAAAAAAAAAAACAAAAAAACACAAATGAAACAACAATTTCCGCCGCGAGAGGCAGAGACACCCCGGAGAGAGGCAGAGAGAACCCACACGTCGAATGAGAATGCAAGCGGCAGAGCGATCGGCCAAGCGACGGGTCGGCCGCAGGATGTAGACGTCGACGTAGATGCAGACGGACACACACACTGTGTGTGTGTGTGTTGTGTGTTGTGTGTTGTGTGTTGTGTTGTGTGTGGGACAGAGAGAGTCTTTTCCGGGTGGCACCCTGCCCTGCGACAGACCACAACCGTGTAGCCGTCCCCGTGCCCGTGGCACAGCGGTCAACCGCACTGTGTGCACCGCGTAGCCAACCGTGTAGTCGACCGTGTGGTCAACCATCCAACTCGCACATATTAGATTCTGTCCACATTGTTCCCGTTCTTAATTGTACCTACAGGTAATGACACAAAGGTTGGTTCCACGGAAAGTGAAACTCAGGCTACGGGGCCAGAGCCACCTCCGCAGAAACCGCATGCACCAGATTTCCTGGGTCCCCTGGGAAACCCCACCCTGGAACATTGTGGCCTCGGTTTATTTGACACTACTCATAGGACCTGCAACAATAAGAACAACCCTTCTTCATCTGGACCTGGGTCTACTGGTCACCAAGGCCCAAGTTCATCTGGTACTGGCTCCACTGGGACTGTTGACCCAGGTTCCTCAGGACCAGGTTCCGCTGGTACTGGAAGCACAGGAGGAACTCCAGATAAAGAGCAAGATGGCCTCTCTTTGAATGACCCAGGCACTAACGTACGTGGTGAACTTGGAGGTGCGTATGCCGCAGGAATACCACCATATACGACGCACCCTAAAACCCCTGACGATAACATAAACCTGTCACCTACCCAGGATGTCCCTGACCTAACCGACACCGTCCTTACGGCCACTACTCCCGTACTCTTCTTCTTGTCCGCCGTCACCGTCGCCCTTCTTGGTTATTCCCTTTGGAAGGTACGTATATATGGCATTCCGGGAATGCCGCATGTGCCGGATGTTTATACCTCAGAACATCCCCACCGGCTCCAATATATGATCGCTCAAACCAATATGCCCCTACACCCGCGTTCATTCCTTTTATCCTACCATGCCCACCCTCCTCTTTACTCCCCTTTGTCTGCTTAGTATTTTGCCTACTTCGCCAAACGACGACGAACGTTTCGCACCGTTCGTGACGTGCCGTCACCGCCACTCGAAGAAGACATATTGGAGCATCTACAACGCGGCGAACTGCCGCCACCCGATTACGGGTACACGATGGTTATGGATAGGCGGCCCGGCAGATTGCCCGCCGCACGACGACGACGCCCACCCCGCGTGCATAAGCGCACGATCATCGAGTTACACTTAGAAGTGCTCCACGAATGTGAAGCAACCGCATGGGAAAACGTCAAAGACGACTATTTGCAGATTGTCGTGGAGGAGTTTGCACAGGATTTGATGCGGGACGGAAACGGGTATAGTAGTTCCCCGGCTTCTTCGTCGAATCACGATTCACCAGGGACCAATGTTTCCTCCACCCTGGATCCACCCATTGACTCCGACGGAACAGATCCATGTCCACCACATGACCCCGATCCATGGACTTGTATGCAAACTATACAGTTAGACCAGGACCCGTCTCCACCTAACGAAGATAACCCCGATGCATGGAGTTGTATGGAAACCATACAGTTAGCAACGGACCCATGTCCACCTAACGAAGAGGACCGATGGACTTGTATGGAACATATCGACTTAGATGCAGAACAGCATGCTCATTCCGACCACGGTGACGCGACGTCGGAGTGCACCCAATGGATTAACTGGATTGACCGCAACAAACATATTCTGCGGGACTGCACCACGCAGCCGTGGTTTTCGCACTTAAAAGCGGATTGGAAACAATATCAGCGTGCACACATGGCGGAACACGAACACAACGGAGTATCTGGGCAGCGTACACTCGGTGAAGCTGCAATCCTACAAATGAACAAACTGCGGTTGTGGAAAGAATGGGTAGCGCAACAACATCGGAAAATGAGTACATACAGTGAACAGGAGAGGTTTAAGCATTTGTTGAATAATGTACAGGAGGAGACAGTGTCGGCCAAAGGCGACGTACCTGCCGTCGACACAGACTTCGACGTGGAACATGTAATGACAGCAGAAGACTTGCTACAAGTGAGAGATTTACCATGCACGCAACTGCATCATGCACCGCATATGACAAAACCGTTAACCGCTAAAACATGGATACTGATCCTGGCATTAGTCATAGAACACTGCGAGGTCGAACGCAGTTTGCAGGAGAAGGAGTTATATTTGGATGCCCTATTGCAACAGTGTTCACATTAGGATGACGGGGCATACAAATGGGCATAACGCATGCTGACCGTAGACCCCTTTTACCTCATTCCGTGATATAATATATTTCGTGTTTACATTATTCTATATCTTCTTGTTTTTTTTTGGTGCTCTGTTCTGCTCTGTTCTGCTTGTGCTTACTTTTGCCTTGTTTTGTTCTTTTTCTGTGTAGTCAACTTCTTTTAACATGACCATGGGGACAGGGTGGTACACGTCAACTGCATATAAAATGTAGATTTACATGAATAATATGAAGGCGTAGTATTCTCCTTTATGGGAAATTAATTATTAAAAGCTGCGCTCGTGCATTCTACGGGTATCGTGCACAACTGATATAGAATGCGCATAATCATTCGAGTATACGGAGCGATTGTCTCTCCTAGCACACGCGGCCGCGTACAGCATTGTAGCCGCGTGTAAGAACGGGTTCTGCGCAGTAGCCGAGTGTAAGAAGGAGGAGCGATTGTCTCTCCGAGCAAGCGCGTCGACCAACGCGGCCGGGTAAAGCAGATTGTCCGAGGCAGTGGCCACGTGTACGAAAGGAGGAGAGATTGTCTCTCCGAGCAAACGCGGCCGGGTACACGATTCGACGACGTGGCCGGGTAAACTGGATTCGACGAAGTAGCCGAGTAAGCATTGTGCCGAGGGTAAGCAGGAGGAGAATTGTCTCTCCGAGCAACCGTGGCCCCTTAAGGTGATTCGAGGCCCGATTCGACGAAGTAGCAGAGTGTAAGAAGGAGGAGAGATTGTCTCTCCGAGCAAACGCGGCCGCGTACAGCACATTGTCCACGCGGTAGCCGAGTGTAAGAAGGAGGAGGATTTTCTCTCCGAGCAAACGTGGCCGAGTAAGAAGGTTCCAGGAAGGGGTTTGAGTGAAGGATTCGTGTGAGTGATCCAGAGAGGGGTATCAGAGAGCGGGGCAACAGCGAGACGTGTGGCGGAGGAAGGAACACACATATTATGTGGCAGGGCAGCACGAAGAAAGTAAGGCGACAACGACGGTAGCAATGACGGCAGCAGCATTGATGTTCTTGTTGTTACTGCGGTTTTTAGGTGTACGCACACAGAGCCAGTGTGAAGAGGGTATTTGTTGTTAAGGGGGGTATTTGTTGTTAAGGGCGGGTATTTGTTGTTAAGGGGGGTACTTGTTTTGCAAGTGGTGTTTGTTGTTAAGGAGAGTATTGTGGTTAAGGATTTTAATGCATAGCACGCATATTCTGAGTATGTGATGGTACAATTTCCCATTACAGGAATGTGATTCCGAAGAGTAATGTACAGTTAATGTGGACATTGAATAAGTATCGACGACAGTAGCATCCTATATAAGCACCACAATAAGGAAGCAGACATGTGGGATTATTTAATAGTACTATGGGATGATTATATTGCGAAGGCAGATACGGGGGTGAAGGAGACTCAGGCATATAGAGTAAGTGCACACATAATGAACGCGCAAGAGGGTCGGAAACTCTTATTCTGGTGTACTCAGGCAGAGTTGAGCACTGCGCCAGGGTGGACACATATGTGCTAACGTCATGGGATACCATAGTTTTATTTGAGCGCCACACATGTATATATAAGGAGGGAACTACAGTTCAACATAGAATTACATGAGAACGCAGGAAGCAGAGGCAAGATCATAGTTTACATATGGCTATATAATGCATGTTATATTTGTAGGAGCTTTTTTGGAAAAATGTACAAAGCACGTGGACAGAATTTAAGGAATATATGGAACGCAGCGTAGAGAATGCGGACATAGAAGTAGCGTGTGAAGCGGGCAAGAGCGAGGGAAAAGAGCACGGGGATACATGGTCCGGTGCAGATATGGGTATATGCGAGCTAGCGTATATAGCGTTACGTTTTAAACATGGAATTCAATTAGACGGAACCCGTATGAGCCAAGAGGGCATGGACGAACAGAAGAAGAAAATACACAACTATATGAGGTGTATTCTAGTAAATATATTCATGAAGAAAATAATGGGCATGAAGTGTTTAGACCGACCTGGTGGTAAATTTGCATTCGGTCTTGTGGGAGGTGAAATAACTGACGTCGAGGGGAAACCGTTCGGTAATGTTGCATGCGAGTGGCACGATGCTGGAAAAGGAGGAGATGGAAGTGGAAGAGGTGCAAAGGACAGAGATTTGTGGGAAGTAATGAAAAGATGGAATGACCGGAATCAGATGAACATAGGGGATGGGGATTGGGGCGCATTAGGGAAAGCATGTAAAGTGGAAAAACGAGGACGTGCGGAAGTAACGGAACAGGAGGCAGTGAAGAACAAAGTGCACGAAGAGATAAAGAATGTAGAGGACGATTTAGAACAGAAGGTGCCGGAAATAATACAGGCCGTGAAAACATGTACTGAACGGGATAAGGATTGTGTAAAGAACTTATTAAAGAAAAAGCAGCAGGAAGAGATGAAGAAGGGGCAGGACCCCTCTTCAACAGCTTCACCAGGTGAAGTTCATATACCCGCGAGGCCACCACCACCTCCTCCACCAAGGAGACCATCTACACCAAGACAAGGTCCGACGGGAGTAGGATCACAGGGCGATGGAACCGGGAAAGGGCGACGACCACGCCCTGGAACAGCACCAGGCAAGAGACCAAGACCACGGCCTCGGCCACCACCAACGGACTCAGCACCATCGTCACCGTTACCGACACCCGGCGACGGCAAACCACCCGGCAGCGGAGGAGCAGAACCTGCCAAACCAGTAGCGGCGACCCTGGCATCACCACCGTCATCGGGAAGTGGCACGACGTCAACGACGACGACATCATCTGGTGGTGGTGGTGGTAAGGCTGGTTACGGTGCTGCCGAAGGAGGAGAGAAGGGGAAGAAGGCCGGAACGGACGACGATTGTGACTGGAAGAGCATAGAGGACGAGAAGAGGACGCAAGTGTACGTGCTGCGTAATTATGATGTAAGTTAAAGTAAAAAGGGCAGAGCACAGAAAACGAGAAACACATAGGAGATGGAAGGACTACTTATTCATGCATTATATACATATATAAGCACGTGTACATATGTTCCGCGGGAACAACGTACGTGAAATACAGACATCCATATCCCCTTATGCCCGTGCGCATAATACAGGAACAGCAACTGCAAAACATGAAGGATGTGTTGCAGCACTTTATGGATTATATGGCAAAGAAGGACTATATCATGGATGCCATGGGTGCAAACTGTGAAAATTCTGGTTGGGATGATATAGACCAAACATCAACATATTACACGGGTCAGACGGTAGCGGACATGATAAGATGCCGCCTGGTGTCAGGAGCGCTGTGGTTTGCCAACGGTGATAGCATAGCAGGGAAAAGCAGAGATATGGATGAAACGCAGAACAGGCTAAGATGCGAGCTAGTGAATGCATTCGGGTACATACTACACCACAAGTATTGTGAAAATAAGACACCGTGGAAAAGAGGTATAAAGTATGCCTGGAAAACGGTAAAAGCAATGGCTGGGGAGGGAGGAATAATGGCAAATGCACAAGGTCCAGTTATGACGGGTGACTGTACAGAATGTGGATATAAAGTTACACACGGTTCCGTGAGAGCAGTAGATGGAGATATGGTAAACCTATTAATAACTGAAGGAAGAATAATGGACAAGATAGGAGAAATGGAGAGGACGCAGGACTGCAGTGTGAAGTGGACTGAGTATAAGTCGCGGCCAGGGGCGAGTGATGGCAAGGGAAGAGTGGACTGGAAGAAAATCCCTGAAGTAAAACAAGAGGAAAAGAAGATAATACAGATAACGAAGGAGGCAGTTGAAGAAGTTAAAAACAAAATAGACGAACAACTTAAAACAAAAGCAAAGGAAGGTAAGAACACGACGTACCGGAGTAGTAACAACACGGTGCATGGGAACACGGAGAATATGACTAGTAACAACACGACAAGTAAGAATACGATTACGGACGGTAGAAATATACGGCCGAATAAGGATAGCCACAACACGCACGGGCGAGCAACAGCGCACACGCATGGCGGAACAGCGCCGCGACCACAACAACACGCACACGCGGGGGGAACAGCACAGCAAACTAATTCGCTGCTGCTTTGCTGCCCCACTTCCCTGAGGACTTCGCTTGTGCGATGAGCGGCGGCGACGAGGATGAGTGTAGACGAGCTGTGTGAGGTGGCGGCCCAGAGATGACGACGACAACATAAACGTGTACTACTACCATCTAGCCCAAGTTCACCGAGTACGCAGTCCACGTCACCGTACGCTTGCTGTCGCCTGACCCAGTTCACCGAGTCCATCTCGACCCACTGCATCGACACACTATATCGAGCCGGCGCCTACGCTGCCGCTACCTGATCGAACCGTGCCGCCCCCTTCTTTCTGTACCACTTGTGTCCTTTGTTTTTTTTATCATCTACACTTCTTTCCTTTGTTATTGCAGCGACGGAGGCGGCACCGAAGACAGAGGGGTCCGGGGAAGACAAGACAAAGGACAAGGGGAAGGCAACAAAACCTGGGGGATCTCAGATAACAAAACCGTCAAGCACACCATCACCATCAGCGCCAGGGGAACTAGGCAGAGCAGACACAACAGGGTCGGCAGACGCAACCACTGTTACACCTGGGCAACCACAACCACCGGCATCCCCACCCGCGCCAGGGGCAGCAGGAACCCAACCTGATACCGGTGCTGCAACACCCAAGGGACCACAGGAACCATCAGGTGAGCAAAAGTGTAAGGCGACTCTGCATAACCATCAACTCACCACCGGACGTATTGTTATAACTCCAACCTGCACGCCCGATGAAGCTTTAGGAGGCGCAAACCACGTCCACGATGCTAGTGCTAATGGTAATGTACACTAGGGTACACATAGAAAGAACACCTCGAATACAAATAACAGACAACACAAAAATGAAACAGCGAACAACTTTTCCGGAGACAGAGAGGGAGAGACACCACGAAGCGAGAGAAGCCAAACGTCGAATGAGAGTGAGCGGCGCAGTCAGCGGCCGAGCGATGGGGAGACAGAGACAGCCGCGGCCGGTAGAGCGACGCAGAGACGTAGACGTCGACAGACAGACACACACACTGTGTGTTGTGTGTGTGTGTTGTGTGTGCTGTGGGCGACCGAGAGAGAGTCTTTTCCCGGGGTGGCACCTGCCAACCACCGTTCGCCTCCACGACGCCCGCCCTACCAACGTCCATCCGTCTGCTGCCCCGGCCCGTGTCTTGCCCCGTCCGTCTCCTGCTCCCCACCGTCCCCTTCGTGAACCATGGTGCCAACCGTGTGGTCAACCACCGTGAACCGTGTGGCCATGCACCGTATAAAACTTCAGTTTCATCACATTCTTCCTTTCACCTGACCTTGATCTTACAGGTGGCAGTGCTACAGAGCACACGACATCTAAGGACGGCCACGGTTCATCAGCGGTTGTAGGAGCAGCACCCGCCGCACCGGAATCCCAGCCACTTACCCCTGTCTCCACTATGGGGCAGGATCCAGACAAGGGTTCGACGCCGGATGTGGCTACTACAATATCATCATCAACACCAGGGGAACCACCAACACAGACAGATCCCGTAGATGCAGTACCAGGTTCACAAGCACCGGTACATTCTGTGGACGACAGCACTGCGGACCCCGCTGGTCAGGGCGTCGCCGTCGGTAACGATGACCCCCCTCCTCTCAATCCACCTAAACCAAAACCGAACCCGAACCCAAATCAATCGGGTAGTAGCGGCGGCGGCGGCCAAGGTAGCGAGGTAAGTGTTCCTACCAATAATCAGGCTGATCCGAATACACAACAAAATGCGGGCAGTGGACAAGGCGACTTCACTTTAGAAATAGCACTTCCAACAGGAGGGGGCGATGTGGGCGGATCATATGGAACAGGTCCAACACCAGGTCCAAAGGGGAACCCTCCGCACAATGTGCAACACGATGGCCCCTTCTTCCCCGACCTAACCGCCGATATCCTTACCGCCACTACTCCCGTACTCTTCTTCCTGTCCGCCGTCACCGTCGCCGTCGTTAGTTATTCCCGTTGGAAGGTAAGCGCGCAACACTACACGCTCACACAAGCACGCACAAGCCCGCAGAAATATACCTGAGTGGAAAGTGGAACAACAACCGTTGCCATCCGCCTTCCACATTCCTTATTTGTATGTTCCCATAGGGGCCGTAATTAACTTTACACTATTTGGAAGTTACTCCCTTCACACAAACAAAAACACGATAGCAACTTTAAAAAGAAGAAAAAAAAAAAACACTAGCGACGTAAGTCCCTACATGCCTCTACATGTATTTTCGAGGGACATAAGGTTGGCCTTGTGGGATACATTATTAGATACGCGCGTACACAAAAGATTTATATATAATACTAGCATAATATGCATATATTCTTGTAATTACTATGGTTTAATATTTTTCTAAAACAAAAAAGAATAAAAAAAATTCCTACAACCGGAAGCCTCCAAACTCTGGTACTTCGGAAATCTCAAACCTCAAACAACGAACCTTTGATAGGAATTCCGCAACCCCATAATCCTGAAATTTTAAAATCCGGGAACGTCGCAATCCTAAAACTTTTCAATGCTGAATTCTCACAACCTTGACATTTTAAGCCCTAAACCGGTTAAATCGCTTAAACCTTTTAAAATCATAAACGGTTGACACTTGACCCTTGAACACTGAATCATAAATCCGGATTTCGGAACCTTTCAATCCCGGACACCATACAATCCTGAACCATGGATCTGAAATACGGATTAACAAACTTCTCAATCATGGAACCTTAAGCCCCTAAGCATAAACCCATAAATCGCTTAAACTAGAGAACTGCGATCCTTGAATCTTAAATCCGGAAACCTTAAACCCTAAGCCCCAAGCCCACAATTTCACCCAACATGTACCCGTTATTTATATATGCCTCACACGCTTAAATTAATCAATTCGCATTTTGTCAAAGCAAAAGGAGCGGTATGCGTACACAAAACGTTGCAAACAATATGTTCACATTTATTATTTATCACTGCGCGTAATAAATCTGAGAACGATATAAATGACGACCCCCATAAATAAAAAACGGCCACGATATACATGTATAATTATGCAAGTACGTGACAATAACAAACCCCCCAAAAACACTGACACAAGGCAACGTTGAGCCCGAAGCTCTACAAGCACGACAAAAAATTATGTCGCGGTGCTTATATGTAAAAGGGGGTATAATTGATTCTCTTCTGCTTATTTTCTTCACCGTTGTATCTAATTTAAAACGATAAAATGCTATTTCACGTGTAGAGTTATATCACTCGCAATATACAATTTGCTCCCATTACGCCGTTAACACGGCGACATGATTGATCAGCCCGTGCTGAAATTGTGAAAAACGTTGACCCCTTTAGGTAATGTTGCATCATATAATATATACCAAAAATGGGTTTTTCCCTGTTTTCTTCCGTACTTCCTTCTCCGCTTATATTATGGTGCACCTGAATTATTTATGCAAATCATTTTGATGTAGTTAGGCAAGAACAGTAAATTACGCACAAAAATGATTTTATCAATGTTCACTCTTGGCCGATGAAAAGAAGTGTTACGCGCTTAATCTATACACCTACATGTGGAAGAGAAAACAATTCTATAATTCATACATATATAAACAACATATCGCCACTTCTACCATTTTATACACGGAAAGAGCAAAGGAAGAAACAGAATGATGTTGCTTGTGAAATTCTCTATATTTATGCTAGTCCATTGCTTATGGCAAATTGCTGACGGTGTATGATACAAACAAATTTATTTTGGGGAGTTACCACATTTATTGGGATAAACCCTTAACGTGTTCATAACAATTATAAATCTGCCTGTAATTATTTTTCACGCTCTACGTCCTTGTATACATACACCACAACAAACCCATGTATTGCCCTTTTTTTTTCTACATTTTAGGCGAGTACACTAGGCACATCCTCGGGTAATGGCACAAGTCAATATGGCACGGTAGATGCCAGTACAGTTGGAACGACTACAGTGTCGTTGAGTGATGCAACGGATGTAGGGAAACGGGGCACACGTAATTTTTACGGTGGTCGCGTGATGGGTAGTCCTGCGAAGAACACCGTGTTCCATAACATGCGTAGGAAGTTAAAAACCAAGGTGCACGTCAAGAATCCACGACCTGTACAGAGGAAGTCACAGGGTAGAACAGCGCAGAAAAAGATGCAGGAACTTTGTCAGAAATTGAGATGTTGTAAAATGGGGAGGGGAGCGCGTTTAGGGCTTATACTGCTCTTTGTTCTTATTTACCCTTTGCTTGAGGCGTGCTCAACCCCGTTCTTTTATGTGCTAGGTGAGACATTGGGAGTTATGGGAAATGGAGCTGTGTGGCCCTTTTTTACGCTTCCTGCACTTATAGCGCTCATCTATTTGGGCGTTCTATTCTGGTTCTGCTACTCAAAGAAAGGAAGAAATATATTAAGGGAAGCTTGGACGTGCGAAACATTCCCAGAAAAAGACAAGAACCTAGAGGTACCCGGGAAACAAGAGGTACGGAGGGAACCAGAAGCACTCGCCAAGCAGAGGGCACCGGAAAAACTAAGAGTACCCGGGAAGCAGAAGACATCTGGGAAACTGAAGGTACCCTGGAAAATAAAATTACCTAGGAAAGCATAAGTAACTGTCGTTTTCTACTTCTTGTAGACTATGTCGACGTTATGATATGTTATTCGTGTATTTACTAGATCGAGCACCCCATGATGTCCTATGCTTTTTATGTGACATGGCTTATTCAGATTTATATTATTTACCTAATTGTTTCGCTTTACATTGTCATACTGTTTGTACTCTGTACGAATATACATAGGTGTTCGTATATATATATTGTACTGTTAGTTTATATAATAAGTTGTTGATGAATATTTTTAATGGGATACCCATTGTAAGAAAAAAAAGGGAATCCTGCTACATTACGTATATATAATGCAAGACTACTTTATACCTTACATGTAACCAATATTACATTAGGATTACACTTGATGCAACATGTGGCAATATTTGCATAAAATAGAATGTTCTTCTTTTTTTTTTTTTTTTACTCAAAAATTCTGACACCTAATGAATATCCCCCTTTTTTGGGCACTATAATATTGTACACGATAATAACAACATACGTGATGTAGACTATAGTATAAACGGATATAGTGATGCAGGGATGTGTACAACATCATCTACAGGGACAACACGTCTCACGGGAACAACGTATATACCCCTTGCAGCCTTCTTCCCCGACAAGCTTCTCAACTGTTCTGCAATAGATTATCCACGTACAACTAGTTAACGATAAATTCGGAACACCGTACACTCGTCTCCGTTACCGCTGCCGTCGTGGACGCCGCTGTGCTCAACGCTCAACCGAAGTGGGGGCAGCGAACTGGGGCAGCGAACAGGATGCGCTGTTCCACCGCGTGTGCGTGTTGTTGTGGCGGCATCCATGCGCGGTCGTATCGGTGGCGAGCGTATCTTCGTATTCGTGTGCGGGCGTAGTCGTATTCGGCCGTATATTGGTATTCTTATTCTTCGTATGCTCTGTGTGCTTACCTGTCTTTTCCTCCTCCTTAATTTTCTGTTCCACTAACTCCTTAATGTTTTCAAAAGCTTCCTTCGTCTTGTTCCTTATTGTTTTCTCTGTTTCCTTGACCTCAGTTATCTTATCCTCAATCTGCACGTCACCTAGCGTAATACCCATCCTTTGCGTATAGTCCGTCCAAAGCGTATTACAGTGCGCCTTTCCTTGTATGACCCCTATTTTGTTCATGATTTGTCCTTCCTGCAGGAACCAGGTTACCATGTCTCCATTTCTGATTCTGAATGGCCCACCTGGAATGTTATACCCACACATGGTGCACCTTCCTTCAAAGACTGGACCTGTCATTGTTGTCGTTCCACCGTATTTACTGGAGTTCATTTCATTCATTGTTTTCCAGGCATACTCAATACCCCTTTTAAATCCTTTTTTATCTCCACAATACATCTTTTTGAGTATGTGCCAAATGCATTCGCTACGTCGCATTTTAACCTTTCTTCAAGGTCATCAATGACCCCAGTTTTCCCTTGGGCATTGATATCACTTCGGTTTCCTCCGTTCGCAAAGAATAATGCTCCTGACATGAGTCGACACCTCATGACGTCCGCCACAGTTTGATCCCTCCTGAGCTTTTTATCCACATCATCCCATCCTGTATTGTGACAATTCGCACCCATGGCATCCATTTCCCAGTTATCCTGATCCATATAGTTCATGAATTCATCTAGCACGCTCTTCGTTTTTTTTAGTTCGTCTGTCTGTATTATATACATGAGAATAAGGAAATATGCGTGTCTACATTTCATCTGTACTCTGGATCGTGGGAACATTTATACCCATGTATATGCATGTGACCTCATGAATAAATTTGAATCCTATTCTGTATGCATCTCCCTTTCTTTGCTTTTCTCTTCTCTTTTTACTTTAACTTACACCATGAGGTGGCATCACGACTATTTCCCTCCTATTCTCGTCCTCTATGCTCTTCCAGTCACAATCGTCGTCCGTTCCGGCCTTCTTCCCCTTCTCTCCTCCTTCGGCAGCACCGTAACCAGCCTTACCACCACCACCACCAGATGATGTCGTCGTCGTTGACGTCGTGCCACTTCCCGATGACGGTGGTGATGCCAGGGTCGCCGCTACTGGTTTGGGCTCGGAGGCGGGTGTGGCGGCGGCAGGCTGGACTGTCTGGTGCCCTGCCTTTAACATGTCATCTACTCTTTTTACTTCCTCCTTTATTTCCTGCACTACACCTTTAACTGCTTCAATTATTTTCTCCTCTTTCATTGCTTTCAAAAGTACCCTCTGGTTCCATGTGTCGTCGTCCTCATCGTTCCCCTTCGTCCACTTCGCCCTGTATTCAGCCCATGGCTTATTGCATACTGCAGGGTTCCCTGGTGTCCTCATCCTTTGTATTACATGTGTATTCCCAATTAACCCGCTCCTTATTACTGATAGTTTAAACCCCTCCTTTGCATATTTCGTGTTGTATTGCCCATAGTCGCACGTGCCCTTTGTCAAAGGGTTCTCTTTGCCTAATAAGTCTTCCATCTTCTTCATCGTGTACCGTGCATACATGAGTCCTCTGGTACTTCTTTTTCCACATTCCATTTCTTTCAATAGTTCCTCAAAAACATTTATAACCATACATTTTAATTCTGATTCCTCGTCTTTACTAAGCGCAGTGCCACCATTTATACGTGGTCCTATGTGGTTCCCGTTGGCCATGAATAATAATGCTCCGGTCATGATCGCACACCTTATCACGTTTGCAACCGATTGCCCTGCGTTGTGTGAGCCTTGGTACGGTTCCCAACCAGCGTTAAAGCAATTGGCCCCATATAATTGTACATGCTCTTCTATCCTTTCCATATGATCTATAAAACTATACAATACTGTTTTTATTTTATCCCACATATCCCTCTATATGTTATGCATAAAGAAAAGAAATGGACGGAAATATATGCACGCCTGCATTCTGTATTGACTGCTAATAGTGGTTTACTAGTTCACGTAGAATTTACTCGCTCTTATACATGGATCCGTCGTGTGCCTTAAATATGTATGCACCCCACTGCTTAACCCCTCTATGTTCAGTCCCCGTGTGGTCACCTCAACTTACATCACACGCAATGGCTGCTGTCACCAGGTCTGTTGCTGCGGCAGTAGTGTTCCGTGGCTTCGGTGGCTTTGTCCCAATGGTCTCAATGTCGTGCTGTACAGCAGTGTTCAGTTTACTGTTGTTTGTGGTCGCATCTATTCCTTTGAATATGTTATCTAATTCTTCCCGAGTGTCGTTATTACTTTCTGTAATTATTTTCTGTATGTCCTCAGCACTGTTATCATTCAGGGCCTTTATAATACCATGATTCTTTGCCCAAGCACTCATCCCCCTTGGCCCTTGCGATTTGCATGTAGCAACCTCCTTCAATGTTCCCCGTGCCCCGAGCCCCCCATCCTCCCAGTCCTCCATTCTGTTCTTCATGGTCGCCGCAATAAACTTCAATCCGGTTACTATTTCTGCATAACTATAATTCCTACATTTGCCATATTTAAATTGGTCCTTATTTGTCCTATTCTCTATTTCCAGGTGCCCTGCCGCCCTTTGCACCATGTGACTGTATGCACTGTCCCTATCATACAGCTGCCCCAGGGCTATGCCCCCGGCCCAACATCTTATATAATGTTCGACATCCTCCATCTCACTGTTGTTGTGCTCCCGTGCGATCCATTGCCTGTTTGTGTACGAGTATCCATTCATGAAGTACAGGATATTCATAATTTTATGACACTCTGATATACAGAATTCCTTGCCATCCCCGGGATATATATATGTGCACATTATATCAATAGATTTGTCATCAGCATTAATATTTGCCCTCAAGGTATCGAATATACTGTCTATATGTGTCCATAGAGTCTCCTACAACAGGAAGAATTTATATAAGCATGCATATGTGCCCTCTGAGCACCTTTTCTCTTCTTCCTTTATTACATTCATGCACAAATGTACATAAGCCCCATTGTGGTCTCTATATTCCTTTGTTCATTTGAACACTATTAATATTTCATGGTACTTATACAATTATAGTATGCATATATATATATATGTTAATACGCTTTGTATGTATATACTCATGTAACCGCAATTGTTTCCTACATTTGTTCCGTTTGGACATAACTTACCTCACCGCGCCAGACTGCATCGTTCTTGTTCTTTTGTACATACTCGACCAATGCATCGGTAAATTTCTTCGCCATTCTGATCTAACTCCTAAATTATACTATACCGCGGTCATGAAAAAAACTGTCTTTCTCCGTATTCCATGCCACCCCGTCAATACAACCAATGTGGTACTTGCCCCCTGCGTTCTTAATTCTAATCCTCGTCCTTCAATACCACAGTGTAAACTTATATTAAACCTGTTAATAACTCATAAATGCAATATGTGCCCTGATCTGATACATTCATTTCGCATGTACCCCCCAAAGAGCCCTTTCCCGTTACAAATCATAACAGAATACATTTCACTACAATGTCCTTACACATACATTTCCTGTGTATCTATATTGTGTGTTATGAAGAAAAACGGGACAATATAGGAAAATAAAAGAAAAAAAAAATAGTACACTACACTACCTAGGCACACTACACCGTCATGAATATACACCCCCGCCCTTCACACACTGTCTCTGTGTGCGTACAACTAAAACCGCAGTATAACAACAACATCAATTCTTCTTCCGTCGTTGCTGCCGTCCTTCCGCCGTCCTTCCGTCGTTGCCGCGCCTCGTACACACATTGTCCGAGTGAAGGGGTATTCGACGAAGTAGCCGAGTGTAAGCAGCAGGAGGATTGTCTCTCCGAGCAAACGCGTCGACCAACGCGGCCGGGTAAAGCAGATTGTCCGAGTAACGCGTCGAGTAACGCGGCCAAGTGTAAGACCGATTCGACGTAGTAGCCGAGTGAAGCGGTTCGATTACGGCGTTCGCGTAAACGATTCGACGAAGTAGCCGCAGGAGGGCCGGCGACCACGACGGCAGAAGAAATTGATGTTGTTGTTATACTGCGGTTTATTGTAGAGCGGTGTAGAAAGGGGGGAGCGGGGGTGCTTTTCATGACGTGTGGCGTGTAGTGTTTTTTATATTTGTTTTTTTTTTTTTGTCATCCCACGATTTATGGGGTGTGTCATTAAATTCACATAGGGCTTAGTTTGTTAATGGGACATGTTTCCGAAGGCACCCTATAATGCAAGACATATTCCATTGCCTCAGAAACTGCATAATACGTAATAGAATATTGTGTCCATATTATACTCAAGCCGTTATCTGAGCGATAATTGTTTCATCCGTTGCACACTATTAATTCATGATAAGGACAATATGACGTATGCGACGTTAGGGGCTTTATTAGCACAATATGTGCTGAAAAGGGGAATAGGGCGGGATGAAAAAGCATATACGGTAATTCATTGTGAGGGCAAAATGGAGTGAGCAGGCGCCTACACATATATATAGGTGGTCGATACGCAGGGTAATCAGCTTGCAGACAACATATGTTTACGTTACTTGAACGGGACAGCATATGCCCGCTGTGAGGATAGCATACCTGGTACAGAATGTAGCATAGCGGCGACTGGCCTGAGTATCCTCCGTGAAGACAGGAAAATGATATATATGTACTTGCCCCCGCATTACTCCAATTGTAGAAAAGCCTATGGGAAGATGTAAAAGCGCTACTCGAAGAATTTGTGAAATATTTGGAAGATGAGAACCTAGACAGCTATGCAGCTAATTGTTTGAACGCGGGTTATAGGAGTCTGAGGCGAAAAGAAACATTTAAGGTAAAGATAGTAGCGGATAGACTAATGTGCACACTCATGTCACGAGCATTATTTTTCATGAACAGGTGGCCACAGCAGTCCGGGGTTTCGCACGAAAGAGAAGATGAGAATGCAGCGTTGAAGGAATATATAAGGTGCGCAATAGTAAATATATTTATGTCCATATTGCTGGCATCTCCATGCAAAAGTCAAATGGGAATAGATAATGCATGGTACACAATGAAAGAACTGGAGAAAGCTTCGCCTGGATTAATTAAAGAGGGAAAGTGCGGCCAGGGAGTGTTTCAAAACATACAAACACAGCAATTCGACATGGGGCAAAAGATTCAGGAATGGTTAGAGAAAAACAAGAAGTTGACTGAAGAAATTGGACGGGGACAAGTACAAGGCAAATGTAAGGAAGAGATAAAAGGACTTGACGGGGCCACAAAGGGTACACATAACATGGATGAAGAAATAGAAATGAAGACAGAGGAGAGAGACGCTATACGTGAGTTAGGCCAACAACTGAAGACCATAGTTCAGGAGGTAAAGACGGGCGCAGTGCAATGCGCGCAGACACCTGGAACATGCATGAAGTCTATCCAGGACGTCTCCAGCAGCAATCCTGAGAATGCCGAGAGTAAGGCCACAGTACCGAACTCTGTCGCCGGCGGAAAACCAGCACCAGACGCACCGACAGGTAAGGACCGATGGGGATAAAGCACGAATGCGGCCCGAACACCAACACGACTGCACACGAATCATACGCCCGCACACAGCCGAATATGGATCCCGCCATCACCACCACAAAACACGGCGGAACAGCCAACAGCGGTGCGCTGCCCCACTTCGTTGACGTTGAGCTGCGGCGACGGCATCGATAGCGGCGGCGATGGCAGACGGCGACAAATAAAAGTTGTACTGCTACCATCTAGCCCAAGTTCACCGAGTACACCTCACCGTGCGCTTGCTGCCGCTTGACCGAGGCGACCGAGTTCACCTCGCCGTACGCTTGCTGCCGCCTCACTCAGTCCACCGCATTCACCTTGACCCACTGCATCGACCCATGCATCGAGCCGGACCTGCCGTTACGTGACCCCACCGTGCCGCCCCCTTCTTTCTGTACCACTGGTGTCGTTTATCATTTTTCTTCCTTTGCAGAGGAAGAGGCTAAAAATCAGACACCACCACCGAAATCACAGCAACCGGAGAAGACGGAAAACACTCCATCGGCACCATCCGTGGTGCCCGGACCAAAGGGACGATCAGAGGACTCAACAGCAGCACAGCCTTCAGGAGTAGGATCGCCACCACAAGCACCTGCATCTCCAGTATTACCAGCCAGGCCACCACCACCTCCTCCACCAAGGAGACCATCCACACCAAGACAAGGTCCAACACAGGGCGCGGGGAGGGCGGGGGTCGCAACATCCAAAGGGATGCCACGCCCTGCAACAGGACCAGGGAGGAGACCAAGACCACGGCCGACACCGCCGAGAACGAAGTCGACGGAGTCACAGCCACCGGATAAACCGACCGGTGCTAACGGCAAAGTCCGGGACCCTAAGCAAGAATCGACGTCACCACCCGTCACGGGAGCCGGCAGCCACGGCAAGGACGGCAAGGACGGCAAGGACGGCAAGGACGGCAAAGGACCTGCACCAGCCAAACCAGTAGCGTTGAACAAAAATTCGTCCAAGGGGAAACCACCGGTAGGCACAAAGACGGAGACGACGGGGTTAACCAATACGGTAGTAACGAGAACGACCCGGCGGATGCGCGCGTTGTGGATGCTCATTCTCGCGTCGATCATTGAAGAGTGCAAATTCGAGAATAATATTCACGATAAAGAATTATATGTACACAATTGTTTACAGAATATGCGAAATGAGGATGGGCAGCACATGAATAGGAGTAGCACATTATAACAGTTACATCCCATTTGGTTCGTTTAATGACATAATGTGTTACTACGCTTAAGTTCCTACTCCTGTTTTTTTTTTTTTTTTTTTTTTTTGTTTTTTCTCTGTTTCAAAAGGTTTCGTCATTCTAAACAATATTAGTTTGCATTTCTGTTCTTTTTTCTTCTCTTACTCGTTTTGACGGAGAACGCATACGTGAAAATTATGTTACCATAACAATATAACTTTTTCTCTTCACATAAGTATAAAAATACTCTATACACAAATCTTCATAAGTTTGAGTTAAACTTTGTTTTTTTTTTTGCGATAAAATATACAGTCACAACAAATTTTGTTTGCATCTCCGTTATACAATAATGCGATTGAGCGCATTCTCATTCCAAACGATTGAATAAGGCACCTAGTATTTTTTATCCATCAACGTATTATGCGCAGCGTATAAAAAGTCATAAAAACGTAAGTTGAGCATATACTGCTATATATGCAACGGTTCAGTTACAAAAGAAACATTTTCCATCTAAAACCCTACAACTCAAAGCCCACACATTTATTGAAAATGTACAATGACCTCTCCTTCTTTCAGAAGCTCAAAATAATGTATCATCTGTGCATTGTTCTTGTTTTTTTTTTTTTTTTGTTTTTTTTTTTTATTTAACACACGGCATACACAAATTCCCTTATTCATATATTATATTCCGGTTCCTATAATAAAAAAAAAAATTCGCCCAACACTATTTCTCCCCTTTCACTCACTTTTATTGCGGCAACACTTTTCTTTTAATTCTGTTTAGCTCTTATTATTACTGATCTAAATTAACTAAAAATTGCGAGTACAACTGCTTGTTCCTTTTTACTCCATAATAAAAATTTCCATGTGAACAACAATGACATCACATGCAAAATAGGAAGTAGCATATATTATATTATTATTAACGTCCATTTAAGTATTGTAAATTCTCTCTTCTTCTTCTTGAATTTTCCAGTAACCTTCCTAAGAATTCAGTTCCTAGGAACTATGCTATAATTTATATATATTTATATTTTTCAAAAAAAAAAGGGAATCTTCCCTTGTTCTAATGTTTTAAAGGTAAGGCACCTTTTTTCAGAATTCTACTATTATGTAGAAATACAAAATAAAAATTAGAACTACGCAAAACAGCATGCTTAACAAAAAAAAGAATGCACATACATATATAAATTATGCCTCATCATATTTAATACTTTCTCTTTTGTAGAAACTGTCATTTCTATATAAGAATGGTACATGTATGTCCTTATTACACATCATAAAGGGTATTATACTTAGTGAACCAAGAGAGCAGTGCTGCCTGCTTTACTCTTCTCTTTTATATAAAGACCCACAGAAACATGTCACACGTCAACGAAGAAACAACATCGACAAGCAACGTCTCACAAAGAGCGTCGCAATGCCGAAATGGCACAACGGTTTCCGCAGGTAATGAAGGTGAAACACATGACAATAGGCCACACAGGTCCCTTTTCTCCAAAACAGCTGCTATGCTTTTTGCTGCTGCTTGCATCTGCGTAACGGTAAGCTCACTGCAAGTGAAAGTTTACATGATCACATATAGATGTGGAGACTGGAATGTTGCGCACTCGGCTATATGTATGTGCCGTACGCAACATGCCCGAATATTTATATGTATATTTTTGTCCTTCCGGTTCTTACTTCCCCTTTTTGTTCCTTTCTCCATTGCCATTCTATTATTAATTCAACTCATCACCACTCCTCTTCGCTTCCCCTTTCTACAGCATCCAGATAAATTCGACAGACACGCAGAGCCTTTGGCCAAATTACGCGTACATAACAGAGTCGCGCGCAGTTTAGCAAAGGTAAAACTATTTGCATCAGATGATGAACTTGAATTAGATCCGATGGTATTCGAACACTATGACGGGGCCTACGACGATGTCGACGAACCTTATGCAGAAGCGTATGGATTTCCCCCCAAACGAGTATACTCTCGCAACCAATGGACAAAACCCAAAAAACGATGTTATAGAGACGGACCAGGAGCTATTCTAAAAGAACGGAAAATAGTGGAGTACGAGATACCACAACAAGTCCATTATGAACGAAAGTGGAAAATAGAACATGATGCAAGGGAAGAAGAAGTCCATAACGGCGACAAATTATCTGCCGATGTAGCAGTCGCCGCGTCAGTTAACAAATCTAGAACATCCGTTTCGAAGTTGGGTGCAGAAGAGCCGTTGCCATCATCCCCACAAAATAAAGGACAAAGTGGACAAACGAAACAGGAACCGACAGGATCTTCAGGTGCAGGTAAAACGGATATGTGCACACACGAGGAGAACATAAAGTTCGCGGAGGTTGCGTTGGAGGCTTCCCCACAAATGCCCCATTCGGTGCAATGCTCATGAAATCCTATTGCACACACCTAATTTACAGGAACGACCCCAAGCACCGGAAGCACCGGAAGCACCGGAAGCACCGGAAGCGCAAAGAACGGGAGGCAGGCTGAAGCAGTTAACATGAAAACCGGGAGAGACTTTAGTAGACGAAAATTGGCTACATATATTACCTATAGGTACTGCAAGTTCTTCGTTGTGGCTATTGTCATTTATGTAATAATAATGATTGCTGCTGGCGGTATCCTTGGAGGTGTAGCTTGGGGTGTACTTGGGTGTACTTTTGGGTGTTTTAACATGACTCAGGGTGTTAAAGGAGTTTTGTGTGCACTTGGGATTCTCATACCCTCCGCTGCAGGTGGTGCGGGTATACTCAGTATGTTGTCACTTCTGCTATTCCGGTGCTGCTACCGAAAGAGAAGGCAACAGTGCCGAAGAAAGCTCTAAAGGATAAAATTACATGAAAGCAAGATCAGAAGCGCGAAGTACCCCAGAACTCAGAAGTACCGAAGCAACCAGATGTACGCAAGAAACCACAAGTAACTTCCTGTATTGCACTTCTGGGTAGGCAACGTCAATGTTACTGTATGCTTGTATATATTTTCTTAGATGGACCCTCATATGATATTGTATACATTGGCTTATTATTCCTTTATAGCAGTTAGCTTTATAGTTCCGTTTTCTACATTATAATATGGTTTACATTTTTCCTAATAGAAATGCTCCGTGGATATATGGTTCTGTTTTGTTTCTGTAATCATTTGTCCATAAACATGATGGAAACACGAAGCATTTGAAAAAAAAAAGAAGGATGCGTCGTTCTCTTATTCTATATATATAAATATATGCATATATAACGAATAATTATTTGTTACATCCTATATGTGTAACATATATATTACACAATGATCATCTGAGTTAATTCATACAATGCCTATTCTTATGATATGTAACACATTTTCCTTTCTTGTTTCCTTCCATGTTGATGCTTCCTTTGTTCTTCGTATAAACTTCCACATTGCCAAATGAAACGGTTTTACACCTTACCTTTTGATATGCACACAAATGGAGGATTTTAGTAAATGTAAAGGTCCATATATGCGATGGGTTTCCACGAAAATATAGCACGGCATATGTGCACAGATCATATATTATATCCTCTCTTCCCTGCTAATGTGCTGTGGGACGCGTAATGTGCCATGGGATTCGTTCATGATTTTTGTATACATGGTAATACGCGCTCCTGCGGAAGTGGCCACATTTCCTAAAAGACTTCATCGTACCGTTCTCTTTAAAACGTATTTCTTTTTCCATGTAACAATATGACGCACACTTTCTTCCGGTGAACACACTACAGGGAATCATTATGCCCGTGGTGCTCCTTAAAACCCGCGTAAGGGATGTCCGGTTGTTTTTGTATTGGACATTGTAATTATGCGTAGTTAACAATCTGGATCCCACGATCTACTACTGTAGCCGTTATAGTAATTTCTTCGCCGCTTGAAGGTTCGCCCTACAAAACACATGGTTCCCGCCACCCGCGCTTGTTTTTCGTTCATCAATACCTTTTGGCCTTTTACCGTGCTTCGGGAATGAAAAGGGACGGGGGCGGGCATGGGAACGGCAATATTTCGGAGTGCCGCACAGTACTTTACATTTTTCTGCTTCGCTGGCAATTAACTAATCATTATGGGTGACGGGAAGCCATAAAGGAAACTGTTCGTTTGCATTTGCAAAGCCTTTCATCCGTCCCTTAGCACATATAATACTATTCCATCGCGAAATCCATTCTCCTAAAACTTAATGCAGTCATATGCACATACTCTAATTCCATCATCGTGCCTTTATGATTTCCGGCATACGGTTGTACGTACTTCCCAGAGTCATTCGTTTTACACACCCTGCGTGTAATTCATTTGGTTCTAAAGAAAAACAAAAAAAAAAAAAAAAAAGAACAGAGAAAGAGCATAAGAGCAGAATTACACGTAACGCTAAAACAACTTGAAGTTCCAAAAAAAAATAAATAAATATGCGTACACATGAAATAAAACAAAATATAATATATAAAGGAAAAAAAAAAAGAAAAGAAGAAATGCCTGGACAACATTACGCGCGCACAACTTGGAATTTGCCGCAGCCCCGACAAAAAAAAAAGTACATGTTCAGACGTCCGAGCACATGTGTTGACGGCAATGCACATGTAGGCCGTTGCGCTTGTACTGTCACGAATACAATGTACCATGAAAAAAGTACACCCAACCGATGTAGGAGCATCGCGTATATGTTTTCGTAACCGCGCAAATCGTATATGTGGGCTGCTTTATTATGCCGCCCTTTTTAATTATTCCGAAAGAACAATTCTTGCTGTATTTCATTTGTCCGTAACGTCGTTGATGGTTTCATTTTTATAATTAGGAATTCGCACTCTGTGAGAACACAATGACGCGTCTGCTGTGATGTGTGTACGACGGCACAAGTGTCCCGTGATCATGTTAAACTTGTGCTCTTTCATAGCATATAAATTCCACTGAAACAGCAAATATGAAATTCGTTACTCCGTCAAGGCTTCAGAAATTTACGATGAAATACAAAGTGTACTGAGTAATTCTGTTGGCGCGCATTCCTATTGTTTCCGTTGCTGATACGAAGTTCTAACGCCCCTTTCTTCTGTGTACGTTATTCCTTACGTCAGGCGGCAACCTGTCCACACTGAGTGGAACATAACATCCCCAACCAGGGTCATAGCTCGCAGGATTCATGCTTCGACGTTTCCAGTGCACAAATATCATATTTACTCTTGCACACGTAGAAGGAGTTCAAATTATATGACAAAACATGTACAGATATAAGCAAATATATATATAATTGCGTGTACGCAGAAAGACGGCCATGGCCTCATATTTATAATAATACAACAATCTACATATCTTTTCCTCATCTGCTCTTCTGAAGAATTCATAAGGAGCGTATATTTCACAGATGTTACTCCTGTTTATTCCTTATTAAAGGTATTTATGCAATGACAGGGATGAATACATGTGGATGAGCGCAAGCAACACGAAATTGTTCTTAGCCAGTGTTCTGCATGGAGCGGTTCTCTGTTCAGGCAACATTATTACGTTCCGGAATGCTTTGCACTGGATGCACGAACCCGAGGGGGTTGTGCCCCTGTAAAATATGCTAATTACCTGGGAAGAGGCCGATTGCATCCTTCATTTATGCCTTTCCCTCTATAGTACACTATGGTCTATAGTTGTTATATTGGAAAATTTCGCACGTGTCAGTTACCAATTGGACGAACTCGATACCTTTGACTCGACACGGCAGCCACAACCTTTCCTTTCCGACTTTTACCTTGTTACCCCTTGTTATAAATTGCTACCCCTTGCCCCCAAATTTCACTGTCGCCTAAATTACTACCCCTTCCCCCACAGTTACTATTCCTCCTGTCTTCATATATCCATATATGTACCACTTTGTACACCCGCGGGGACACTGCGTTCTGTGTCCCTGTGTTCCGTACAGTTTCCTATATTATTCCTCCCCGAGTAGTTCTCCGTCGTCCATACAGTTACAGGAATTTGCGCAATTATCGCATTTTCAGAGATAAATAGACGCGTTACTTGTATAGAATTTATTGGATTCGCGCTTCGCCCCGCGTGTAAACTGCTGTTATCCCAACACATCATCATTAACTTTTCTAATACGATGATGTATTAGTGTGCGCAAAGAAGGACACATGAAATTCGGGGCTCGCAATTGAAAGAACCACGGTGCACCCAGGTTTACCTTTATCTATACACAACATGAGTACTTAATGCTCATGTAGAATGGAAAAAATCAAGGCGTGGCCTTGCGCCATGAGGGTGTTCCCCCGTCGTAAATGTACGTTCGCATAATTCCGAACATACGTTTTCCCCCAAGGTCCAATTGTAATGCGCCTATGCGTGTGCATATTATGCATTGTACTTAGATTGTTTTGGGAGAGCGCGCATGAGAACGCAGAACCCCAGAGTCTGACTATGCATACATATAAACTCATCCGAATTGAACCTGTGCATTAACCTCTTGTAAAACCCTGTCCTTATCTCTTCATTGATATTACACAGGATGTGAATATGTACAGGATATTCGTAGGTCTGCTCCCGTGATTAATTAAAATAAAAATACATGTGTAAGGAAAATGTATCCACGCACACGGTAGACGGATGGAGGATGCAGGAAGTACGATGGATGCGTACGTTTCTAGAGCCTGTAACACAACATGCAGAGTCCATTATGCTTACGTTTGTATACTCCTGTGAACAGGTGAGAGTATTTTACACGTGATTACAATACGGTCCGTATAGTGGGATGCCCATACAAGTCTGTCCCCTGCGTCCTCTGTCCCTATTATTCCTTTAACAATTGTGTACATTGTAAGTATATTAATTGAATACTATGCAAGCTGAATAATGTTTCTAACAGTTTCCCATGACCAGTACATTGAACATATATACGCGGAAGCTGCTGTACTCATTTTCATATAAAGGTATTCTCCAGTGGCTATACAATATTGTACACTGCTTCTGCTACCCTTGCATACTTTATTAGTATCCCATAAATTCTTATATAAATTTCTGTCTATAACATCATAACCATAATAAATGCCACTGGGAGCAATTTCCCTAAGGAGAAGCGCTTACTATATCGGGAAATTGGTTCTACAGGCTTTTATTCCCTAAGTCATTTTGTTCCTATGGAAATTAAATCTTAGAACAAACTGTTTATTACAGCTATTTTGCTCTATAACAATTTCCTATTCTATGGTCACTTGTGATAATATAACATGTATATATAGAACCAACGAAAATAAAAATTGCTTCATAGTCCCTCTAATATTTTATTTTAATAAATCTGGAGGCCATAATATAGTGTATATTTATTATACTAAGTAAAAATATTCTATTATTCAAAAAAACAAAAATGACAAGAACAGGCGAAACCGGAAGGCTATATAAGAACCGTGATTCTATGAATTATATATTTATATGTTAAGCTGCACATAAAAAATACAACAACGAGTAGAGTAATTTTGATTACTGTGAGCATAAGGAAGAAAAAAAAATACGAAAAAAGAAAGAAAACGGAAACAATGAAGAATGAATAAGAAAAGGGAAGGGACCTTATGGATCACTCTATGCTAAGGGGAAGAATAAATTAACAAAATTATTTAAATTCAAAATCATAGCACGCAAATTATTGTGCGCATGTAATCGCAGGGATTCATGTTTTATAATATATTAGTACATGTTCTAATGTTTGCTCTAAATACACAAATAAAAGAATGTTACAATAATAGTAAGTTAAAGAAGAACCTAATACGGGTAGTTGAGTTTTGTCTGTTATTATTCACAAATTGAAAGGTTCGAATTGAATACAGGTGGGCTGTAGGTACCATTGTAAATTTTCCCTCCTTATTAATTATTTTTCCGCACAGATTAACTCATGAAACTTCTTTGTTCAAAACATATATTCATGATAATTCTGCCATGGAGAATATATTCAAAAATGCTCTATTTGATTATTCCCTTGAAGGAACGGGTTGAGCAAGTGCCTTATAACAAGTTCCCATGTGGTTTTCCATATTTTCCCTTTTCTTTTTTTAAAACATTTCCTGCAAAAAACTTAATGCTTAATTTACACTTTCATAATGTCTTCCATCATAAACATTGAGCACATTATATATGAATTTTTCCTATGATTCACTATTTTTTTTCACCGAGGAATGAAATAGGAGGAATGTAAAAATGGAAAATAAGTTTCCCATGAGCATTTATTATGAGCAACGGGTCTATGTAAATTTTCTTCCTTTTTTTTTTTTTTTTTCATTTGCAAGAATTGATACTATTAAATATGTATAAAGTGTTATATAGTTCATAGGAATTAATGAGAAATTTATTTCAAAAATTAGTTTCCAAGAATTCCATATGGATCCGGTTTTTCCTGAGAACGAATTTCCCTAAAGTGCGCATTTCTTCGGGGGACGCTGTTTTGCCCTTCGGCAAACGTATTTGTACAGATCCATGAACGAATTCTGTTCATGGGCTTAATTCGTTGTGTACACTTTAGTGTACAAATTTTGTTTTACTTGCTGTTCTATTGTTCAAAATGCTATATTTGCATTATAAATAGAGTGCGCATTAAGATGAATGGTTTCCATTAGGAATTATTTGAAGAATATTCCCAGGGGAACCGTTTCTTCCGGATGCTGTATTTATGAATGCATTTCTATATAAATCTTACTGCACAAAAGATTCCCTATAAGTTTCCAGCTGTCTCCGTTCTTTTCCTGCCATTTTCATATGTTCCTTCCTTCAATATAAGTATAGCAAATGTAAAAATGGGTTGTGTGAACTATAGGTATATGCAGTTTGGGGGAATAGTAACATTCTTCCCCTGGAAAGAAATCATAGTACAAGGATGAGTTCGCCAATAAGTGGAGGGGGAAGCACGGGCTCCAGAGGTCCTGGATTAATGTACGGATAGGTGACGCTATAATATTTCCAAAGGGAAATTAATATATTATAAGATTTAGGATACCATGGCAAACAGATTTACCGATGTATTGACGAAATATAAGAAGGAACAATGCAAGGATAAAGTTGGGGGATGTGTGGTAAGTTAAATTGAAGGAACAATAGAAAAAGTAGATACGTTTGAATAAGTGTATGCATGAAGATCATGTGAGAATAACTATATGGATGATGTACTCGTAGATGCGCTATGAATTAATGGGGTCACTATAATAAGAACAACAAATAAACCACGAGTACAGGGTTATATAGGCATATATGAGTGAATGAAATAAGACACAGTAGACACACAGATGAAATATACACACGCGTGCGTGTATAAATTATTCTGACTATAGGAATTCATGTGGAGCCACATAAATACCATATTCCGTAATTTAAGCCGTAGTATTGTCGCAAGGTACAATAAGGACGTCGCAATATGTGAGTACCTGTACAACAGTGATAAGGACAAATCATGCTATGAAAGGTGCAGAGACATCATAAACATTCTCCGCTTTATGGATGGATATACCTATAGTGCCGAGAAGTGGACAAAAGTACAGAATAACAGAAGTGAGGTTGTAGGATTCGAGGATTATATGAGATGTTTGGCCGGAAGTATAGCTTTACTGCAGATATATAATGAGGACCAAAATCAACAGAAGATTGTAGAGACAGTGGCGCATCAGTTGGACATAGACAGTAAGAATGCAAAAGCGGAATTTGGATACGGGAAATGTAATAATTATAACCATGGGGAAATAGAATTCGGATTAAAATTTATTGCGGCTACTGGCAAAGAATGGATAGAAAGGTGGAAGAAAGGGTGGCTGGGGCAACAAAATAAAAAGAAACATCTGGCGACGTGTGCATCCGGAGCTGAACGAAGGAGGAGGCCAAAAAAAACAAACAATTCTATTATAAAAGTGTTGAATAAGGATTTTGCTAGAGACATAAAGGACATATTGGAAAAAAGTGTCCGAGAAACAAGAGATGTATTTAAGGATATAGTAGAAGGAATATGGGAAAGTATAAATACAGGTGATGATACGAGAACAATAGAGAACAAAGTAAAGGATATAATAGAAAGAGCTAAGATGGGAGGGCCGGTAAGCCTAGGCGCGCCAGCGCTAAAGGGAAATGACGAGTCACCAGCAGTGCACAAACCCACGAAACCGGATGCTCAGCCCCCTGCACCGCAGCGTCCTGTATCAGCATCGGACTCATCGGCATCCCCAGCAACACCAGAAACATCAACACCAAGCCTATCAGATAAGAAGGAAGGATCGCAGCCTCCCCAGAAAGAAGCAGAAGCACCATCATCGCCGACACCGGTAGAACCAGCCCCGAAAGGAAGATCAGAAAATTCTGAGCATCCACCTCCACCACCAGTACAATGGCCAGCAGAACCGTCGTCAACGCCATCACCAACGGAAAAGGTACCAGTAAAGGACGTGGCATCAACGGGGGAACCCGGACAAGACCAAAAGTCTACGGAGACTACTAAAACCGTGGAGAACAATGAGCAGGCTGAAGCATCCGGCCCCCCAAATGCCGCCGACAGGGACCCCGTCACTAGTGTGGGCACTGAGGATAGTGTATCTGAACCCGGGAACCAGGTGAACTGTAAAACTTCGGAAGGTACTGAAAGTTCTGGTTCCGGTAGTCCGAAGGATTAGACTAATCCAGACGGCGTAGATGTCCAGAATGCTCAGAGTAAAGCAGGAGAAACTAATCGTGCTCCTCACGAAGGAAGTGCTCAGGGGAGCACTAACGAGCACATTGTTCCAAATGCCAAAGCAGCTGATACCGTTAATCCAAGTACTAAGGACAATGGCATACCAGGTACCCCCGGACACGCCTCCACAAGTAATGATGCCTTACAACCAAGTACAGGCGCGGCTGGTGGAAGTGGCGCCAATGGTAATCCTGTCGATTCCTCTGATAAGAGTGGACCAAAAGAAATTGCTGTAGTAGTAGTGCAGAAGGAAGCTACAGTATCACCTGTGAATCCAGAAGCAGGAGCAGGATTACCGGATACTGATATCGCAAAGGTAAATTCGAACGACCACCAGCAAGCATCAGCAGAAAATACAAACAATAGTCCACCATCCAAAGGTGCCCCGGACATCCCCTTCTTCTGGCCAGGACTTACCCTGGATAAGGTCACCCCCTACACACCCATAATCATTCCAGTGTTAGTTGGTATATTTATCTTGATCTTTCTCCCTTCAAAAGTAAGCACAAATGCACAAATTACGGAATGGGACATGCGTTGGCACAATGCGTGTCCTGTGTGAAATGCAACTGTAGCCCCTGTGACCATTCTAACAATTATATACACCCTCCCCTACTTCTGCTGCTTACACATTCCATTATGTTTCTTCTATTTAGTATTTTGCTTTGCTGGGAAAACGGAAAAGAACAAGATACAGGACGATACGTGACGTGCCGTCACCGCCACTCGACGAAGAAATATTGCAGCATCTACAACGCGGCGACCTGCCGCCACCCGATTACGGTTACACAATGGTTACGGATAGGCAGCCCGGCAGATTGCGCGCCCGACGACGACGACGTCATCCACGCGTGCATAAGCTCACCATCATCGAGCTACATTTAGAAGTGCTCCACGAATGTGAAGCGACAGCTTGGGAAAACGTCCAAGACGACTATTTGCACATACTCGTTGAAGAGTTTATGGGGGGCAACAACGGACATAGTAGTTCCTTGGATGCTGCTACCACAAACCAGGGTTTATCAGGAACCAATGTTTCCTTCGCCCTGCATCCACCCACTGACTTCGACGGAACGGATGCATGTCCACGTAACGCAGATGACCCCGATCCATGCAAGTGTATGGAAACTATACAGTTAGCAAGGGACCGTTCTCCACCTAACGAAGATGACCCCGATCCATGGAGTTGTATGGAAACCATACCGTTAGAAACGGACCGTTCTCCACCTAACGAAGATGATCCATGGAGTTGTATGGAACACATACAGTTAGATGCAGAACAGAGTCGTTCACAACCAGCAGCGACACGTGAAATGCGGGCCCCCGACCACACTAATTGGATTAACTGGATTGACCGCCACAAACATATGTTGCGCGAGTGCACGAGGAAACCGTGGTTTAATGCACTCAAATCGGAATGGAAACAATATTATCAACAACATGCGCCAAACGAAGCATCTGGTGTGAACAGGACAGCCGCATTCATGGACAGCAAGAAGCACGCATGGAAAGAATGGGTAGCGCAACAACATCAGCAAATGAGTACATACAGTGAGGAGGAGTGGTTTAAGCATTTGTTAGAAAATATCGAGGAGGAGACACTACCGGAAAAAGGCGAAGTACTTCGAGTAGAAAAAGTAATGGGAGCAGAGGACATGCTAATAGTGAGAGATTTACCACGCCCCCAAACACTGCATCAGGATGCACATACAAAGAACCACTTCATTGCCAAATTGTGGATCCTTCTGCTCGCGACCGTTATACAGCAATGCGACTCGGACCAGAATGTGCAGGAAAAGGAGTTATATGTGGATCGTTTATTACAAAATCTTTGAAAAGGCCAACAAAGAGAGGGCGATATTATTGTCAAAAAGAAACGTCAGGTATTTTCACTTGTCCGGACATTGCAGTTGTTGTGATAGTACTCCCCTACGTATATATGCACAACATTTGTTAGCGCTGCTGTCTTCACGAGTGCCTGTACTTGCCACATTCCATATGCTCCTTATTTTCCTATGTCATTTCACTATAATGTTTTGTTTTTTTTAGTGGGAATTACTCAGCGATCGTACTATATGTACAAGTTATTATGAGCATTGCTCATACCCCAACACCTCAACAATTTTACAAATCTAAAAGAAAAGAAAAGAAAAAAGATATGGTACAGTCCTTTAAAAAAGGACAACCCAGGGCGCTCTGAACGCGTTTTCGTGTGAGCAATCGTGTAATTTGTGTGACATATTAAAAAGGGAATGTTCAAGCGGGTATGCCTCCTCACATCACCATGAAAAATGGCGTATATGTTTGCAAACATTTCCCATTAGATGCATCATATGACTTCATGCCCCTTTGTTGGGGGTTACATCTTTCTTAAAGACATTCGCGCAAAGCACGGTGCGGGAGATTCCCATCAATAGGATATTATGCCAATCTTTGTAAGTGAATCGGAAGAAGCTCTAAAATCGCGTACTTTGTAAAATTCTTACTTCTCAAAGAGCACCATTTTATCGAGTCTTGGAGGAATGCCTGCTTTGCATTCCCGCGTGTAATTCATTTGTTCTAACAAGCTCCCCAGGGAAATCAATCAGCTGGTCGCGTCACAGGCTCTAATCGTCATTTTTTCCTTTACCGTTTTGGGCATATTGGGCAAAAGCATTATCTCCTCATTTGAGAAAATGCAGAAGAGCATTAATGCGTGAATAAGATTAATTTAATCACAATATAATTTGTCAGATAACTTGCTAGATAGGCGAGCACTGGCTTGCTCCTCACCTTAACCATAATTGTACTCATGCTTGTGATAATTCCGCCGGTGCCTTTCTACAAGGGGTGAGGCAGAGAACTGTAAACTTTAGCTTTTAGATCAGGAAGCTACCAAATCATGGGTCGCCCTGCCATATAGATACGGAAGACAGCAACCAGGTTAGACATTTTTCTTTCCCCATTTTTGAGCCTTTAAGGGAGGAAATTTCATAACACATTTTCGTGCATATCCCTATGATATGGACACCTTGTGGAGCTCACGACAAATAGCTCAACCATCTGAACATTGGCATTTTTATTCAGAAATTCGACCAAGCTGTTCACACAATGCGGAAAATAAGTTACACATTTTGTACAGTGCTTAACTTTATGGTATAAAGGGAGGTTGTCTTTTCAAAAGTGCCAATCTAATTAAGAGAAAAAAAAAAATTAGAGAAAACATAGTAAAAATGCAAAAATTAATTCATAAAGACTAAAACAGACACATGTACACGTGTGCTGATATGCATATGTGCACACATACCTTGAAGCTAAGATGCTCAACAAATTTGTTCACACATTTATATTGTGCGCGGTTTCAAAACAAATGAGTGGTCATTGCGGATTTGCGCGTCCACGGGGGTACTAAATATGCATCAGCCCGTGTTACTACAAGTTCGGCTATGGCCGTAGCCGTCGGAGCCTCCATCCACGTGTCCACTAATGTCAGATGATTAACACCGTTTCCAACTATTCTCGTTACCCGTGTTCTGTTATTCCCCTGTTGATTCAAACTTTCTAGGTGGTCCTTCCAGCGCCTCCTGCCCGTGAGGTATCTTTCCCCTCTTAACCGCTTCGATGCCTCTCCCAGATGAAGACCCATTGTGCTCGCGTAACAGCAATGAGAATGCTTCTCCCCGTAATAACCACGTCCTTATCGCTGCCTCTTCAACTATTTCATGTATGGCTGCATTTTGTTAAAGCCATGCTATGTTTCAGTCTATCGATTTGGCGCGACAGATAAGTGTTTAATTTCTGACACCCTATCATACAGGCTTCCAATTTTTTAAATAATTCCATAAATTTCTCATGTTCAAAGAGGTAGTAATAATACGAAACACGACTTCGATCAGACAGCTGGAATGTTTTATTGATTGCATTCTTCAGATTATACAAAGCTTTACAATCAATGACGAATGTGATGATTACGTGAAATAGGTTGTACTCTATGCTCCGGAGTATGTCCACATGGCTTATGCTCTCATTTATGTGCAGGAGCTCACTCTTGACAAAGAAAAACTTGTACTGAATCTCGTAGAAAGTCGTCACTAGATTGTTTATGACGTCGCAAAATATCTTGTTCCTCCTCATTATCCAATCGTCCTTAAGGGTGTAATCCATGTTGAGGCGATACGTTACATATCCCTTGGGTTGCTATGCGCTAGCGTGAGGGGTATGGCGTGATATTCTGGCGAGGAAGTAAACAAAACAAACCGGCGAACTACTGCCTTCTCCTCCCTGCTTCTACTCGGCTGTGTGTATTATCCCAACTGGGATCACGCACCAATATGTTTCGCTGACGTGGAGAATATCTATGGACGTGTCCAGTAAGCACAAAATATTCATGTCTTCCCCCGTGCAAGGGGCGTGAACGCGTGATGCGGAGTACACCCAATGCTTGCACCTTCTGTACTATGTGTTAGCTGCGAACAGTGATGTTTTGGAGAAGTGCAGGTATCGGCATGTGTACATATATATGCGTGTATGGGTATTCTCCCATTCGTGCGCTTATCCTTTTGGGAAAAAAAAAAAAACAGGAATTATGCGCAGCCTCTGGAAGTGCTTATACTTTCCTGTGCGACGCAGAACAAAATTGGATTGTTCTTACAGACAATTTTGATTGTATATACTATATATTCGGCTCTTATATTTTGTTTCCTTTTATTCTGTAAAAGGGGTATTCCCTTGCTTACACAAGTGGTGTAGGCAAAAAAAAAAAAAAATATGTAAAGTGTTTTGAATTTCTATACAGATAAAAGCTTAACAATAAAAGAAAGCTTAAAAAAAAACAAAAAAAAAAGCATGTGATTTTGTTCCATAACCACGTCGATTATAAAAAAAGTGGAGAAAAAATGTTGTACGAACGTATAACTTGTTAATTTTAAAATTGAATCTTTACATGTAATTTGTCATTTAATTTTGTTGCAACACAGGATTTTTAAGAATGCACTTGAGGTTTGCATTCACGCGGATCTACATACATATACGAGCATATGCATATGTATATCGTAGCAGGCGTCAGGACAACGAGAAAAAAATTTTGTGCGTGGCGGAACATTTGACAGAAAACTAAATTAACGAAAAGGCACATTATTCTTTTTGTTTTTGTTTCTAAATCTGTAGAATTGTATAAATATATTTTTTTTTAATTTATTTTTTAAATTCACTATTTTGTGCTTTTAAAAAGAAAAAAAAAAAAAAAAAAAAAAAGCCATATAAATGGTTGTGGCCTGCAAACAGCAACTGCAAAAATGACGAACCGCAGGGGTGCAGTTGAGGGGATAATTACGCCCTCGTGTATATTTGTACTTTTTGTACTTCTGTACATGTGTCCACCGCTCATGTACCGCTTGGCTATGCACATAGCCTTATGTGTAGGAAAGACTCGCATGCCAGCACAAAGCACGACGCAAAAGTTTTTCCCCGACAAGTAATATCATTTTTGTGTTTCTGGTTCCACATGTTGTAGCGACACAGAAGTGCATAAACGATTATTGTCCAAGCCGGCCTCAGAAAATACTCTTTTTGGTATTGTTCTCAAAAGGAGAGAATGAAAACCAGAGCCAAAGAAGTGAGTATATATAGGGAGAAGCAACCCACCGGAATAGTAACCCTTGCAGTCAAAAAGCTGCGATGCGATAATTCGAACTTGTTCTATGCTTATTGTTCCGTTACAATACCTGGACGTATAGCTGCATATATGCGCTGCAGCGTACACACATGGGTTTGCACATGAACATGTGCATGCAGACTTGGGTACGTACACATGCTCCTCTAAATACTTATACGTGCTCTTTAGATATGGCACATGCAAATATTCGAAATTATTCATGCGCACATGTGCATGAAGCGGCAAGCATGCCCCTAAAGAGATGAAAAAATGGAGAAAACAATGAAATGCGTAAGTTGACCACTTTTGGTAGATACCCTCCCTCCCCATCTTGACAGTAGTAGTGCCTGCTCAGGTTAAAACTGCTAAAAATGGAGGCCCAGCCCTTCATTATAAGGTGCAACAGATAAAAGGAAAACATCATGGAACTATTTACAAGTTGGTCAAATCTGTTGTCATATGTCGAAATGGTCAAACAATGAAAGCATGGCACAGTATGATCGCCAAAGTTAAACCACCTCGTAGCATGCACGCACAGAAAAAACTGCGCGCCACGTCCTGCCAGCTGCTGAAACCATTCTGTGCCTCAAGCTGCTAGCCAATTTTTGTTGCCAAATTTTCCTCAGAAACATTGGAGAACATTTGCACAAACATAGGCACATGTATATATTATATTCTCATTCCCATGTTCGTGCCTTTCTGCATACAGTGTGTCATCGTCTGCGAGTGGGTAAAATGCCCACTTGACACACAAGACGGGGAGGCCTCCTTAAGTACAGATCACGGATGAGCTAAACTCCATTTTTTCTCTTTATATGAAAAATAAAGTGGCTAGAAATAAAATATCCCATCAAATCCCAACACAAACTTTTTAACCCAGATTAAAGAAGCCTACCAAAATAGAGCAACAACAAAACCACTCAGTTTTATTTTCTCAAAATTGTGTCTCTTTGGACCAACTAATTAATGAACGAGAGAAGGTATGCGCATCTCCTCCATTTTTGTCCTTTATGGACTTGCCTTTTTCCAAATGTAGAGCATATTCATACTTTCCAAATTTGTACGCGCAAATAGTGAGGCTAAAAGGGCACGCAAGCCTGCCCCCATAAGTTCACATTCGGGTAATGTTTCGCCCCCTGTGTTGATATAACGAGAGACTCATTTATTCCTTCCACCTGATGATGCCTTCGTAAGACATGAGTTCCTCACCAACACGTGTATTCATTTTAATCACCACTGCACCACAAAATTTTTTGTGATTTGTGCTTTACGCTTTAATCTTTGAATTATGCCAGAAGGTTCAGTTGCGCGAATCAAATTACGGATGGACGTGAGGGACGGAAAAATTCGAAATGCAGTCATTCGCAAGGCAGCCATCCGAAATGTAAAAGTTCAAAAATGAAAAAAAAACAAAGTAACAAAACAAAAGGACAAAACAAAAAAGCCAAGTCCAAACGCAGCGGTCGCTGAGCGAAAGGACAAAAAGACAGGACTGCGCTGTCGTTCACACGGTTACGAAGCTTGACATACATATGCACAGTGTCGTTTTGTGCAATAACATAGAGCAGCTCTCTCTTCGGCGCATTCACAATTCCTCCATCGTCTCATTTGCCCCACTCAACAAGTTCTCATTTGTATACGACTCGTCCACCTCTCAAAACATTTAGCACCCGAAACAACAAAACCTGTTAACCATTCAGCTCGTTCTTTATCTGTATTATTTCCTTCACGGGTATCGGCTCGTAGGGAAATGTCTTCAATTTCGGGATACTCAAATTTTTCAGAGACGCAATTAAGTAATCGATGGAACTATCTGACATATTCAGGCCCGCATTTTCTTCAGGTAGAAAACTTAAAAAGTCGTTTATTACATTTGGCATGCTGAAATATTCTCGCTTGAAAAAATAATCCCTGTCGTCCCTATTCATGTTACTAACACAGTAGGGATATTCACTCAAGGGTATGTTTTCCTCATCGTGTAATTTCCCCCCATCTACTTCTACATGCTCATAATTTTCTAGCGGCTTGTACAGAAGCATCTTCTTTAAATTGGGTCTACTGATACAATTCACTGTGTCGGCTGTAATGCCGTTGTTATCTTCGGTCTTGCTTTCCTCATTTTTCGTGCTCTTTGCAACGTTATTGCGAATTTTTTTTTTTTTTTTCTTCACACTTGTTCGCGCATCCAAAAAGTTAAACGAATCGTAGGTGGATTTCATTGTGCCTCTTTTCGTGGAACGTTTTTTTTCTTTTTTCAAATGTGCGTTTCGCAGCTGGTCGTTATTTATTCGTTCTGCGCCTCGTTGCCCTTTTTGATTATTTCGACTTTCGCTCACGTCGCTTTCGCTTACATGCTTCTTATTTGCTTGCGATTGGGGATGCGTCGCAGGATCGTCGTCCTCCTGCTTCTGGTCCTGCTCACCCTCTTGGCACAACGCCTTTTTCTTTTTCCTCCCTCCCCTTTGCACCTTAACCACGCATTCATTTCGACTTATCAACTCCGTAAAAGCATTTTCACCACTGACTTGGAAAAAGGAGAAGGTCTTTTTGAGAGAAGCCCCGCCGAACTGCTGCGAACTGACCAAGTTCACCTTAAGCTGCAGATTATCAATGTCATTTTTTTTTAGGTTTACCAGATAGCCCTTGCAAAGGATATCCGTCAGCGTAGAATCTTCCACAAACATATGTTCGTTAACATTTGACACGTTGTCAAAATCCATGAGGACGTTTTTATTTTCTTCCAAATTGTAACCCGATTCATATTTCAATTTGGTTTCCCAAATTCGGTTCAAATTCGTTATGTCCCCGTAAAGCGTTTCCAGCTGCATTAGTAAAGTCCACATTTTATCGCACGCTTTATTTTTTTTCCTTAACAATTTTACATAGTTGGAATCGAACTGGTTAAATTCTCCCTGTCCTGATTTCGATCTGGAGCTTTTCCTGCCACTGCTGCTATGTTCCCTCTCATACTTTCTATAAAAATCTGTATAAAAATTGTGAACAAATTTGTAGATCAATGATCTCACCTCGTCCATGTTTCCCTTTTCTAGTAGAAGCTTAACATAAAGTAGCAGGAATCGTTTGTTTGAGGCGTACTTTTTATAACCCTCATTCATGATATACATGGCCCTTTTCTCATTTTTGTAAATTGTTCTTTCCATATTTGCACAGTAATAGTATACATATTGGGAACACCTCTTCTCGCTTAGCACAATTTCGGTGTAGTATCTCCATATGGTTTCATCGTAATTCCTTTTAACAAAGTTTAAAAAGTGTGTAAAGACAAAGTCTCTCCTTTTTTTCTTGTTTACGTTAATGTAATTTATGAAATATTTTTTCCGTTCCTCAATCTTTTCGTAATCGCAGTCCACAAATTTCTTCCTGATATCGTCTTCGCATGTGGTGGGCGCTGCGCGTGCGTCCCCCGTGGGGGTTCCACTGCCTTGCTCAGTCGCATAGTAGTTCCGCCGTTCATTAAGATCCTCCTCCCCACTATTACCTTCATTATCCTGCTGGATCATCCCATTCCCATCGTCGCCCCCCCCGTTGTAAATATCATCCGCTGTGACTGCCCTACCCCGAGACGGGCCCTCTGCTTTTACCTTTTTTTTACACGCCTTCCTTTCTTCATCGCTCCTGCCATTATGCGGGTCATCCCCCTCGTGTCCACCATCCGTCTCACTGGATTCCCCCCTTTCACGTTTACCCCCCTTTGCTATGCCCTTCCTCTTCCTCTTGGCTGCCTTGCTCTTTACAAGGCCGAAAGACCCTTTCCTGAAGCCTTTCTTGGAATGCAAAAAGGATAGAGAAAACTGCTTCCTCTTTTTGGAAACTTCACCAAGCATAAGCTGATAAACGAAATGAGCCTGATTTATTAGCGCGTGTCTTTCGAAGAAGTAAGCAAAATTTAACTTCAACAATTCATCAAATGGAAGGTAAACCTCGATGGCCTCTCTCATAATCCTAATGGCATAGTTAAACTTCTTACTTAGTAGCAAAAATTGGAAATACGAAAACCACAAATCAGCATTAAACTGTAAATGGACCAAGGCCTGTTCGTAGACATACATAATTCTTTTACGTACAAGAGGCAGGCTCAATTTCAGAGGGTTCTCTTTCTCAAAGTTGATAATTTTTTCCCATCTGCGAAGAAGAATACCATTCTCTACCTTATATTTCCTGCTAATAGGTATAATTAACTTAAATTTTTTATCAATTTTGAATTTCCTGTCCAGATTTAATTCCTGGTAAAGGGCACATAGTTCTCTATAAGCATTCTTCGCATTTAAATATTGCGTGTTGTAGATAGCTAATGAGCTAACGGTAAAATTATCTGTCATGGTTTTTTCGTAGGAGCAAAAATTCTTCCACACCTTATCTAAATATTTTGTTGGATTATTAAACCAGCAATGGTAAAACTTTCGAAGTTTCCCATCACTTGTGTAATGTTCTGTGTAGGTTACTGTTTTCCCACTTTTATTTGGGATGGTGGAGCTAAATATAGCTTGCTCCTTTTCTGATGGTATCAATGGCCCTTCATTCCTCTTTTTACTGCTTATGATCTTAAATGGATCAAACAGTAAATTTTGAATATCATTATTTAGAATCAAATTTGTGTTGTTTATTTTTATTAATATGTATAACAGCTCAACCCATATTGTGCCTGACTTTATATCCGTCCCTACGCACTTCAGTCCCTCGAAGAGAAAACTGATGTACTCGTGAATAGATGACGTGTGGTAGGTAAAGTACAAAAAGGAGAAAACTAATTTCAAGTCGTAGATATTAGCATCAATACATCTACGATATATTTTATACGCTTCTGTATATTCCTTTTTTTTTACTTTCAGTTCTGCATATTTTGTCCAATATAATGTGCACCTTGGAAAAACCAGGAGAAAGAGTTCGTACACTTCTTCCCTTTGGTACAGCTCAAGAAACTCGTACCATCTGCTCAAGTGCAGTGGGTTGGATTTTACAAATTGTAATTCTTCTCTGTACGACTGTTCATCCCTTTTGGGGTATTCACTGTCTGTGTCATCGCCCGCGCTGTGCTCGTTGTCGGCTTCGTTGGCGTTATCGGATTCGTTGCCTCCTTTCGAATCGTTTGCGTTTTCTGCTCCACCATTCGCACCTCCGACCTTGTTGGCCTTTTCCAATTTTCCACTTTGTTCTTCCTCACCATCGCCCTTCTCCGCACCCTTACTTCGCATAACATCAAGCACATACTCCTCCACATTGAAGTGCTTGTACAGCTGCTTGGTCTTCTCGTCTACCTTCAAATGCGTCGCGAACAGTTGCTTGGCTGTAACCAGTTCGTCATTGTCCCCCCCACTGGTTAGCTCGCCCTTTAGTGCGTCTCCCCTAAGCATGTTATATAGGCATATTTCTGGAGGGAAAGAAGTCCAACAAAAAGCAACAATATGGCCGCACCTTGGAGAATGGAAGCAGCAGTGCTTGCCTCCATCCAAGGATGCCTAACAGATGGCCCTCTATGTCCAAGGCATGACAGGAGCCTACGTCGTACCAGTTGTGGGACAAAAAAAATGACAGGTCCAAAGGGAAAAACTTCAAAGATTATTTAAAAAAACAAATGCTTAACAACGGGCTTCGTATCTCCAACAGTAAATTTCCACTAATTTCGGAAATTCTCAAACCAACTCGTCATAAAACGAGATAATCTACCCGTTCACATGTGAATGCCTGCGCATGCCTTACGTATGTGCATACAGATAGGGACACAAATAGGCCCTACTCGTGCACCCTACAGCGCTTCTCGCAGAGCGAAAAATGATTGTATACTTTTAACAAATATTATAACAAATACATGGGGCACAGTCCCCCAAATTATGTTTCCCTATTAAGAAAACAAAACAACGTTTGTACGTATACAGAGAGGAGCATATAAAAGCGCCAACTAAACAAGTACAAAATGGGTACAAAAAATGGAGAAAAATGGCCCTCCAAATGTATGCAACAACGAGCATATTATGACACCTGCTTGCGAGCAAAATGATTCCCCCCTTAAACAGCATTTGGCATGAGAAATACGTATATGCATCGCCTGCTCATACCTCTGCGCAGACCTCTGCTCCGTTTTATTTTGCGCAGCATGATGTAGCATTGATGGGCCAAACGCTAATGTAACCTTCTCTGAGTGCCGCTGCCAACTTCAAAGTGCTCAAAATGGTGCTACATTTTTGCGTTGATTTGTTTTACGTTCGCCTTAACAAGGTACAAAAAAAATTTTAGAATCTCCGCGCAGAAAAGTTTAAAAGGAAAACAAAAAAAAAAAAAAAAAAGCAGGACTGATAACACAAGTGTGATTTTGACACAAGGGAATTGGGGCAGTCGCCTCACGCACTGTTATCAATGCAAGCGGTATATCACGCGCAGGTTGAAGATTAAGGGAGAAAAGGCTTATTACATGGTGAATTATTCCTCGCTGTGTTTGACGTCCTCTTAATCGCATGTTCCACCATTCCTTTTTACCCTTTGAGCAATCTTAAACAACTAATGGGGATAATTCACCGAGGATGTCTTCACCCCATTGCAAAAAATGTATTTTAATGTGTCCATAATTCCAGGGTGAAGCACAGCCCCGTTCTATGATTACATATGCGTGCGGAGTTTTGTAAGCTGATGCCAAAGCGGCAGTACAATTTTTGCTTTACTTACGTGTAGGCCTATATAAACAGCGCTGTAGCGGTCTGCACACAAGTAGGTGAGACGAACATGGCATAATCAGTTCCGCTAAAGGGTAGATTTTCACCTTCTCATGAACACACAAACGGGTTGAGGCACATATGGAAGGAATCTGCTGGGTGCCACAAACAGCCTGATTGAAAACGTGCACTTCCATCTTCCATTAACAGGAACTTTTCCGACGTCCACTCCGGCCCGCCCCTGCGTATGAACGCGGTGGCAACTTGACCCACGGACAGGACCAGGCGCACGTCCCTTTTGATCTGCATAATCAACTGGAGGTAACATAAATGGTGCAGAAACAAACTGCAGTAATAACGCGGAGCTACGGCAAGGGCCAACGATAAGGAACAAAAACGTGGGATGCGCTACTTGCCTATTTATGTTCCATACCATCCTTGTGAGTGCAAATGAAACCAGTGAGGGGCTAATTGATAAAAAAGTTAATATTCTTGATGGCCGTCTTTTGGACATTATAATTCTTAATGACAGTTAGGCGAAATTCATTGCTCGGACTTTTATCGTACGATTTGATCTCGCAGGGAATTTTAAAGGGTAAGAAAATCCCAGTTTGGGGTTGGAAACGAAAGAGAATCGTCTTTATTTGATTACTCGTAAAGTGTAGCTGTACATATATTCTCCCTTTTTTACAATCATTGACCAAGTGCTGTAACAAGGTTTTATCTGTAATTATGTGGTTTATGCTGACCAGCGCGTTAATCGAGTTAATGCCCTGCATTATACCCGGAGATATGGTAATGTCTGCCCCCCCAATAGGGTAAGCATTTAAATTCTCAAACAATAAATCATTGATATATGTTATCTGAGCTTCCCTCTTCATCTTCATAGCATAATTTAAAAAAATTAGCGAATTTTCTTTCGCAAAAATGTCAAACAGTTCTTCATCGTTTTTGTTCCACTTGGGGTATTTCCCCCCTGGACCCATTATGGAATGTGACAGTGCACTATTTCTACTATTGTGATAGCAGTAATCTTCCCCCCTTAAACCAATGTCATTAGCTGGGTAGTAATACAATAAAACTTTTCCAATGAGCGTTCCCATAAATAAGTTGTTATAGTCAAAGTTAAAATTGATCATTAGGTCTAGCGCCAGTGTGTCATGCATTTGACTTCCATGTCTATCATTCTTATTGGCAAGCTTTGTTACATACAATTGTGCACCGATGTCGTTTGCTAAGTAGAAATTATGGATGACTGAATTTACTACAGACGACTTGGATGAAATGTGATTCCCAATTAAGAACCCAATACAAAATATAACTAAACATACAGCTAGGATACTCGTTATTTGAGTAAATATATAAAAAACGAAACTTTTTAAAAGAGAGACTTCGCTTCCTCTGTCCTTTTTAATAATGTACGTATTTAATTCTCTGTTCGTTCGAGGATATCTTTTTACAAACTCATTTATGTCATCTATTGTTTTCACTATTTTCTTGTTTCTGTATTTACACAGATTTACATCGCTCGTGCTGTTCCTGTCCTTTCCCTCCATTTTGCTGGCGCCTCCCTCAATGCGACGTTATTCGTTTTTTTCAACCTGCGCAAGTAGCGCCCCCGCCTCGACGGTGATGCGCTACACAATGCGGGAAATTCGCAGTGTCGAACTGCTACACAAATAGAGCGTTACCACACTGTTGGGAAGCGCCCCACTTCCGCTGCGTAGCCTATCTCAAGGAGGGCAACGCGGTGGAAACGTACCTGTCAAATCATTGTATTTGCCCTGCATCTCGATTTGGCTATGGAGCAAGGCTGCGTATCAAAGGGGATCTTCCCCAGTCTTCACACAAAAGCTACTCAAAGGGAGTGTCACACACGCATACACCTATAGGAGGAATGCTTCAGAAACAGCTATACCGTGCGGTGGCGCATGCCCCAGTACGAAAACATGATAAAAAGAATAATATAAAAAAAAAAAAAAAAGGGCCAACTTCAGATTGCCAGTATACATTCCTTCGCACTAAGAACAGATGCGCACTTGAGGCCAAAATACACGCCAAGTGTTACTACCTGTGAGGTGTACGAATCACCATGTAAAGACTACACACAAACGTAGTACATATGTACACAAGTTACACTGATCCTAGACTTGCGCATATCTTTACCTTTTTAAACAAGCGCAATTAGGACACTCCTCCTCTTCGGCCAGAGAGCTATCAACTGCGTAATTTATTAAGGAGCGAATTCTTCCCTCCTGCGTTTGTGTAGCGTAAAAATCTTGTTCATCTGCCCTGGGTCTTGCTTCGCGGGAAACGCTAAATTGGTGGGCAGCCTCCGGCATTTTTGCCTTACTCATGAAGAGGGACATTTCGCACATGTATAAATATAGGATTATTTACCTACACATGTACCTGACAGTGCTTTACCTAAAGTCGGCCTCTTCTCCTGTGCCTTAGTTTACCTCAAAATACACACTGCGCATCGTTAAGGACAACAGTACCCCACTTATTGTGAACAAAAGTGAGGCGAGTTTTGTGGCCCCTACGCACAGTGTTGTATTCGCCACCAAGTACGCACGAATATTGGGGACGCAATTATATACTTTGGGTTACCCAATTTGTTGCTTTATTAAGGAATAAATGTTCACTCTCTCTGAGCGAACGCCAAGGGCGTAGCGTAACGTAGTAGTCCATGTTGTACTTCACGCAGCGTGTCCCCCTACCACAAAAAAAAAAAAAAAAAAAAAAAAAAAGGAAAAATCTGCTAAAAATTGTGGTATATTTGTATCAAATTTGGTTTTTTCCTCCCCCAAGCATTTTTAAAAACAACAATTGGTAATTTTTTAGAAAGGGTCCTCTTTGCAGCTCTCCAGCTAACCACTGATGAATGCATATTTACTGCTGCTTTTGCTGTATTCAACGTAGCATTTTTTTTTTTCCCAAGCCTTCTAAAAAGTCGAATTTAGCCCTGTTCCGTGAAACCAAATTGATCTTTTCCCCTCGCTATGAAGTTGACAGACGCGAGGGAAGGAATACACCGGTGACTATGCCGAATTTGCTTACGTAGTATAGTAAGGACGCTGCGCAGTAATGTTTATGCGGGTAGAGCCAAACCGTAATTGCTTGCATAAGAGGCATAAACAGAAGTATGTCATGCTAACTGAGGGAATCGTCACGTAAAGAGACCTCGCAACATAGCAGGAGTCCCTTTGGGACAGCTTCGAAGATCCGCTTATATTGTCCTATACATGTATACATATGTACGTACTCAAAAGGGACATTGATCCACTGCAGGAAGGAGTCACCCATAACGAGTAGGTAAACATTGAATAATGCATCAGACACACCACCGGGGAAGGAATTAAATAAAGAGGGACGTCTCCAAAATGAGTAGAGTATACACGTCCATCAACTGTGAGTCAACCGTTTTTGACGTAGAATTTCATCCCAAATTGGACATCATATGTGCTGGCCTATTCGATGGGAACTTATTATTATATAAATTAAAGGAAGAAAAAAAAAAATTTGAAAAAAAATGGAACATATACAACCACAAAAAAACAGTAAGTTGTGTCTCCTTTTCGAGTAATGGAAAGAAAATACTAGCAGCGTCGTCTGACAATAAATGCTCCCTGACAGACATTACCGGCAAGCTGATTTGGACCAACACATGTCACAACCATTCCGTGTGCTCAGTTCTGTTTACAAGTTCAAATACGTTTTTAACGGCTGACGAAACGGGGATTATAAAACACTGGGATGAGAGAGATGAATCGAAAAAACCGATTCACAAAACAAAACAATTTGATGATACCATTTCAAGTATGGTTTTAAATGCCGATGAGAAATCTGTTATCGTTTCTTCTGGAGGTTACATAGCCCTTTTTGATATTCTAAATAAAAAAAAAATTGTCACTCATAGTGTATCGGAAGAATATAAGGATGAATTTTTGTGTTCCAATTTACTGGGACATAATGCAAAAATTGTGTGTACTACTATGAATGGGAATATTACCATTTTTTCAAAACAACCTTGGGCTAACATGGAGGGCAAAATAAAAGCCAGCAAAGATATGATAAGCACATTTGTGAAGCTCGATGAGTATACCATTCTCTTTGGCACGGCTGATGGGTGTATAAAGGTTGCTCATATTTTACCCAACAAAATGGGGGATGTTATTGCCAGGCAGGAAGGTGGTGACAGTGTTGAAAAATTAGCAATTAACAAAAAAAAAAAACTCCTTGCTAGCATATCGCACAATAATTCCATTCATTTTTATCCAATTCATATGGATAGTTCGAATATATCGGGCAAAATCAAAAAAAAGAAAAAGTCCTTCTTCCACGATTTGTAGGAGGGACATATTTACCGTACCCCTTCCCTCGAAGTCCAAAATTGCGCCATCTTCCTAAAGCTGTTAAATTTGCCTCCATATTTGTGCCTCTCATGGCACACTTGCATCGCAATATTTACCGTCAGCACAGCACACAAATGTGCTAATAACAGTGGGCATAGTGCCAGTTGGGGAAAAAAGCCCACCGTACCTTTTCTACAACAAAAAAGGAGCGCATTTTACACACATTAAAATGTGTTCGTCTGATGGAAGCAACGGACTAAGGGAAGCACAGTATTCTTTCTCACCGTGCCGCATCAGTTTGTAGCAACACATACATGCACATGTATGTGGTCATATTATTATGCACGTGTGCACGTAGGTACGGACACATTACGATGCCTTGTTTGCCCACGGGTGTGGTCAAGCGGCCCACTCAAGCGTGACTTCAAAGCGTTTGCACTGTCGTCTCCAACGTAACGCGTACACAGGTTAATCACACATACGCAAGCCCCCTACTACCATACATTGTTTCGTGCTAGTTTGTTTGTAATTATACACGCTATATGTGTAGTCGTACCCGTTTTCCTTTTTTCTCTTCCCCCTCCCTTCTTAAACCCCATTCCGCACAATCAGCTGCGGTAACCATACACACACACACACTAAGATCAGTCGTTTGTTAGCATTTGAAAAGAAACGCTAAAAATATTGCAAATGGGAAGGCACACCCAAGGTGCATGCGTGTCCGCACGCATTAACGTCTCCCAAACGAACACCGTTCTGTGGGTGAGAACAACGAGACAGAACCTCACGCGGTGGATAAAAAACGTACGTGATAACCTTTGCCCCATGTTGAAAAGGCTATCTGTGCATAGTGACCTAATTACCGGAAACGCACTCTCAAAAAGGATCTATATTCTTACACGCTTCCTTTTTGCGGCAAGCGTTAAAATGGATGGCCAAATAATAAAGAACAAAACTAAAATGCTGATCGACGAATATGAATTCCGTTTGTGCTGTAATGCTAAGAATGCCGCTAAAAAGGGGAAGTCTTTTTTTTTTTTTTTTTTTTTTTTTTTTTGGGGGGGTCAACTGCAAGCCCACCTTGTTGTAACTGTTCGTGGGCTACAATTATTCGTAAAAGGACTGTCCTTATCAAGGAGCTTTGTAACGTGCGCGCGGGACATGTGAAAACAGGAGAGCAAGCGCATACATATCTTTACATAACATATGTGCATGCATATATGTGCGATAGGGGTGTACCTCATGTGCGCATTCTGTGCGTGCGTACGCGAAGTGTAAGCAAATGCATACCGTTCTCTACAGCACGCTCGTACGATAATAACAAGCTTGACCTTGAGAAATTTCTTGTTACTTCCACCATGCGTGCTGGCACAAAAAATGATACAACACGAAGAAGGTGGAAAGGTTAAAACTTAACAGTAGATCGCGTGCTTGTTCAGGTGCCAGCAATGAATCGCATATAAATGTGCTTACATAAATCTACGCATATATATGTGTATACATATGAAAACATACACATATGCATCCCCGTAATCGTCGACTTCGTGCAAGGGTGATCCTGGGCAAGTCAATTCTTTTTCTATGTCGCACCTTCTCATCACATTGCAGAGCATAGCATCTCATCTCAGTTCACTCCCGATTTTGCTTTTTCATGCGGCGTGCATACTGGCGAGTCACCTCCAGATAAATTAACCCACTTGAAGCATCCAACTGACAACATTACCGAATTGTTTTAAAAGGAAGCAAACACACGATTTATAAGTGCCTCCTCTGTGTAAAAAAAAAAAAAAAAAAACCTTCTGTGGTTAATGTTATAATGATGAGGAATTTATTTTAATTAACACCATTTGGGTATACACAAATTGATAAGTAAAAGCATATGTATATATTTATGTGCATATATATACACATGCGTCATACACTTGTTTACACGTTGAAGTGGATGCAAAACAGCGCATACACCGTTTTTGGTAAAGAGGCATATTGTGCGCTTTGAAAAATTGCTAACGGTTGGTTGAAGTAACGGGTGACTCAGTACCACCACAACGCTGCTCACATACATGTATGTCGATATCCGAATGCGTAAGTGTGTAATGGTCTCCGTGAAGAAGCACATGTAAAATTGAACGTAACTTCGCTTGCAACAGCTAACTCCGCTTCGCGCGAAGGCGTGTGTGCATACATATATAACCTACCGAAGTATATACATATGCGCATATGCACAAATGCTTACATGTACGTGCCTGCATAGTGGTCTACACCATCAGAAAAAACGAGAAACACTCCGCCATCAACGCGACGTACTTATGCTCACAAGACGTGGTGCAGGATGCATGCGCCCAATAAGAGCAGCAACTCCTACCAACGTGATATAGAAAACATTACCAAAATAAAAGGAAACAACAAATGTGCCGACTGCGGGGCGAAGTGCCCAAGGTGGGCAAGCATCAATTTGGGCATCGTAATATGCATAGAATGTTCAGGCATTCACAGAAATTTAGGTGTTCACATTTCAAAAGTCAAGTCCTTAACCTTGGATAAAATTATGCCACAATGGATACATGTAATTTTTTATTTGTTTCTATTCCCATAAAAGTGTTCCATATATATGTTTGTTTATAAAAGTACCTTTTTATAGTTTTCTTTCGTTTTTTTTTTGTTTTTTTTGCAAATGGCTGCCGCTTGGTTTTATTTTGACCTCTTTATCCTGTCTCTTGTTCGTGTTGCTGGCATAATTTGCTTCCTGTTCGTTTTATTCCTCATCCTATTTTTATTATTCTTTTTCCTTTTCCCTTTTTATTCCAACTGAAGTGCATAAAGAGCATAGGGAACGATTTATCCAACTCCTACTACCTATACAACTTACCCGCGGATGCGTACAGACCTAAGCAAGGAGATTCCTCAGTGTAAGTATAAGCTGAAGTTATATAACAGGCCTTTGGGGTAGCCACATGTTATGTTATTTCTTGCGCTGGACAGCCTAAATACATTTTGTCTTTTGCTTTACATTTTCACGGCTTATATGTGAGAGGAGTGCTTCTTACCTCCTTAATCTGCAAACGCAACCTCCACATGGAATATGTTGTTCATTTATAACGCGTGTCTATGCGTGGCTCATATGTCTGTGTTAATATGTGTACGTGCGTACATTCTCCTGAAAAGTGGGCCACCATACAAATAACTACAACTAGGTTCCCCGGGCACGTGGTTACAACATACCCTTATACATTCAAACGAACGTGTGCAACTGCCCCCCACGCAGAATTATGCAAAACTGGATAAAGAATAAGTATGAGAAGAAGTTGTATGCGCCCGCGAATAGGAAGGAACCCTACCAGTACTACGTGGAAGGTACACGCACACGTCATCCAGTGTGCATACTTACAAATGTGCCCATGTAAATGTGCTTATTCCCGTGTGCTCAAACTTCCCCCTCATGTTCTGTTCCCTTCTGTTTCGTAGGGTTGGACCCGACAAGTTGCCTCCCAGTGCGGCCTCCCGCAAAGGCGGAAGTGAAGTGAGAAAATAGAAGCGCATCGAAAAATAATGGAATGTGCATGCGCCTAAACAGATTCCTTGTGCACATGCGTGTAGAGTAAAACGAACGCTCCAGATGGGCGCAACAAAATCAAAGCACACTGTTGTCTCTCTCCCCCCCCCCTATCTTTACAGAGAACAAATAATGGAGAATGTAGGCAGCTTAGACATTTTCGACTCCCTCAAAATATTTGATAATAAAAAAATAGAAGAAACCATGCGAACTAAAAAGAGCAGTAGCAACAATCAGAAGGAAGCAGACCTATTGACTGAGCACACAAAGAAGGAATCCGTAAAAAAAAAAATATACATGAATGATAATTTTTATTCATTTGACAACATCCCGTATAGGGAAAATAATTACACTAGCAGCAATAAGAACGATAGCAGGAACCCGTCCAAGGATTCTTATTTTTTCAACGACTTTGTTAATATGGGTAGTTCAAATAACAATTCAGTCAACATAAACTTTCCGAAGGACCTGAAACACACAGGTAAGAGTAGTGATCAGTGTAATAGGGACAAGAGTTTTTCTCATTTTGAGGAAGCCAAAAAATTGAACCCTCTTAGTGATGGCAGAAGTGGGCATCATGTTAGTAATAGCCGAAGCGACAGCCAAAGAATCAGTCCAAGTAAGACCCAAAGCAAAGTCCTAAGTAGCAGCATGACTAATATCGGAGGGATATCCGAACCGTCCAAACTGAGCGAGCAAAACAACTTCGGTAGCTTCAGCTCCCTTTCGGACAAAGAACTTAGAGACGCAAAAGTCCAAGCGGCAAAAAAATGTATTGCCAGACTTTTTGCCAACTCGAAAAATATTTCCTTCGCAGAAAAAAATAAAATTAACACAAGCGTAAATAATCAAGATAGCCAAATTGGAAATGTAAAAAACCATGTAGGCAATATACACAGTAATACAATAAATGGAGACAAACACAATTCATTCGAAGTGTTTCGTCCAAAAAATGCACACAGTGATCATCCTGCTGATAGGGACCATCTGGACATGTTCACCGATCAAGACAAGGCGAACAATTTAACAAAAGAAAATAAAGGCGACAAGGATTTTGATTTTTTTTTTGAGTAACTGATGCGTAGTGGCTGGACGCACGTTCAGGGTACACCTGGGGAAATGTGATTTTATGTAAATATGCCTATGTTAGGGGTACATATAACCTAACGGGATACACCTTGTTGTTTTTAAATGCTTGATTCTTTGTCACTTACCCACATTTTTGCTCCTTATGAGAGGGAAGCCTCCTCATGTTATGATAACCCCTCCAAAAAATTAAAAAAATATATCAGAAGGATACTACAAACATGTTGTGCAGTGTTGGAACGTGCACTTCATAAGTGTCTCATTTTGTAATTAGCTTTTTTTATCAACTTTTTTTTTTTTTTTTTTTTTTTTTTTTTCCTCCTTTCGTTTGAGTTTCCAACGTGAATTCTCACCACATTAACTTTTTTTATGTAACAGCTGCGTGTATACTACACACATGCATATATATACACGTACACACGTTTATTCACACACATATATTCGCACACATTTATGTATTTTTTTTTTTTTTAATGCCATACCCCCCGCAGTATTTGTTCCGTGCAAAATACACCGCTGCGTCCGAATGGCCCCTACACGCTTCTTTGCCGCAGTGTGATTTTCGCAGCGCGCACGTGAACATGTACACATGAACGTATATATGTGTGTGTAGGCAGACAGCAAGAATAGTCGCAATGTGCTCCACTGATATATAGGCACACGGACAGTCCCTTGGACCACGCATATATTCACGTGTGTGTATCGTTCCATCCTTTATTAGCCGTTTTTATAAAGGTGATGTTACACCACTCACACGCCCAGGGGTCCTTGTTTGTTAATCACCCCTTTTCACTTCAGTCAGTTGCTCACCTTTAATTTGTTTTCATTAATGAAGCTGTCCATTTACGTGCGCGAAGCGAGTAAGTGAACGAACTGCTTTTGTATAATTAAAACGTGAAGTGAAAAAGTTAAACCCTTTTTCGATAACGAATAAGCGGTTTTTGCAACAGTGAAAAAATGGGAAAATAGCGTCTCAGCTAAAGTAGGAGGAATTCATGTTGGAAAGTTTCCCCTATTTGCGAAAAAGGCCAACGGAGTAGTGGAAGATCGGATTAATTCAAAATTTTAAAATGTGCAATGTGTGCAAGATTTTTTTTTTTACCGTGGTCTTTCCTCACCACGTGAACTTCTTGGCTTAGGAAGCGCCTTTCCTGTACTCACGTAAAGCATTCAAAGCTTTGTAAAAAAATACCAAAAAAAAGAAAAACACAAAGGGGAAAATATAAAGCATTTGAAGGAGGTTAAAAAACAAATCATACAAAATAAACAAAAGCATTACACACACAAAGGAAAACAAAAATGTGTAATTAAAATAACTTGTGTTCATATTCTTCATGTTGTACTTCAAATGGACGAAAATATAAAACATATGGATTAAAAAGAGGAAAAATAACAAAGTGACCAGTGCCATGGGCATAATTGGATTTACCCTCTTCGGTTTTGCCTTTCCATAAATTCCGCGTTTTTTCCGAATTATAGGAAGAGCGTAATAATCCTTGTACCTTTGTGCCACGTGTTTATGCATATACATTTGGTCCCTTCTGTGTACTTCCTTTCTCATGACGCTCCGAACAACGGCGTTTTCTTTTTCGCCCAGGGGATACTGTACGATCGGTAAGTGGTTCAAAAAATGCAAGTACATTTTGAAGAAATGGATTTTTACAAAATTATTCCCATCTGTTATTAAGAGGTCAAATGTATAGTACCCATCAAACGGTATCAAATTAACAAACAAAAAGGACACCTTCGAAATGACTAAATTGTCGTCCAACTCATTGGTAAAAATAAATGTTTCATCTTCTTTTAAATCTTGCACTGCACTGTGGCACCCATATATTTTACCCTCCCTGTGGACACACTCATTCTCCAGTTGCTTCACCAAAAGAATCACCAACTTTGTCTTATCGAAATTTTTCTGTACTTTAAATGTACACTGAATGTTTAACATTTCGTACGAGTGGACCTCTTCGTCTAGTACAATGTACCCCTCTGACTTTGGATCTCTATTTTTCGTGCCCTCATTTTGGAAAACCTTACTTAGCACATTCGTTTCCTCCTTCTTATAGTCCGAGAACAGCACGGCGGTGACATCCGCCTTGTGTAGGAGCAGAAAATCACCATTTTGTTTCTCCTCCCCATTGATATAATGTGCTATGAGTAAAGCAAAAATAAAAAAAAAAATTCGCATCTTGGAGTTTCGTACAGTTCATCTTTCGATGGATATGAGGCTCTCCTTTTTTTCTTATTCGTTCCATGTCAAGCGGCTTTCCCAGCTAACCCATTTTAACGGGTGCAATGATCCTCATGGAGGATGGGAAACCTCCAATATGGTAAATCCTAACCAAGGGAAAATCAGCTGAGGGCTATAATTATGCGTAAAAATAATCCAAATGTGAATTCGTTAAGGCATGAACTGGATCACATAAAGGTATCTTCTACTCATCGACCGTCCCTATCGAATTGATCACTACAATTGGGAGCAGTCACCGCAAGTGTAACGCTCTACTCTGGGAATCAGCCATAGGGATTCATATGTGTTATGCGTTTTATTTTATGCCGTGTAGAGAATACTTGAAGAATTAACCACGTATTGGTGTATAGCACACCAGTTTATAGGTATAATTACCGCGGTGCCTCTTCCCAGCATGGCTAAAGCACCCACTCTCGCAAATATAGTGACACAGTTGTTGCACTTGAAGAAGCAAAGCGGAAAAAGGAAAGTGCCATATCACACTCTCTGCCCCCTTGCGCATCAAGAAATGTAATCCAAAAAAATATAGAAAAATCAATAAAGCTGGGAAAGAAAGAAAACACAAGCAGCAAAATCGCTTAGAAGTTAAAAAGCCCATGTCACACAAGGGGGAACACTAGATGTGCCATTAAAACGGAGTGGCCAGGGTGACACATAGTCCCATATATGTACCAAGTTTCATCACACAAACGCAAGTAACACATGTAAGGTTAAACACTGTAAAGTTATATTATCCTACCTTAAGTACCAACATGCTCAGCACAAAGGAAAGGAACTGCTTACATAACCGTCAGCATGCAGAATATAAGAGCATATGAACATTCAGGGTGACATAGAAACTACGCCAAAACATGCTACGAATAGGTGCTTGGGAAACGTTTTCCATGATGGGGGCTTCTCGCAAGGAATAAAAAAACAAAAAAAGGTGTAGGAGAAGCCTAACAACGTGGTAATGTGAAACTAGTAAGGGGTGTACCTGAACTCGGTTCCTACTTCTTTTACCCTGTGGACGTGGTAAAACCCCATATAGGAAGAACCAAACCACACAGGAATGAGTGCCCAAATGGAAGAACAAAGGCAGAACAAATAACACACTTTAAAGCCCATAACCTGCTCGGAAGGTATCCAAAACTGCCCAAACCAAACGTGTTACACCCTGAAGAGTAAGTTCTCATTCCAAGTGCTCCCAAAACGCAACAATGCTGCAGTGCGTGGGGGGGTCTCTCAGATTTTTTTCACATAGAACTATTTGTAATGCCTTCAAGAGAACGTTCAGCAATGCCAAGAACAATCTAATAGATGCGGAGAGCAGGAGAATAGAAAAGACACTCCTGTACATGGAACAATGCGTACAAGAAGAAAATGAGCAAAACACAAACTTAATCAACTTCGAAACGGTATATGATCGAGAAGACAAATTAAAAACCATATACATGAACTTAGTGAAAATGTCGTATATGTTAAAAAATATGCAAATCAATGAGCAGAAATGGCTAACCATTTATAAGCAAATTAGCAGCCTCCACCCCCTCGATGCAGATCTCTTGACGGGGAAAGCAAACAAACACGCTTGCCAAATGGATGCAGAATATGACAGTTGGGTCTCTAAAAAAGATCCTCCCAATAAAGCAGTACATGATAAATGTTGCCGCGAATACAACCTGCTAAACCTAAACGCATGCTATATATTTGTCTTTAAAGTTGCAATGGAGCATCTGATGAACTGCCTCTGGATGTACACAACAAGCAATTACTTGCTAATACTAAACTGTTGTTCAAATTTTTTCCATTTTTTCTTCAATTTGCACAGGAGAAAGGGACTCCAAAAATTGAACTTCATTTATCTGCACTCGGGTAGCCACAACTATGCAGACAACATTAAGATTTTGAAAAGTCAGAACAAGCAAGTGATCAGGTGTAAAGAAAATTCCACCATCCCTTATCACTACGAAGAGCTGTACAATTTGAAATATCACCAAATAGTTACTTACAAAATAAATCTGATGACGCAGGTACTGCAGAATTTAAATTATGACCTATTAGACCGTGTGCAACTGGCCCAGCTAGCTAATTTTTTCTACTTAGTAACGAAATGTGGGGTCATAAGTGAAAAGGGCGTACAAGATTTTCTGAGTTATTATTTGGAAGTTGCAAAAAAGGCGGCATCACCAAGCAAGTTGTTGCCAAACGATGTTGCGCTCTTTTCCCAACTTATCAACACCATGTACTATTCTAAAATTGTTCACTCTGAATTGGTGTCTCATTTGGTTAGCTCTTTTAGAAGGCCCCATGTCGACTCCCCTCACATTTGCAGAAGGAGCCTATTCGACAGCTTCCTCAAAATGCTAACGTTGGTAGAAATTACTGACCAGAATATGTACTTATACACCTATTGCAAGCATCACATTTTGAGTGGGGACACAGAAGATACGACACATGTGTCCGACGTTTGCAACTTCTTTTTCGTGTCGTCCATTGTTGGCCTGTTTAACATCCGCCTCATGCAGTTTTACGTGAATTTTTTAAAAAAAAAAAAGGATAAAACAAAATTTAAAAATTCCACAACGCATAAAATTTACTACACCTTGTTAGGGTGGGACATACTGCTGAATCGATTCATAAAAAATGTAGGCGAAGAAAGGAAAGAAACGATCGATCTGGCCATCCTGAATTTTGAGAGCAAAAGTGTGCACTACTTGTTTTCAAACAAAGTAGTTTACGACTTTTCTGATTTATCCAACCAGATAACGTACTTAACACTTTTTTTCAAAAATAAATTTATACTCAAAAAGAAGGGCAAAAATTACTACTTTAGCCAGAGTGCCATATTCCACATGTTGAGGAAACACTACGGCAATGTGATCTATGAATACGTAACGCACGAAAAAATTCCTCTAGATGTGTACATCAAGATGTATAATAATGATCAGCAAAAAAATGTTGCCATAGAGTTTAATGGTAGGACACACTACGTCCTAGCGATCACCACAGGAGTCGATTCAACAGACAACTCTGTGCACTACACAATGAAACAAAATTGCAATACCAATTATAAAATGTGGATCCTGTCGAACTTAAATGTTTACACAATTTCTGTGTCGTATTACTACTGGAATGGGTTGCACGAATGTCAGAAGGAGCAAGACTTGCTTCATGCGATACAGCTCCTTTAATAAAGGGCACCCACATTATGTTGTGTTAACAGGGGATGATACCTCAAACGATTTGTACACATGTTCCCCCTCACCATGCGGTGAAAAAGTCTTCATTGTGGGGAATACAGATGTGACGATTTTTTGGAAAACTACTTCGCCGTTCTTCTGCTTAATATCTCTTTTTTTAGTAAATGTGCTTCCGTCTGTGAAATAGAAAAGCATTTTTTTTTTTTTTTTTTTTTTTCTTCGCTGTACAATGCAACCTCAAGTTTAGGTTCGCTTAACGCGGAAGAACTTCACAGCACCTGTAAATAATCGGACGCGATAATATCGCACGAGGTGGGCCTATCCTCGGAGTTCTTTTTTAACATCCACAGACACAAGTGAATAAGGTCGTTCGAGTAGCTGGTTGGCAGGGGCTCTGGCTGCGGGGCAACGTTTTAGAAATGGGTGATCAATGCTGCATTTTTGCTGCAACCGAGGTTGGTAAGTTTGCCGTAACTAATCGACAACGTTATCGCAATATTGAGCCATTTTCGTGGACATTTTTTCCGTGTTTCTGCTTGCCGCGCGCACCTCCTCTTCGCAAATCTTCTGGGCTGTCGATAACATGTTAGAATGCTCCGACTTGAACGGGTGCCGCAGGCTCATGAGCTCGTAGAGTATCACGCCAAGAGACCAGATGTCCGCGGGGAAGCTGTAGGCCACGTTCTGGTGGGAGCAGCGGCGGACATTGGCAGGAGAAATTGGGCAAGCAAAATGGACACACCAAATGGGTCGTAACATTCCGAATGAAGAACTATCGAATAATAAAACTACTACGCTGCACAAACGGAAACAAAACACCCGCAAAAGCGAAGGGAACCCACCCTACAAATCTCCGGAGCCATGTACCCAATGGTCCCACACAATGTACTTGTTTGTTCTGTGTTCTCCAAAATTTTGGCGAGCCCAAAGTCGCCCACCTTAGCCCTCTCGTTATCATCCAGAAATATATTGTTGCATTTTAAGTCTTTTAAAAAAAAAGGATAAGAGGGGATGTTATTTTTTACGCGTAATCAGTGAAGCGTCTAAAAAAGGAGTATCATCATGCCAAGCAGATGCATGTTGACATGCGTAAAAGATAAGCTGTTTAGAGTAAGCGGCAATTTTGTCTTTTCTTTTTCTTTTTTTTTTTTTTCCACAATTTTGACAACCATTTTGCTCGTGTATGTAAGCGAAGAGTGAAGCACTTAATTACCCCTATGTATAAGTTTCCTGTCGTGCATAAATTTGATCGCAGTAATTATCTGTAAGAGCCATCTTTTTATTTTCTCCTCTGGAATCAACGTGTTCATTTTTTTATACCTTTTTATGTATTTACTTAAATCTCCTTCTACATTTCGTGAAAATAAAAAAAAAAAAAAGTGAGTCAGGCGTTAATCACCATAAAGAAATTGCAAACATTCACTCACCAACAGTAGTGCTGAAACAGTGTGTACAGAGAAAAAGGTCTTACTGGAGCAGAAGTCCATAGCAACGTACAGAATGTTGTCCTCCAGGAATGCTTCTTTATATCGCACGATGAATGGGTGCACGGACACCTCGATTAATGCCTTGGATAAGAGCAAAGCGAAAAAAAAAAAAAAAGAAAAATATGATAAAGTAAAACAAATTCGGATGAGCAACATCCCCTATTTAACACATCGATGTTCATTCACACGCTCGTTCCTCCCCCCATCCTTTCCAATGCGTACTCGCAGCTCGTTTACGACGTTCATTTTTTCCTTGTGATTCATGCACGACATGTCCAGCTGCTTAACGACGAAGCTGAGGGGGAGTGTGCACACATAGGCGCGAAAATGTATCTATGTGTAAATGGGTACATGTGTAAATGTGCACGCGCTGAGGGTACACGCCCCCAACAGAGCTCATCTTTACATGAGAACCGCCACTCTGCCCGTTCAACAGACAAAGCACGCTCAATTGCGCAGGCCAAGCATATGGCACTTCCCTAAAAGGGCACCACCTCAATCCACGTACATTTCCCCTTCGGCATTCTTTACTGCCGTTACAATTCCAAATGACCCCCGCCCAATAGATTTTATAACCTCATAAGGACCTATTTTCTTCGATGTAGACATGGTCATTTTGGACGATAATGTGGGGATACCTCAGTTATTCCCACCTTTTTGTCCTAGATGAAAGTTGTAAAGGCAGAAAAAAAAAAAAAAAAGAAAAAATCGAGTAACTTCACAAATATATAAACATGTCCCCTATTAATTCGCATCAAAATTGTGCTTCCTCAAAACAACAAAGAATATTTCTGTCTTTCTTACTCCCAACTTTGAAGAAGTTCTTGTTCACTTGTCTTTAAAGACGCCTCTTTATAATTACGAAAAGGGGGTTTCAACAGTGGTCATCCTAATAATGGAACATTTTCTCTTTATCTACACATTCATTTGAGCCATTTCTCCCTTTGGTGAAATTATGCAAATTTATTTAAGCAAAAAGGATGTGATGTTAGATATACCTAACGAAGAATAGACGCTTTCTTAGAAACGGTGTACATACAGAACAGATCGAAGTGGTGCACACACGAATAGCAGGCTTATTAGCAAAATGACCATGTGGGGCAGCAACTGTACTCCTGTACATACAAATAAAAAAAAAATCGCAATAGGTGGAATAGTGTGAACAAATTCATCCTTACGGTAGTCCTGTCGCGCCATGTTCAAAAGTACTACACGAGTGCCTCGTCATTATTAACACCCTCAAATGGCATATTAGCAAAAAAAAAAAAAAAAAAGTTACTCCTTATAAAGCTTTATAATTACAAAACATTAGTTAATTTTGAAAAGAAAAAGAGAAAAAGAAAAAAAAAAACAAACAGAGCATGATTAGGATTTTTCAAAGTTGTACTTATTTATTTATTCATTCATTCCTTTAGTTGTCTAAAATGGAACACATTCTTATGGCAAAATAAATTACGACACAATAATATGCAAAACATTCAACAGGTAAATAAAAGGAGGCGAAATTATACCCATAATGATACGTTAGCAAGAGGGATGAAAAAAAAAAAAAAAAAAGTTGACATGATGTGTTGAAAATGAAGAGGATAGGCGGAATGTCCCAAACGAATCAATACATTATGTAAGAACAAAAAACAAATATACGTCATGATAAAAAGGACATGTCTGCTCATTAAAGTAACCGCATTAGACCTTTATCTCTACGCATATGATTTAAAAATGTACGAAAAAAATTCAAACTTAGTGCTTTACACACATGTGTAACAAAGGTGGATAAGTATCGCACAAAAAAAAAAAATATAAAAAAAAGGGGTGAATGAAAACTCAAAATGGAAAAAAGTCGATCGCCCCAAGGGGCCAAATGAAGATAAATCGTCCCAAAAAAGGGACAACAAATTTGCACTTAAAAAAGTTAACACATTTGAGTAAAATTTTTTTTAAGTATAAGGTTGTACTGTGTGCATTTACACGGCGCGCCGTTCGGCTCTAGCAGAAGGGGGCACCAGCGTCGGTCGAGTAAAAACGGCGAAAAAACAGCGGGAATGAAGACCTATAGATGTGTCCTCAAAAAGTTCTTCACAACTTCTACGCGGTTTATGTACAGCCTCTACACAACTTTCAGATGCGCGCCTCTCTCAGGCGTAGTTGCAGTACCAATTTCTCTGAATAAGCTGAGGCGTCTTGGAAATTCTAATTTTGGGGAACCCCTCGTCCTTGGATTTGTATATGTTTATGCTTGAGAACCTTTTTTCCCTTTCTGGAAATCCATTACACATGGAATATTGCATTTTGGGGAAGTTATCATACATGGGCAAAAATTTGCAGCTTACGGTTGAGCAAAAATTCTCATTATGGACAGTATCCGCGGTGGTGTCCTGATCAACTTCAGCATTGAGTGTTGCACTGGAATGAATCTTTTGAATGTTTAGCTCGTTCAGGAGTTCAATATCTTTTTCGTGGATAACGCTAGTTGTCTGGTTTTGTTTCAAATCCTCTATCTGAATTTCTTCCTTACTTTCCATCTGCTCAGTAATGTCAATATTGGGGCTGTTAATTTCTGGGATTTCCATGACACTTTCCTTTTTGGTAGTTTTCAAAACGGGGATTACTTTCTCTACGACCATGTACTTTGGCACCGTTATAATTCTTTCCCTGTCAACGTAAACTGGTACTTCAACAATTTTTTCGACCGTTTTTATTTGTGGGACTTCCACAATTTTTTCTTCATATATAATTTTATCCACATTTTTTATCTTCTCAACATATACTGTCTTCGTTTTGTACACATTTTTATACTTAATGACTGGCCTGATTTGCTCCACTATCCTTTCGACTGTCTTGATTTGGGGGACCTCCACAATTTTTTCCAGATACACTTCCTTGGGCACTTCAACAATTTTATTTTGTACAATTGGCTCCAAAACTTTCGGTGGCAGTTGTTTGTTCACCATTTGTGGGTAAGAATCATTTTCATTTTCCTTAGTGTCGAAGACATTGTCTCCGGAGCAACAGGCTAGTTTTTGGTTGGTCGAGCACATTTTCGCGGGTGGGGAAATTATACGGTGTGTTTGAGCATATACGAGTAGGTATACGTATATGTATATGTATATTTATGTACACTTAAGTTTGTGCTTTCTGTTTGCCTCAACTTTTGCGCAGCTATGGCTACAGGGTGAATAACCACTCCGCTTTAATCGCACAGACGGGGGGCTAAGATGCCAATGAAGAGTGATCTTCGGGGAGGATTCGCTAAAAGGGAAAGTTAATTCAAGGAAACTGTTGTGTGGAAATATTTCTACGCATATACACGGCACACGCCGCGTAACTGTTACGGCTATTTGTTCGGTTCTTTAAATGACGCCTATACGCACACACATGTGTATGTTATTACGAAACGCGGTGGCAAAAATGCAACTGTTAGTCCAATTTTAAAGGAGCAGATGACGAAGGTTTACCTTCTACGTGGGGGGCGAGAGATTCTTGCGAAACTGCCGTTTCGTGTTTTTTGTTTTTTTTTTTTTGTTCTACGTGAGGTGTTAAATGGGCGAATAGCGCAATACACACACACACAACTGTGTTTTTTCTAATCCACGTGAGGGAAAAAAACAACGGGGAAAATAGCGGAACAAATAGCCAAAAAAATAGAGGGAACAAAAACGGAAAAAATAGCGGAAGAACAACCGGCAAAATAACGGAAAATACTAAACGATGTGACGTAAACGAGGCGAAGCAAAAACAACACAATGTGTATAAAGGCAGCTTCCCTTCTTTCAAAACATGGAGTACATCCAAACTTAAAACGCCAAAAATGAAAAATATCTTTTTGCTAAGTGGTAGAGTTGTTCACAAAATTAATTATTAAAAGGGGAAGACCTGTGAAGTTGTTCACAACGGAAAGGTGTTAACCCGGGCCAAAAAAAAAAAAAAAAAAAAAAAAAAAAATTAACATAAATTATGACGTTACTTATTGGAGTTACTGACGGTAAGTTATTAGCGTGAATTATTAGCGTGAGTTTTTAGCGTAAATTATTAGCATGAATCATTAATGTGAATTGTTAACGCAAGTTACTGACATAAAGTGTTGCCAAACTGTTTCCAAATTGCTGCGTAAATTATGAGATAGCTTTTTTTTTTTTTTTTTTTAAACCGTTGTTTTTCAAATTGCTTACAAATACGCGCACAATTGTACACATTTACACCGCAACAGGTGTATAAGAAGAGTTAAAAAGAAACTTCTGTTAAATATGTTGTAAACAACACTTCGTTTGTGCACACATATGACACAACAGCGACTCGACTACTCCTTACACTTTAAATGAAAATTTACGCAGGCGTGAAAATTGAACAATCAGAAATAAAAAACATAACGCACGCAAAAAATAGCTGTTTTTTAATTTGCTACAAAAAGAGTCATAAAAAAGAAAATAAAAAAAAAAACAAAAAAACAACAATAAAAGTAACAGTAACAATCACTATAGCAAAAAATGGGTTGCAAACATGTTCGTGAATTTGGTTTCCCTCATGTCATCAGTTATTCACTTTTTCCTTCCTTTCTGGTTAAGTAGAACAAATTGCCAGAATTCTTTTTCCTGTTTTTTTACAATTTCTCACATATGGTCACCTTTTAAAGGCATGCTAATGGGTCCACGACAGGCGTGGTATATATTTATCCATATCTCCGCATAGGCGTAAAAAAATTACAAACTATATGGCTAATTTGCTCGCACCATGGGTCTACGCCACCTGTGTGTGCGCATGCGCGTGTGCATGCGTGTAAGTATATAAATATATATATACATGTACACATATACATACACGTGTTTGCGCGCAACTTGAATTGAAAATAGGCACTTCACAAAAAAATATTCCCGTTTCAACTTCTTATTTCTCTAAACAAAAAAAAATCATTAATTAGGGTTGTTGGAGGGAGATTTAGCCAGCTATCCCTCGTTGTGTAGTGAGCCGTCAGTTTTCTGTCCGTGTACCGCATTATTTCATCCATGTCGTAGGAGCTAGTCTGCGCAAAAAAAAAAAAAAAAAAAAAAAAAAAAGGAAAAATAGCTAGCCAGGTAAATTATAACGCAGACAAATTAGGAAAATGCCAACCGGATTTGCACCTACAACGTGACGTGACGCGACGCAAATCGGACAGCATGCCTCAAAAAGCGGTGTCATGCACAAGTGTGTGTAATAACGGAAGAAGCGGGGCGCAAAAGGAAAACTCTTTTTTCCATATCAAGTAGTGCATCCGCATAAGGAACGTTCCGTTCAATTCGTGGTGGTCCTGTTGTGCGTATAGTATTTTTCGTTAACCATATTTTAAACACGCAAGACAACCGCTTGTACGAGTATGCATTGTAGATAAGACGAGAAGTAAACGGGAGTGAGGCGATAAAAAGCCTTTCATACAGGTGTGTACATTCATACACATCATTGCGCATATATACATATATGCAGCCATGCACACACCTAGTGGGCCCCCTTTGCAACACTTACCCTGTATAACTTGGCGGGGTTCTTCTTCATCCACGCGACTTTCCTTCTTCTTGTTCTTCGATGCGAACTTTTTTTCTTTGGAACTCCATACAACGAAAAATCCCTTTTATTTTTACACACGCCGTTATGGCCATTGACTTGCAAACTCAGTGAACTGTTTAAAAATAGACTTGGCACTAGGGGGGTACTCGATTTAAATGCGAAAATAAATTTCAGGCCAAATGATAAAAAGAGTAAACAGCTACGTACTAACATTTCTGATATGAACGAAATGAGTGTGGTGAAAGGTTTATCCTTCCTTCGATTATTTTCCCCGTGTGTGTTCCTCCCTTTAATTCGTTATTTTGATTTTCCCTCTCTTCTGCAGTAAAAAAAACTGCGGCCGTGGAAAGGAAGGAAAAGAAAGGAACATTTTACCTGCTTGTGCGAAGGCAAAACAGATTGTAACAGTTCATTTTGACCTCATTTTTCTTTTTTTTTTTTGTATTTGCTAAATTGTGCTACGGAATTGTTCGTAAGGGGGTGATGCATAGGGCGGAAATGTTCGTAAATTTTTCTCACCATGTAGTTACCATATGTACCATTCTACTACTGTCATTTTGGCCTTGCCTTTTTTCTCCATAAAAAAAAAAAAACAGGCTTACCATATTTTGCGCATGTGCTTGCAAGTTCGATCCCGCTCGGAGCTTTTCTTAGTATAAATCGCGTTTCACTACGCAGGAATTTTTTTTTGTTTCATGAACAAACCAGATGATATACAACATGAGTAAGTTCTACAAGGCGCTTCCATTGCTTCACATTTGTAAGAGTCCTTCAAACAATGTGAACATTTTCTCAAAGGTTAATAATGTGATGTTGGCCAAAACAAATTATGCTAAGACATTTTTTGTATTTATCCGCACCGTGTATAGCAAGAACGGATAGTGTATTTCATAGGAAGATATTGTGACTGCGTATTAATCAACAAATTTCTTCGCTACCACGCATACATACATTTTTTTTTTTCACTCTTTAAACTGCGCATTGACACGTGAATATTATTTAGAAAAGCACGTCCGTGTATCCTCTTCCTCATCCAGAGAGCATTTATAAAATGATGGACCATCGATAAACAGCCTGATCATGTCTTTGCTACTCTCTAAAGAGTACGAATTAAAATGTTTTCTTTTATAACTGTGATAAGGAGATGCGCGACTGATAAATGTTTTTTTTCAGAGCGTTTTTTTACACACCAGGGATGTGTTGCGCGTCTGGGGGATATAGTGAAGTTTCGCCCAGGGAGGCGGCACTCGACTGCTGTGGGTGAGAGCAGCTGCGGGGTGAGCCGCAAAAGTAGCCTTGGGAGCGGCCCTGAATGTATTGACAGTGAGTGTGCACCCCCCCATTGGATAAGCAGCAAGGAGCTGGGGGGAAGCAAAACGGAGGTGCTGCGGGGAGCAAGCCATATAGACAGATCCCCAAAAAGGGACAATGAATACTTGAGTATTTCCAAAAGATCTAAAATGATGAAGTACATAATAAGGTTAAGAAAAAAAAGGAACTTCCGAAAAAAAATGAACTCCTTTTTTGTAAAAGAGTCCTCAACTATTACACATTTGGCAAGTAACCCTAATCTTACCTTTGAAGTTATTTTATCAAACAGCAAAAGTCTGCTGGACAATTTTAAAAACAAATGTTCCAAATTGTATTATACAAACATCGACACGTTAAATTACATTTTTCGTGACTCCCTAAAAGTTAACAAGGAAGCGAGAAACGATGCTGTAGCTGTAGTGAAATTACCACAGTCGGTTCCAGCAAAGGAACCCATCAGATTTTTACTAGCTTTTGATAGAATACGATATGCGTACAACTTGGGAAAAATATTAAACACGGCCTACTCCATGGGTATTGATTACCTCTTTTATGTTCACAACACTGTGGATCCATTTAACCACAAAGTTGTCGAATTGACCAAAGGATCACATTTTCAAATTCCTTACCTATTCGGCTCATATGTAGAGCTAAGACAATTCTGTGATGCACATAATTTGCTTCCAATTGTGGCTCATACGAATGGAATGAATCCAGTTCATATTTTAAAAGAGACCAGCGAACAAGGGAAGGGAGTGTGTCTCATCTTGGGGAATGAATCCACTGGCCCACACGCGGACGTGTTGAGCTTCGCAAAACCGTAACATAAAAATTGAGCGCACGTGAAAAGTAGCAGCTGTGGAAATGCATGATAATGTACCTTTTGCAAATAGTGTCATTTCTGAGTCAATTCGTATATTGGCGAATTGTTGCCACCCCTCCCTTTTATATATATATTTCCCCTCTTTTTTTATAGGATAAGTTTGCCCATGCACGAAATGACCAACTCTTTAAACGTCTACGTGGCAGCAAGTATTTTAATTCATTACTTGAAATGCATGGCGTAGGTGAGTTTTTCGCGGGCTGCATATTCGTGAAAGTGTGCAGATTAGAAAGGATTTCCGTGAAAATTCGGAAAAGGGCAAACGAGCAATCAGGACAAATTACAAGCACCATGATCCTACTTACATATAGATGCACACTTGCATCAGCATGAGTGCCACCGCGTGTTGTACTAATAGGATAAATTAATGTTCTGCCCATTTAAGTTGAGTACAATTCTGATATGTATCATATTCGCTTTAGTAATTATTTTAGTTTTTTTTTTTTTTTTTTTTTTTTTTTTTTTTTTTCCCTTTTTTTTTTTTTTTTTTTTTTTTTTTTTTTTTTTTTTTTGTTCCTACCTGCCCAAACAAATGTATAAATCAACAATGCCACATCACTCGCGCAAGCCTCAATAGAACGCGTACATATGGATTGTGCTGGCTTCGGAAAAAACCTCACTCAACACTCCCACGTTGTGCCCGAAACGAAACAGTTACTTTTACAACCTTACATTAAGGGACAATATAATTCAAGGGAAACACTCCAACATGTATGCAATACTGTATGGGAAAAAAAAAAAAAAAAAAAAATACCGCCAAAATTTTTCACAGATTCGATTGTGAATAACGCACGCCACATTGTAGAACCCACATTCGGGGCAGCTGCTTATGTATTTATAACGTTCCAAAAAAAGGGCAGGCGTCATTTTATTTGCGCTTCAATGTAATATAAAAAAATAATGTAAATGATTACCAATATGTTAATGTAATTTTGCCAGCATTTTTTGTCCAGCCTTCTGCTTCTCTGAATTTTGCATCTGGTTTGCGTCGTATCCGTCGAGCGAACCCCCTTTGGGTGGTACGATATGCACAACGTTCAGGGGCTACTCTGCCTGGGCGAATAACATCTAGGTATATAAATATTCATCCATGTTCGAAACAATTCTGTAAATGTAAACTTCTGAAAATAGTTGACCCTTCGGATCCGCGACTTTTGCAAGGGGACATATTGCTCCGAATCTAATTAGCGAGGGCCTTCACAGTAAAGTGAATTGCAAAAGAGTGGGAAACTTTGGGAAGATGCATTTAGTGGACAGGCGCGTCTGTCGTGAAGGCACATCTGCTAAAGGGACATTCCGAGTTCAAACGGAATGTACCAAACGGAGCCCATGACGAGAAAAAGGGTTCCTCTAAAAAGATTGGATCTACATTCAAACTGCATCAGTAAACTGTCTGCCCACAACACCAACAGGAATAAACCAGGAAATGGTCGAGTGCAGACGAATATGCGCGAACCACGGCGTCAAGGCAGTGTGCATTATCGGCGGAGAACTAGTATGCGTCTCCTTTGGAAATACAATAAAAATAATAAACGTAACAACTGTAGACGTGCTTCTTCAATTTGCAGCCTCAACAAGCAGCAACATCTACGGATTGACATTTCAAAGGAGGTCCAAAAATGGAGGAATATTAATTGCGCATGGGGTGCACAAAATTTATTGCTATATGCTACATATTACTTCAAATGGTAAAACCTGTGCTTTAAAACTTGTTAGTAAATACTGCACCAACAAATGGATACTACGGGCAAAGTTTCTTCTCCCTACTTATGAAAAAATCGATGAGAAATATGACGATGGGAATTTGAAAGGAACACGTGCCACAACGGATAACCGCAATGTGATTCTTCTATGCTTAAGCAATGGAAGCATTGTACTACTGCACATTTACAAAGGAATCAGCTCGAGGAAGTATAAGTTCAAAGGAATACACCTTCTGTACAGTGCAGACATTTACATTAATGAGAAAAAAAAAGTCTACAAAATTGAGGTAGCCGGAGGAACCCCTTTCAACAAAATATTATTATGGAATTTCAAATTGAGAAAAAAAAAAAAAACTGTAAAATTTTGCCTTCCCAAAAAAATCATTTCTTTGGAACATGCTCAAGAATTAGCGGGACACAGAGGAATCATTTTTAAAGTCAAATTTTTTAGAAAGCACAAATATGTGGGCTCCGTCTCGGATGACAGAGAGGGGCGCATATGGCGACGGATGCGTGTACAAGCGCAAAAGGAACACCCCGTTATGAACACACAAAACGGAAATGAATTGTTCCAGCGCAACATCGACCGCTACAACACTCAATACCACTACAAATGCGTTAGGGTACTAACTGGGCATGACGCCCGCATATGGGACATCGACATGGGAATGTTTAACAAGCAGATTTATTTCATGACATGCAGTGAAGACTCTACTTGCATTATCTACGACAAAGGGAATCCCCAGAATTACTTCCAATTCAGCAACAATAATGGAAGCACCGTCAGATGTATATGTTTCCACTCACCTTTGGGGGTTATCATTTCGGGTAGTGACAATGGCACTATGCATGTCAGGTCCCTGTCCTGGGGGGTTAGCAAAAATGGTGCCAGTACTGCTTCATGTGGAGATTCCCCAAAGGGGGAACAGAATGCTGCCTCCTCCTCCACCATTTCTGCTCCCCCGCAAGGTGTAGCTGGCCAACTGGAGCCAAAGGAGTGCACGCACGCGAGCATTGTGCAAATAACAAATGGCGACAGCGCATGCATGGGTGGCCATTTCCAAAAGGACCGCATTGATGACATCCACATGGCTGAGTTGAAAACGGTAAAGTGCACCAGCCACGAAAGCATTTCCAACGATAATGAACGGACCTGTACAAAGCAGAGTAACCCATGCGACCAGTTAACAAACGACTCGGGCAAGCAGTACACATCTGCAAAGGACCTGGTGGTGCAAAACGACTCCATCCACTTTGTAGTTGACTGCCTGGAGGAAAAACTGAAAAGGAGTAACGACTGGATCAGGTCAGTAAACCACGTAAATTTATACGACATAATAATAAGCACCAATGCAGGACGCATATACATCTTTAAAACGAAAGACACGAAAAACATAGAAGTCTTGTTAATTTATGAAGAGGAAAAAAAAAACTACTTCTTGACGTGCCTGGCTTTTCATGGCTTGGATTATATATGCCTCGGATTTAGCAACGGATTTTGCTGCTTCATTTCTTTAAAAAATGACAACGGTGCGACCGAGTTTATAAAATCGGGTGCACAGAACAAACAGCTAACTTATTTTAAATGCTTCGACCACCGCATCAGTGAGATGTGTTTGGTCCCCCTGGCATCTGTGAATTACGACAAGTTGATTTCCCATGTGGAGCATGACAATGTAGAAGATGTTTTGCACGCCTGGGTCAAGAAGGAGTTAGAGACGGGGGGGGCTTCCAGTGACAACTGTCGTAGAAGCCAACACAACAAGGGTGATCCCGCCGCAACGGACAGCTTCTACCAAATTGTGTATAACCACGAGGCGGACACACACCACCACAGAGGGGATGGCGACTCGCACAATAGACACAGCGAAGGGAAAGTAGTACACGTCCATGCGTTATTGCTAGCCGTTTTTGACCACACGGGAGCTGTTCAAATATTCAACGCACAAAAAGGTGGAAACAAAATCGAGGTAAACAAAGTTGCGCAAACAGACATCGACGTGAAGAATAAAAAGTCCAAAATCATTTCAGTGAATTACCTTATGAAGCAAAAAAAAAAAAAAATGGGTATCATATTTTTCGTGGGCGATGAATATGGGTGTATCTTCATTATCTATGTAAAGATACCCATTGAGCACAAATCAGACCAACTCTTATACGACTTTCCTAATTCCTTTATCAAGTCCAAAAATAAATTACGTGTTCATAGTAACAGAAAAGTGTTTGACATTAAGATAATCGATCGGTTTGTGTACTCGTGTGGGCAAAACGGTCAAGTCCTTAAGTACCAGCTGTATAAGGATGCAAACGGGGTGTATACCATGTACAAACTGTGCTTAATTAAAGTTGGTTATTATACCTCCATTTATAAGTTGCTTCCCATGTCCGTTGGCATGGATAGGGAGGTACACGGGGGGTCCAATGTGGGGCTCCGTGAAAAGGTGCGTGACGTGGAAAAAGTAGAACAAGAATACCGTGGAGACATCGCGCGACCAGACAACTCAAGTTTGCAGAGAAGCAGTACACCCACACATGGTGCGGAGGAAAATACACAAAACATGTTCATTTGCTGCTTTAAGGATAAACAGTTCGTTCTGTACGATTTGCGAAACCAAGTGGAGTACCTGTCCGTAGAATGCGGTGGTTTCAGACGCCCCCTCAGCATGTACACGAAATTTTCTCCAGGTTTGATAAAAGCATTTTCCTTCTGTTTTTGCAAAGACAAGAATGTCCATTTTAGCGTGAAAACATTATGCAGCAATCAGCAGAAGACCACCGTCCCGTATGAGCAAATATACATCAACGCAGGATTTCACTCCAAAAATGTTTCCTGCGTACTGTGGATAAACAAAAAATATTTTTGTACATGTTCGGAGGATGGAACGATAAAAATTGTTCACTTGAATAAGTCGTGTGCTGCAAAGTGGAAAAACAAGTGTTTCTTAAACGGGCGAAAAAATACCAATTGGGGGAATAACATGGATAGCAGGTCGAAAGAAGAGCTAGGAGTTTATTCCAAGGAGGACAAACAGGACGGTAGACTATCTAGCAGGATAATGGACGGCACGGATTTTTCACCCCGGAACAAGCAGTACTCTCCCTTCTCCGGTGAATCCCTCACAAAGAGCACACGTAAAAAGTCCCCCTTCAGGAAAAGACAAATTAACCTCCTAAATCACAGAATGGACATCATCCAAAATGTGTATAACCACAATGAGCCGATATTTTACATGTGCTTTTTGGAGAGCCCCTTTTACCATTTTAAAAAATTAAAACTGCTAACCAGCGTTGGAGCAAAAAACTCGATCAACATTTTTTACCTATATATGGATGCTCAAAATACACCAATAATTTATCATGTAGAAAAGGTACGAGTGCAGAAGTTGTCCAGCGATTTGCGTTTCCTGTCTGTTCAGGGCAGGTTCAGTGTGTTACTCACTGATGGAAATAAGCACCTCATTAGGGTAGATCTATTCGTTGGCACATCACTTGGGGATATACTTCACTATACAGGCGACTACGAATTTGTGTATTATGAGAATATCATTTTTTCCAAAATTGTGCAGCTGGCCCATCTGGTATGTTCATACAATTTAGGTAGTACCATTTTGGCTTTAAATTTAACGGACATTTTTTTGAGTGATCTTTGGCCAAACACTTGGAAGGGGGATGCACACAGTGGGGTACACGATGGAAAGGGCCCTCTATCAAACTGCGTTACTCAAAAAAGGGTGCTATTTGACAGCTGTGCAGAGGTAGAAAAACGAAACTGTTCATGTGAGCAATTGGGGTCACACCTGCACATGGGAAACGATAACGGTAATGGCGGCATTGAAGTTAAGGAGACGAATGGGAAGGAAAAAGCAGAAAAATGTGAAGGTGCAACGTGCCCTCCCAGTAACAACATGGAAGACGCATTTCATCGAGTAAGCTGTTGTCCTCCGAACAATCTGCATGAATCGACTGACCACCTTTTCCTAAACAAACGGAAAGGAAATAAGATATTCCGGGGGAGTGTACTATGTTGCGGATTAAATAACGGACAAGTTCACTTCTACCACTTTGGCACAAAGCTAGTGCCGCTACTGCAGAAGGTACAATTGCATCAGAATGGAATAAACAAAATATGCGTTAGGAGGAAGCAGGACACATTAGAGGTATTTACCTGTGGGGATGATCAGTCCTTAAATGTCCTCATAGTGAAAATTTGTTTTCCTCCCGAAGCTTTGCTAAATGGAAACCGTAATCTTATACACCTGTCAATTGTACAAAAGAGAAGTTTTACAAACGCCCATTTGTCCTCCATCAGATCCTTGACCCTCTTCTCCAATTTCGTGGCAAGCGTATCCTGGGATCAGTACACCTCCATTTGGAAGGTGAGAAGGAACAAAAATGGAAAAATTTTGTTAAGGAGGGAAAAGAAAATCAAAATGGCTGTCTATGATGTTTCCTGCTTAAATTTTTACGTAATTAGGAAAAAGACAATATCCAAAATGGCATCACCAAATGGAGAACCTCTCCATTGTCTACCTGGAAGAGAAAGCAAAGGGTCCAAACGTTCGTCTGTCCCACCTGGACCCTCTCGCATTAGGATATATTTAACCGTGGCTGGGTCGAATGGAAGTTTGGAATCCTTTTGCCTCAATGCCCCCATATAGTTGTGGTGTGTTTTCATACTTCCCAGCGCGTTCTATATGAATTTTAGTGCGTGTCGTGGTGCTCACCTAGCACATGGCAACTTTTTTCACCCATGGCATCCTATTCGTGTCATGGCCACCTCTTTGTTTTTGGCCTCAGTTCCGTTTGTACGTACATTTTGTGCGCTGCTCTTACATGTCTAGTTTTTTTTTTTTTTTTTTTTCGTCAATTAACCCGCCCATTAGTGCATACCTAGGGATGGATGCGTGAATAATTACCTTTGTGTTACTCTCCTCCACCATCAGGGTTGCCATCCTGTCCTCTTCCTTTTTTATTTTTGTAAAGAGGAGAGTAATTTGCCATATGACGTTCAGTATCAATTTGTTACGCATATTCGTTTCGTTTGTCCCCCACGCTAGACCCAATTTTCATTGCATCGGTGAGATGTCTCTTCGAGAGGGCACTCTCCTGTTCATCATCGACCCAATGGATGGACAACTCGACATACGAAGTATTCTCTCACGCGTTTCTTATAAAGAATGTTATTCAATGCACAAGGGATATTTTGCATATGCCCCTTTCTAGACTTACCCAATTGAAAGTATCATTTGCATTTAGCGGGCTTAATCAGGTGGGTATATTTTACAATGAGGTGAATTTGATATAGGGTTCGAGAGGATTGACGAAATTAACGTAAACGCGGCACACAAATGGTTAAAACAAAGAGTGTGCATGCGTTCAAATAATGTTTTGCGTAACTGGACATGTAATTAAATGGACGGAGATGTAGTGGTGGTGACGGGAGCGTTAACTCACCTGTCGGAAGCGATCCCTTCGCTGTGCAAAAAGCTACGAGGTAGGTACATCCCAAAGTAGCACTCTTGCAACACCTTTTCCTTTTTTTTTTTTTTTTTTTTTTTTTTGTAACCATGCGATTGGCTGTTTTACCACTTCGCGTTTTTTTTTTTTTTTTTTTTTTTTTTTTTTTTTTTTGTAACCATGCGATTGGCTGTTTTACCACTTCGCGTGTAGCAATGGGGGTACATAGGATAATGTACATGTGGTGTTGTACCCCATGCTTGGATTGCCACAGGGGGGCGTCTCGATATGCTCACCGTTTGGTGCGGAAGTGCACACAGGGGAGAGGAGGGGTGCGCGTGTGAACAGGTATATACATGTGTGTGTTGGACCTTTTCGTCATGTTGTGGGCAGGACCCTAAACGACACGCGCGCTTCCCCATTCTACTAGCCCATCATTGGGAGCACATCGGGGGGGATGTCGTAGGCTGGAAAGTAAGTCAAGTCGGGTCTCAAAAGAAAGTGAAGGAACACAACCAATCCCGCATACCCCTCGAACAGTGAGTTGGGCCTGTCTGGCACGCCGTACAATCGGTCAAAATGTTTTATACAGAAAAGGGCATACTTCAAGGCTTTAACATACCAACTCCTGTCACCTGTATGTTTATACAAGTACAAGAAAACGATCCCATTACCTGCTATGCCGTGGCAGAGTCCCATCCCTTTGAATAGTAACCCTCGTTCCCATATGAGAAGGCCCATTTTTTCCAAATATCCTTTGCTATATTTGTTGACGAAATAGCTGGGCGCAAATGGGCATTTCAACAACTCAATTATTAAGATGACGAAGCCGACATTTCCATGGCACCACTGAACTAATGTGTCATTTTTTTTTTGTGATTTATTTTTTTTAATGGATGAATAAACATTACAATCCTCCGTAAGGTACAAATTCATAATTTCGTCAGTTACTTCATATATTAAGTTTAGGTATTCATTGAGCTTTTCCATAGTGTTGCTTCTGCACCTTTTGTACTTTGTCTCATCTACGTCTGGGATGGCGATGCCGTCAACTCCTAGCAAAGCTTCGCATAGCTCCTTCAAATTGTAATGAAAAAACATGATCATTTTGTACAACACGAGGAAAATTCCTGCATAACCATGGGCAGCTCCGAGGTAAATCTGTTCATGCCATTCAAAGTAGAGAGACAGAGATGTCACGTTCCACATCGTGGAACCTTTTAGTAAGCCATATTCAAATATGGATGTCATGATCATATACAAATTCTGTAATATGGTATACCTATGGTCTGATTTCATCCATATATTTTTACATAAGAGAAAGGAATATATGCAACCACATTTTCCATATAGTAATTCACACTCTCCACTTATGGATACCAGTGCCTCCTTCTTATCCTTCAAGTAGGTCACCAAGAATTGTATATACTTGTCTACACTTGAATGGTTTTCCATATAGTAATGAAGTATGACAGCCAAGCTGTACAATCCGGTTGGTCCCTCTAAAAAACTAACTGTGTCTTTGGCTCTGTACGAATTTATTTTATTTATTATAATATTTCCATATTGTAAAAATGAGTAATCGTCGTTACCTTCGTAGAGGATGATATTCATGTAAAGGATTCCACCCAATCCACAATATATGGATTGGCTCGAGTGACGTTCCATTTCGTTATTTAATGTGAAAGCATACTCGTTAATCCTTCTCCTTATGATCTGTTCGTCATTGTCCGATTCGTTAAATTCATCCAAATATGCATTCGAAATGTACCTGCCGGTGCCCTTCATCATGCGATCAGTTGACATCTTCAACAACTTGAGGGGGGGGGGACGGCGGAGATGAGCAGAGCAGCGGCGTGCGGACCGAGGTGTGCCCCAAAGTGGACTCCTACGTGTGCATCTATTCCTCTAAATGCCTTTTCCCGTGCAGCCCCCTTTTGAGACGTGCAAAAATAGGCCACCCTTTTTGTGTTGCACTTTATTCTCCCCTTTTCGATGCAGGAAAATTCCTTCCCGTGACGCTTTTCTCTGCAATGTACGTTCCCCCTGGTTTAATTTTAATATACGTTATTTATTTTTTCCTCTTTTATGTTCTCGTCGATTTGCGAAAAGTGAAGATTGTTTTTAAAAGAACGCTTAAACTCTCTTTTTTGGAATGAAAGTGTAAAAAAACAAGTTCGGTGAAAAAAACATGTACGGTATGTAAATAAAACAAAATTACATCGCTGCAGGCCCTCATGCTAAATTTTGGATGGCTTCAATTGGCGAGCCCTTCTTGCCAAATAAATGCCTACTGCGTTTCTCCAAATGCTTTAAACTCCATTGTGAATTGCCATTTTACGAGCGCGTGTCGAAATGCCCACCTATGTGTGTGCCGTTTCATGAGAACTTATAACCACGTTTAAACATGTTTGTGCACACAAGGCGGGTAAGCCACACATGTGCATATGTAAGCATTGCACGAAAACATAGAGTCCTCCTGTTGTCTGAAATGGGGGACGACCTGGGAGAACCGAAAGGAGAAAAAAAAATCAGTTAATGGCAAATTTAGCCGTATTCGGGCAAACACAAAGGTAAGCCTTTTTTTTTTTTTTTAACCTGAGAAATGGTTGTGTCCGAGGAACGGAAAGATACTTAATATACCAAAACTGATCATCATAATGAAATTCCCCAAAAGTGAAAATGACCCATAATGCAAAAAGGGCAATTTTTATCTGCTACAAAAAAAAAGGTTAACCATGTGAGTTCCTCTATACCACTTTTTTTTTGCATGCGTGCAACGATTTATGCAAATTGCCGCATGCAAAAACAAAAAAAATATGCACACGTTCAGTTGAAAAAAACACCAAAAAAACGTGAAAACCTCTTACACCTTGTGGCAATTTTGGGCTTGGACTGGAACACAGCATGCCACAGAGGAGTTACAGCCGTTTTACTTTTCAATTTTGAAATATCCCCCTGGGAAATATAGCAGCGATAGCGCTTACTCAGCTTTGACATACACTATGATAAAACACAAATGACGCAGTTATTTTTCAATTTCGTGTCATGACTGCGGTGATTTAAGAACTGCTGTTTCTATTTTCTCGTAGCACAAAATTTTGCGCATTTTTAACAGTGATGTTGCTTTTGTGTGAGGAGCTAAAGTAAATTATAGGAGTTTTCCCCTCCTACTCGGACACGCTAATTGCATTATATTTGCGCACACGTCCTTATCACATATTAGCGTAAGCTTTAATTTAAATGATAACCCCCACATGAATTAGCACCCATCAAGGATATAGACACAACCACTCACAGTATTTGGTCATCCTATCTATCATTTTGTATATGGCAAGCACGGTTCGGTCCATATGATTGAAAACTAACTTATATGATCTAATTAGTACAGGGAAAAACCTACACACATGGCATTGAATATATATGTGTACACATGTGTGCAATGGTATCATCGTCACGTTCTCCTTCGACTGTACCCATTTGGAGATACGTTTGTGTGACGCACGAAAGTCCCGTTGTGACTGTCGCTAGTCAGGAACCCAGTAGGAGAGTCAACCCTTTGAGGCAAACAAAATAAAATCAAAATGGAAGAGGCAACAAGAGGCAGAAAGAGGCAAATAGGTTGTTATAAATTGTGAAGGAAAAAAAAAATATATATATTCAATTTACGCTAACTTCTTGCGAATGTAAGGAGAACGCGACCCTTTGAAGTTACTGCTACACGTGGGAAGGAAAAAAATATTAAAAAAAAATGTCCCCATGAAGCTAATTTTTCATTTTAAAAATTGTTGCCTATGTTACCCCTTTTTAATTTTCAAATTCGTTACACTTCTTGCGGCACACTTTTTCGGCATTTAAAAGGGCAAATACATTTTAAGGGCAAGGAGGAAACATAAATTGCGCGGGAAATTAGCAAGTGCAACAACCTAAGTAGAACTACTTGACAATAATTTAGGTGAAAATGGCAAAAGGGGAAAAGCAACAGTTTTTGGTGAACAATTTCGACTAACAAACAGCGAAAATGGGAGGCGCAACAAAAAAAAAAAAAAAAAAAATGGGGCACAATTTTGAGGCCTGTGATTTGTTCACGCGGAAACTCCCATTTTGCGACTTAAATGTGCACATGCGAAACGAAAAAAAAAAAAGTTCGGTGATAATGCCACTTTTAAAAAAAATAAACATTTGGTTGGGGGGAGGTTAACATGGGGTAGCGCCAATAGGCGCAAACAAATTTGTCTCTTCGCAGATTGTTAATAGGGGCTAAAATAAAGGCACTTGTTAGAATTCTCAACAGCGCGCTTCACACGTAAGTGTGTGTACTGGGTACATATACATATTTACATTCTCATTTATACCCGCCGCAAACCCACTTTTCTGATTTTTCGAATAAATGTGCTTCCAACATGTTAACAAATTTAACACCTTTAAAATGTTGAGAAAAAAAAAAAACAGCTGAAAAAAAACGCGACATATGCATTTTGAAGGATTTGAGTAATTTTTCTTTCGGGGGCGTTTTAGGGAATTTTGTAGAGGGTGTAAATGTGTAAGGGCTCGGCGGATTACCGCACTTTGGGGGATGAACCCGTTGCACTTTATATTGTTAAAGGGTTAAGCGCACGAGAGGAGGTTAAACACTGGGAGTTAAATGCTGGGTGTTAAAACGATCTCAAAAAGGCCAAAAATGTGAAGACCTCAAGCGCTTCATTTTTCTACACCTTCTCATGTGTTTTTCACACCCTGCGACATTATTTTGTTTTTATTTTTTCCTCTTGTTCTCTATATTTACCTGACCATGCCATAATGTACAGAGTGTTATATTTTATTTATTATTTATTTTTTTTTTTTTTGCATTTCAAGTTTTTCCTCTGCGTTTTTCGATTTATTTTGATAGTATTTAAACCCTACTGAGAAACTATTTTTAGCTTTCTCATGCTTGTGATTTTTCCATGTGATTGTGTTCCATTCATTTTCATGCCTTTTCTTTCATTTTTTTTTTTTTTTATACGTCCCCTTCGTTTATTCCTACGCCTGCCTGCCGCCCACTCGGCCCATCCGTTCGCCCACCATACCCGCATAATATTATTCTCCCAATCCGTTAACACTTTCCCTCGCCTATATATATTCACCGATGCCTTATTTTCCCTATTTTTTTTTTTTTTTTTTTTTGTGCCATTTAATATGACAGTCGCTCCTATTTTTTTTTATCTTGTTCATTTTCCTATAAACATTTTTAACCTTTTTAGTTGTACTTAATGTCCAGTCTCTATGTCAAATTTTTTAATGACAGCTTTTTTTGTGAATGCCTTTAAAACAAGCATTTTAAAATATTTTTTGTGATAACTTATGTCATTTGTTTTATTGTAGATTTATGTTTTCCCCACCTCGTACACATTGTCCTGTTGTTTTTCTTAAAAATTAACTTTCAAAGGGAAAGGCAAGAAAAGTCTGCACGCGTATACGCACCTATACATATAAAGTACATGTGTATGTGTGTACATGTGCACTGTTGCTTGTGCCTGTTTGTGTGTCCCTCCCCGCGCGAGCATAAATACCTGTGCCTACGTACATTCAGCAGGCCAGAATTAACTTTGCGCCCCTTGCGCTTGTGTGTTTAAATACATGTGCGATCGTCAAGGCTGCAATTCATCGCCTATGCTTGTTAATAAAATTTTGTTCGCAAAATATTTTTGTCCAACCTGCCACCAAAGGAGGAGCCAAAAAGGAGCAGTAAGGGCGGTATCAAAGGGGGTAGTGCAGGCTGTGCCAAAGGAAGCCGCAAGGACTATTGCCAACACGTTGTCATCAAAATTGTGCTCGCCGCCCAACCACATTGCCGAAGCGTGCGCACGCTACTACCCCTTCAGACCACTTATAAGACACAATAACGTAGGATGGCTTTAATAAACTTCAAGGAAAGGATCCACATTTTGTTAAAGCTAAAAGAGTCTCTAATTCCCCAGGTTGACGGGAATTTTGTAAAGGATTGGGAAGCGGAAGCAATGAATTATCAAGTAACTAGCGAAAATATTATAATACACCTGAAGGACATATATTTTATAGAAGGCTTAATTACACCCATTTCAGCGCAATTAACCTTTTTGAGAATCAATTTACAAAATTATGTAAATATGTCAGAAAAGGAAAAAGATAAATTTAAAAGATTGTACGTATTGGCAGCACTTGGATTAATCGCTAAACTCAAACTTATTTTATTTTTTTCGACATATATTAACGCAAGGGAAAATAATCGCAGCAAGAATTTCCCAGTTTTTAGCGAAAATTATTATAACCTAGGACAGTACAATTGTGAAAGTAATTATGAAGATAAAAATAATTTAATTAATAATGCTTGTGATCAATGTGTAAATAATGAAGACGAAAAAAACAATTCCTCTTTTAACCCTGTGGAAGATTATTACAGCCAATTTCATTCATGCACAGATGATTATAAAGAAAACATTTTTAACATGATGGCCCTCAACAATATAGTGAACTGCAATTCGAATTTGGGCAACGACAAAAATATCAGTGACAGTGAATATGTGGACAACACGATAGGCGTCTACGACACCTGCGTCGACATGAGCACCAAGCGCATGAGCAGCAACGGTGTTGGCGCTAACCACGTTGGCATCAACAATATTGGCATCACCCATGTCAGTGGCAGTAACAATGTAAGGGTAAACCACCTCGGTGGAGGTCAGTTCAACTCCCTACTCCTCCAAAGCGCAGAAGAATACCCATCCAACATGATGGCACACTTTGCAGTGGACAAAAACGAAGGCCTGCAAAATATTCCCGCCGCCACATCAAAGAAGAGAGCCGCACAAATGACGCAAAGCCAAAACAAAACACCCAACTTCCTAAAAAGCTCACACACTTTAAATGGAATAAAAAATGGAATCAACGAACGCATGCACAGTTACAATGAACAAATAAATAATGAAGCACAGCGCTTCCTACAACAAAATCAAGAACAAATATCCAAGTATATAAATAATATACACCCAAGCATTCATTCTAATAATGAAAATGCAGAATTCAACAGTAGGAAATCAAACTTAAGCAACTATTATGATAATGACAACAGTCAGGAAAATAACATTCTTCAATCATATAGTAATAAAATTTATGGCCTAAGTGACAATGTGTATAAGAATAGCTACTTCTTATGACACGGGAAAATGAAGCATTCCCAGAATTTCATGATTCGTTCAAATGTCTGATTTGTGTTCCTTTTGATCAATTGAGAGATCCCCAGTAAGGACGGAAAGAAGGGAAAAGGAAAAAAAAAAAAAAAAAAATGAAGCGCGTATCGTGTACTGTACTATACATGTGTGACCACCTCCTAATCTCAGCATCCGAGGTATCATCGCGTCGGAGAAACCATCACGAAGTTGGGACCTCTGACGTGGTGTAATTTTTGTTTTTCCATGCATGTTGTCTTCTTGTCATTTTTGCCACTATACCCTCGTTGCTGTTGTTAGTGCCACTATGCCACTGCGATACCATTGCAACTGCTGCCTTTTTTGGTTTTTTTTTTTTCCCCCTCCTTCTTTTCACCCCTGTGCTCTTTCAAGGTTATTCGTAAAATCTTTTAATGTGTAATATAGTTCCTTCACGTACTACACACAAGAAAAAAAAAAAAATCTCTTTAATTTGTTTTAAGACTTTTAATATCCCAGTTGTCTAAAATTTGTGTAACAAATCATGTTTATAAAACTATTTTCTATTCGCACCAAAGGGTTACCCTTTTCTACCCTTTTTCCATTTCGACCTTCTACCACTTTGCTTTTTTTCCTTTTTTTTTCTTTTTTTGAGTTTCCCCCCACCTTAGTATGTGCTAATTTAAAAATGCCAAATGCGTGCCTAATGTGTGATGTCTTATGTGCAAATCAATTTGTGCGCTGTAACAGCCCTGGTGTGTACGTACCCATAGCTTCCTTCACATATCAGTTTATTTATTTATTTTTTTTTTAATCAATTTGTCGTCTTTTGCTCATTTAACCATTCATCAAATTATCATTATTAACAGTGAAAGATTTTTTTGTTCCTTTTAGAGGTGGTTCCACCCGTTGTTGTTGTGTCCCTCTGGGCGGTGAATGTATCCCTGGGTTAAAGCGTGTAAGCGATAAACTCACGGAGTAAATCATTACGCCGCTTTTCTTATCGATTGTTAAAATCAAAGGCATGCTGAACGATGTGAGACCATTTAAAAAGTTATTATTTTATTTTATTTTTTTTCAAAGCACAAAATTGAGCAGTTGTTTATTGACAGCGTTTTTGTAAAACTGTGCACTTGTACACACAAACACGAAAAAAAGCAAAAAAAAAAAAAAAAAGAAAAAAGAAAAAAACGAACGAGGAAATGAGTAGGAAGAAGCAACTAAACGAATGGACGACATACTATTCGGGTCCATACGCGCTTACGTAGGACAACACCATTTAAGACTGCAGTTTATGAAAGAAGACAAGTTAAACATAAAAAAAACATAATTGTGGAAAAAAAAAAAAAAAAAAAAAAAAAAAATTGGAAAAAAAAAAAAAAAAAAAAAAAAAAAAAAACATACTTTTTTAATTCAAATGTTCAGGACAAATTTAATATTTTGGCCTTCTTCTCCTTGGCATCTCCTGCGAAGGGGATAAAAAAAAAAAAGGATTCACGCATTTTCACTTACGCTTGCGCAACTTTTTGGATCCGGTGAATACTAGCAAATATAGCAAAGTGTTGGAACAAGGGCAGTTTTATACTAACACATTTATCCCTTGCACGTAGACACAAAATTTACTGCACTGCGCAGCGCATGTCTTACCTAAGAACAACTCGGTTATTTCGATGTGCGGCGTGATGAAGAAGTACTGCTTGTCGTTGTTCTGTTCTATAAACTCACAAAAGCGCTGCATGCTGATGAGGATGGGATGGGGGAAAATAAAACAGAATATGTGTGCGCGTTTTTGCAAATGTTACAATGTACCATTCATGAGGGGGGGGGGTAGAATGCGGGAGAGCACATTTATGGACACTAATCAATTTTGCATCGCTTCCTGGGGAGAATGTTAACTGTGGGGATTATATTGCCACTTCTCTAGTGTCCCCAGGTAGTTCTCTCTCCACTTTATTTATTTATTTATTTATTTTTTTTTTTGTTTTGCGCCCCGCCACCTTACTTCTTCACCCGAGTGAGCTCGTCCATGTACACGTCCAGCTCGTCGAAGATGTGGAAAGAAGACGTTTCCGTGAGGGACAAAGATGCCAGGAGGGCCATCTGAATGGTCGACCGCTCCCCACCGGACAAGGAGTTGATTTCCATAAAAATATTCTTGGACATGTCTTGATTAATCGAAACCATAACTTTTAAATTTCTGTTTAAATCGTCAAACTCTATTTTGCCTTTGTAGTTGTTCATACCTTTTAGCATATTTTTAAAGTGCGAAGTTATTTGCTCCTTTGTTTTTTTTAAAACGTTAACAAACTTAGATTTCCGAAGCTTTATGTTTGCCAAATGCATGTCATAGTTATTTCTCAAGTCGTTAATTTGCTTCATTTGTGTGTTGTAACTTTTTTCTTCATTTTCGTACTGCTCAATTAAACTGTGGAAATAGTTTTTTATGGAGTTGTCGGTGCTGTCATTTGTGCTAAAGCCGTTTATTTTAAGCAGCTCCGTGATTTCCTTCTTTTTTTCGCACCTTTTTTTCCACAGGACGTCGGCGTAGTTTTCGTCCAGCAGGTCAACGGAGATATCATCATCTTCGGCATCACCGCTAAGAGGATTCTCCGCCGCATTATTGGCAGTGTCACCGGCTGAGTTGTCTTCATCAGTGTCGCTGTCCTTGCTAAACAGGTTGTCATGGCTATCCCCACCTGGAGCCCCATTGCTCGTGATCATAATTGTGGTAGTGCTACACCCGGTCAGTATCCCCTTTACGTAATTGCCCAAATCGCGAAGGGCCTTTATTTCGCTTTCCCTTTTCTTATCACACGAGTTGACAGCCAGTTTGCAACTACTTTCCTCGTTGTGCACTGCGTCCTCATCCTTCCTCGAGAGGACAAAGAGCTGGTTAAAGGAGCTGAGATTCGACAGGGGAACACGGGTAAAAATGCGCTCCGTCTTCGTTACGCCGCTGTTCGTGTGTTCCACAGTGAAGGTAGCACCCACTACGCCTTCCTCATCAGCGTCGTCATTTGTTCTCTGATTAAGTGTCTCCTCCTCACTTTGGTGGTACCTACTGCTGTCTTGCTGAAGTGGTTCCACCCCCTCAGGGTTAGAATCCTTCACTTGACTCTCCTCCCCAGAGCGGCCTATATGAATGTTCGTTATGGGCACATTAGTGAGCCTTCCCCTTAGCACCAAGAAAGGACTCTCCAAAAATGCGTCCGCTAGCGGAAATTCATTTGCAAGGTATTCAAAGTAAATGTTGTGTAACTTGTTTATGGCTACTAAAAAGCTTTTCTTATTTTTCGAAGCAATTTCATCATTTCTGAGTTTGTCTCTTTCCAGTTTGATTAAAACTTCACACAGATTGTTATACTCCTCAATCAGTCCAGCGATTTTGTCCTTTGTCCTACTCAGATAATGAACATGTGTTGATATTAACCATTTGTGGGTTAGGCAATTTTCATGGGTGTTCCTCTTCTTCTCTTCCAGTGATTCTACGTACTGATCAATTTCTATCACATTTTCATTTATTTCATCAATGTCTTTGTTTTTTTCTTTAATTTCTAAATCCATTTGTTCAGAAAAAATGTCATCATGGTTTTGTATGAGCTCCTCGATATTTCGGTGCTGGTACTTCAGTTCGTCCTGAGCATATAGGCATTTCTTTAAAGACTCGTTTAGGCTCTCCAGTACATTTCTACAAGACAATAACCTTTTGGACGTCTTCACAATTTCTTCATTTTTTTCCTCTTTCCTTTTTTCTAACTCGCTCAGATGTTCTTCATTCGTTTTGTAATCCGAATTTGCCACGACATCCTCACCAGGGTGTTGCTCCCTGGACGTGGTTGTGGTAATTCCATCAGAGTCGCGAACTGTGCCAGCTGCCCCATTTGTGACAATATTCGTCCCATTCTGATGCTTGTGGTCTAGTGTTGTCCCCCCTGCAGTTGTTTTATATATGGACCTGTCTTCATTGTGCATGTTGAGAAACATGGGCTTTTTGTAGTAGTCTTCTTTGGAAGGCTGGTAATGCAGTCCCCCATTTGGGAGCACCTTCACTACAACAAACTCGTCCACCACGTATATGGACTTAATAATTTTTTTGTCGTTTGTTCGTAGCAACTCATGCAATTCTTCCGAATTGTTACACACCAACGTCTGTACCACTCTGAAATTATCATGAAGATAGAAAAGCAGCGAGGTTGGAAGAAGGTCAACATTCAAAAAGGAGTAAATAGTCTTTCCATTTATTTTGTTCAGAATGGAGTGAATATTTTGCAACAAACTTTTTCTGTTTATGTGTTGAAAAGCGTTCGTTACGATTATGTTAATTTTGTTTTTATTTTCTATATCCATGTTACTCAGTTTATTTTTGTCCTCGTAGCAGCTCACCAACCACGAGTAGAACAGATCCCCTAAATGCTTTTCGATGATGGATAGTATCTTCTCATTCAAAACAGGTTCCTTGAGTCGTATGTATTCGCCTGCTGGTCCTATCGGTTCATACTTGAATACAAAATCGGGGTTTTCCTCTTTCACATGCGTTTGCTTCACACTTTCATTTTGAATTAGCACCCTGTTCTTTCCGTGAGGAAACAACTCGGCTGGGTAAAGCACAGAAGAGCAAACCTCATCAGACGTATTCACAATTTTGTAATTTTTTAAAATATTACTTCTAACTGAGTAAATGTCATACCCATAAGTGTAAATCTTTCGTTTTATTTGTGTGTTTTTTATTTTTTGAATTTTATTGGAGTGTATTTTAAGCAGTTGCAATTGTTTGCTTATGTCTTCGAGCGCGCTGTGTCCTTTATTTATGGTGTACTCCATCTCGTAAATTTGGTTTTCCCTTTTGCTGATTTCATTACGCAGTTGTGTCTCTCGCTCTGTTTCTTCTTTCATTTTTTCATTAATTTTGTCCATTTCAGATTGATATTTGTGTAGGTGTTCCTGCAGCAGGTTTTTATTTTCCTTAGCTTTCTCAAACGAACTCAAATAATTCACAATTTCATTTCTCCTGTTGGCATACTCATGTTTAAGATCATTCAGCTGACAAATCATGTCTCCATACTTTTCCATTTTATCTTGATTCTTTTTTAAAAAATGGTAAACTTCTGTATCCCTTTCTATGACCTTCTTCACGTTCATTTTGACAAGTTCAATTTGGTCTACAAGTCCTTTCATCTTTTTTTGTATACTAATAATTACCTCCTCGTTTTTTAAAAATTCTGATTTTAAATATTCATTGAAAAGAAGAATGGTATTCTTTAACAGATTAAAGAAGATAACCATTTTGTAATTATTATCAAATTTTTTTAATTTTTCGAATTCAACTCTTAACATTTCATTTCGTTCTTTCATTCTCTTCATTTCTTCCACCTGTGGAGATAATTGAGTCTCCTTATGCTTTATTTGAAGAACGCAATTTTCTAGTAGTTCATTTTCTTTTTCAATTTCTGATTCGACTATATCTAGCCCCACTGAATTCATAAAAAATTTGTGCAAGGCCTTTTCCGTTATATTACTGAAAAATTGCTTTCCTTTTTCTTGATCCAAATACACACATGGACTTCTTATATTTAATTTGATAAAGTTCAGATAGCTATCTATGAATGCCTTTCTTTTTGCACTCCTGTTTGAATTACCACTATGCAGATGCGAATCCGTTCTGTTTGGTTGATTACCCTTGTGGGGCGTTCCAGATGGGACTATATTCGCTGCTCCTGTTGTTTCCCCCTCTGGGGCGTGAACATACATGGAGCTGCCATCCTTCCTGTTTTGTTTAACTCCATATAAAAAGAATTTACTCGTGTGTGTGGACAAAACGCGCTTTACTACAATAACATCTCCGTATAATTCCCTCTTATAAGAATTCTTGCCCGAATTGGACAAAAAAATTTCTATATAGCAAACTAAATTCTTCTTATTTTTATCGTAATCCTTGATATAATTTGAAAGACTGATGTCCCTTCCTGCGTGCTTTCCTTGACTTCCTAACCCCACTGCAACGGCTTGGGCGATGGCACTTTTGCCTTTTCCGTTTTTTCCAATGATTATATTTTTATTCGAGTTGAAAGACATCTCTAAATTTTCATGGTTCAAAAAATTCCGAATTCTCAACTTTATTATTTTCCCCGTGCTTCCCTGGAAGTCCCTCAAATCGCAGTCCCGCAGAACGTTCGCGTCACTATCCTTCACGGGGCTCCTATCCGAGAAGTGATCATCCCGCTCGGCACCGCTATCGCAGCTGTCATCGTCACCATTGTCCCCCTCACTGTGCGCGTCTTGTACTCCTTTTCCACCCTTCTCCCCCTTCAACACACTCTCGCTGTGGGACTGGTCTGCAAAAAACTCATCCTCTCTGCGTATGTCATCATAATAGTCAGTGCCACCCTTCTTCTTCCCTTTTCCAAATATTGTGGCTTTCTTTGTCCTCTTCATTTTCCTATCATCCGTGGTCGTATCACCACGGCGCACCCCACTCATCTTCATTTCGTCATCTCCACTAGTGGAGTGACCCTTCTTTTTAAACCAGCTGCCATCTGATAAGGAGAGGCCGCTGGACTTTTCACAATTACTAATGCTATCGCTGGTGTACGGGTATTCATTTTTGCGTGATCGCCCGTGTCTTTTCTCCCTTTTCACGTCCTTCTCTTCATCCGCATAGCTCGTCCCGCTTTCTCCTTTCTCTTCGTCCAATTCATCCGAGGCGCTGGCCTCGTGCGCATGTTCCCTCCTCCTCTTCCGTTTCCGTTTCCTGCTCCTGGACATGCCATCCTTGCCTTCAAAAAATCCCTTTCTCTCATGCACGTTCTTACCGCTCTCTAACGAAGCCGTACTTCCCGATTCGGAGTTTTTCATGTTATAAGGTGTTGGCGATTTGTCCATGCGGATGGTGAACGACAAGGGGGTGGAATAGAACGGCGGGTCTTCTCTACTTCCATGAGACAGTAATACTTTACTACTTCGTTTCCACGCTAACGTTAATTTGGTTATTCTGGTTATTTCGGTAATAATGATTATTCCTTTGGTGCTTGCTTTTTCTCTCTTTCTGCACTCATCCTACGTGGATAAATGCATTGCCTGTCTGCGAAGTGAAAAGTGCCGCTTGCGCTACTCTTCCGGAAGTACACCCTCCCAATTTAAAAGCGTCACATCGTTAACGATGTAAACTGCGAGGATGAATACCCAAACGGTTACTGAGTGAAATATGTGACAAAAAAAAAAAAAAAAAAAAAAAAAGTCTTATAAAATGGGTAGTAAGAATGGGTGGTGACAATGGGCTATGCGAATGAGGGCGGGAAACAACCATCACCGATCTATGACAAAAAAATTCTTAGCACTTCCAACAAGTAGCCAAAACTGCACACAACATTGGGCTTCAAGTGTGCGTACCTCTCCTGAAATGGAAACATCTGAAACGGTGGGAAAAAAAAAGGCGGACAAAAAGGCAATCGCACAGCCAGCCACAGGTCTTCTGTGATTTACCTTCAAACTCACATCGCGATCATTCCAAATCTGGAGTAACAGAAATATTCACCCGCGATTGCAAATCTTTGTGCATGTTTATAATTTCGCGTCACTCGTACCAGGCATGTTTTGCACAGAAGAACATGCGCCTCCTTTGCGACGGTTTCGATTTATTTTCGTTTCACACTTTTGCAAAAAGCAAAAATTCACCAAGAACGGGCGAAAAAAAAAATGCAAAAAACAATTTGCAAAAACAGAGCAAAAAAGATAAACTGCCGACGAGTGACCTGTATATGTATCTCTTCGGCACATGTTCCCATATGTGTACACTTCGGAAATTAAAAAAAAAAAAAAAAAATACACTAGTTACTTCGTCATATGGTATCGCATAATGCCGTTCAGGACGAACTCCTTAAAAAAAGCGCGCATCACAACGCGTTTGCAAAAAGAACCATGGTAAGGCGTAACTCGCTTCATCCGCTTGGTCTAAATTCGTTCGCCTTTTGGCAGTTTTGCAGTGAAGCCCTTCCAAGTGTTGGAAAATCATTCGGGTTTGATGCAGCATCAACTGTAATATAGCACATCATATATATAAATACATTTATGTATGTATTTTCCCCTTCCCAACACACCCGTTTACCTGTGTGTATGTTAATATTTTCACCTTTGTCTGTCACCCCAGCTTCTGCTTATTGAAAAAACAATTTAAACATGGCATATAATATTTTTAAAAATTATTAAAAAATTTTTGTTCCAAATTTTTACAATGTAAAAAGGAAAAAAAAAAAAAAAAAAAGGGTAACCCTTCTGCGTATTAATGCCTCCGCCATGACAGGCGCTAAGTGCAAAACTCTTCAGAATAGTTGGGGGCACAGATGTGTATACATGTTCCTACATGTTCGCAGGCGGGTCACACAAGTGCAAGCACACGTACATATATACATATATGTATATAGGCATGGACGGCTTAAAACAAATTCAATAAGCAGGCAAGTGGGACGCGACATACGGCCATACATACATATATATATGCCTATGTGCGTGTGCGTCCTACATTGAGAGCACCCACAACGCCGAGCAAGTGTACATCCCCATGGGTGCCACTCGTATACGATTATGTTGTTTGGGCAACCTGGCGTTCCTCTGGTGTGCTGGAGCGAATTGTAGTCTTGGCCTGCAGACGGGCTCTGTGCCCTGCGCATCTGGTTCGTTATATCTGCAGGGGATTCTGTTTTGCAGGGGCACGGCACATTTTACACAGAGAGAGCACCAATTTCATGCGTTTCTGGGCACATGCACACGACACCCTTCTCTCAAAAAAATTAAAAAAACAAAACGCATGAAGGCCCCTTCCTAGTTGTGTACATGTATGCTACATATGCAAGCAACAAGCGGGTCACCGACCCAAAGCGGGACGAATTCACTCAAAATTGATTCGATCAAAACTTCGTCGCTCAAGCTACCGCTCAAGCCGCCGCTTTCAACTGCATGTACATCTTATCGATCTGCTCCTTGTACTTCTTCTGCACAGCGTGCCTCTTGATCTTTCCCGTCGGTGTGAGCAAATCATTTTCGATGGTGAAGGGTTCCGTAGCAAAGTACACGTCCTTAATCTGTTCGTACCCCTTCAACCCATCCTTCTTGCCCATTTTGATCAGATCATCTATTACATCCTTCTTATACTCGGGCATCTGCATCACCTCCTCATGCGTCTTAGTAATCTTCTTCTTACTCTTCCATATCTCAATGGTATCCAAGGAGGGGCACACAACACAAACAAGCACAGATTCGTACGAGTATCCAAAAACGAAGATCTGGCTAATGTAAAGTGATTGCTTGTAAACGGATTCGATTTTCTCCACTGCGATATATTCTCCTTGTGATAATTTGAAAATGTTTTTCTTCCTATCAATAATGGTGATGGACGCATTTTCACTAAACGATACAATATCACCTGTCCTTATCCATCCGTCTTCGTCAATAAAATCGTTCGTTTCCTGTTCCAGTTTGAAATAACCCAAATTGGTGATAGCTGGTCCCCTCAAATGTAGTTCTCCTCTAGGTGGGTTATCCGTAACTAGGTAGTTCATTTCCGGGACGGACACAACTCTAAATTCAACACAGGGAACAGGACCCCCTATGTGGCCTATATTCACATCTGTACTGTGCGAAATGAATGCTGGACCAAGTGTTTCTGTCATTCCATACCCTTCAAATATGGGTGCACAGAAAACGGATTTCAATTTCTTTACTACATCGGGACTTATAGGTGCCGATCCGTTCAACATAGCTCGAACATTTCCTCCAAGGATTTTCTTGGCCTTGTTGAAAACCAGTTTATCCCAGAAAAAGTGATAAGGAATACCATTGTTGTTTAGCTTTTTTATTTTATGTTCCAGCCCCTTATTGAACACAGATTGAACCACTGATGATTTTTTTTTTAATGAATTAAATATCCTTTCGTGGATTCGGTTGTACAATCTCGGCACGCTAATAAACAAAGTTGGCTTCAACTCTTGAATGTCTTCCACTAATGTTTGCACATTCCCTGCGTAGTAACCAGTTCTCACCCCTTGTGCACAAAAAACAAGCATCATAATTCTTTCATATATATGGGCCAGTGGTAGGTACGAAATGTGGGTGTCATTTTCGTTTATATCCAAAAGGGGCAATCTTGAAGGGCCTGTTATGGAGGAAGCTAGCTGAGCTATGAAATTTCCGTTTGTCATTATAACCCCTTTGGGGTATCCCGTAGTTCCAGATGTGTAACATATACATGCAACGTCCTTTAAATTGCCTGGTCTCGGTTGTTGTAACTTCTTCTTCCCAGCTGCGATTAGATCTTTCCACAGGATAATTTCTAGCTCGTATTCTTCACAGGCCTCTTTGACATCTGCATCTGCTTCGTTCTCCACCAAAATCAGTTTTCTTAAATAGATGCGTTCACACGTATCCAGCGACTTGAACAAATTCATGGCACATGTTTTGTTGCAAATAATTGTCTGCATTAAAGTCTGTTCTAGAATAAATTTACTCGATTCTATACCTAATGAATCGTACAATGGCACTGTTACTATGTTAAATGCACTGCAACTCAAATCGCAAATGTTCCACTCTTCACAGTTTGGCATGTAGAACCCTAGAAATCTTGCCCTCGTTACTTTTGTGTCATCACATCTGATCATTGGACATGCATTCGTATTCACTAAACCTGATCCTACTGCTAAAACTAATTCCTTTACTTCCGAGAATGACTTCCATTTGTATGGCCCAAACTTATTATCCATCTTCACTCGAGTGCCAAAACAATCTCGGTCCTTGTACTTCGTTACCAGCCCGTCAAACAATTCCCACACATTGTTCAATGGCTTATCTTGGAAGTTGGCCACCAGTTTGTCCTTATACTGGGGGTTCCTGTACGTCCCCGTGTCGTCCTTATTCTTGGCCTCGCTGACCTTCACAGAATACACAAGTTTTCCTGTAGTCGTAAACATTCTCTCTTATGTGGAAAGCTTATTCGCAAGTTGAATTAGCAGGGACCCTGTGGCGCCGCGCGCGGGAAGAGTCGCCTTCTGGGCAAAACTAAAAAAGGGAAAGAAGCAAAACGTGAAAGGGAGATATTACTATGTGATGCCTAGCGGAATGAAGTTCACACACACGTTGTAGCATAATCTTCCTCGCAGGATCCAATAGACCCCTCCTTGATAACTGTGTGCCTTTTCAAAAGCTTTTACGCAACAAGGCATACACAGAAAGGAGTCACCCTGTCCGCTAGGTATAACTATTCACGCAAAATAACAAAAACAACACTGCTACACATTTATTTAGCGCAGTATATATTTGCAACACGATCTCAAAACTTGAGATAAAGCAAAACAGGTGCAACACGCGCAAAAGGCCAAATTGGTAACCTCCACATGCGCGATGTGGACGTTGGGGGTTAAACTTACCTCGACGATTAATTTACCACTCTGTGATCTGGTGCTGAGTTGTCAAAACAACAGTGCGCTTTTCTGTAGGCAGAAAAAAAAAAAAAAAAAAAAAAAAAAATGCCAAAATCTGGGTAAAACTTCAAAATGGAAAGGCACAAAAAACTTCGTTTAGATATACACCTAAGAAAGAAGTAACACTCTGAGATCCTATACATCTATGATCTTATGCGAACGAACGCGGTAGCATGCGTCCACGTATCAATATGGTGCCCTTATATATATGTACATGTGTACGTACGTATGTGCATGTATTATGTGGGTGTATAAATCTTTGCAGATGACTCGGTCGTCAGCAACTTGGCTCCTCCCTGGGATGTGCGTTCCGAGAGATATGTAACAAAAATTGGCGCAAAATGGGATGTTAAAATGGAACATAAAATGTGAAGATGCAATATGCCGCTAAAAATGCGAAGCTAAAAGCGCTACTTCAATGTGTGCGTCAAAATTAGAATAAAAACGACGGAAAAAGGGTTGCTAAAAAAGTTAAATATGTAAAGTCAACAGTGCTTTTTTTTTTTTTTTTTTAATGTTCTTCATTAAACACATTCGTTAAAAAAGCCTGATGGAAATCATTCCTTTTTTTTTTTTTTTTTTTTCCTTTATCTGTTTTATATTGATAACAATGTTCGTTCACATTCAAATGTATTATTTGTATACACGCTGTGTTAATGGGGCGTACATCTTAGCTCTCTAGCTAATGTAATATTGCACACGTGTTAGATGGCATGCATCCGCGGACCATGCCTTCCGATTATCCCAAGCGCGTTGGGTGACACATTCCTGTAATTTTTCTTCAAGTACAAGTTAATGATTGCAAATGTGAGCGTAATATTTTTTTTTTTTTCTTTCCTGCAATTCTAAATTGGTGTTTACGTGCTATACATTGTTGTATTCAAAAAAAAGTACATGAATGAACAATTAACAATTTTTTTTGTTTTTTATATATTAGCTTAATGTAAGTAAAAAAAAAAAAAAAAAATTACTTTCATTTTTCTCCATCAATACATACTACCCGATTTGCCCACAGGGTGTGCTGTCACAAATGACGATTTTTTTTTTTCCTGTGTTCGTATATTTTTACACACATAAAATTTTTCCAACGGTTCGGTTTGTTCGTCCCATAAGCATTGCAAGTGTTATCTGCGCCATTGCTCAGGTGGGACAAAAAATTTTATTTTATTATTTTTTTTTTTTTTTGTCAATGTTCGACAGGTCAATTTTTATTTTGCAACTTTTCAAGGGTGTAAAATTATTAACATTTTTTTTTTTTTTTATGTTCCCCAGGGGGTAGCTTTTCGACCAGTCCACAACTATTTGAAAGTTAAAAGTGGGCGTCTAGGAAAATGATGGCCTATTTGCTAACTCGGAAAAAATTAACACGGGTAGGCGATGTACGTAAACTGGCGCGTAAATCCCGAATGGATATAAAAGCGCCCATGTCGTCTGCAACACCAAGTTCACAGACAAAGGACAGTTCGTCTTACACAACGATGAGCTACATGGTGCGCATACCACGTCATATGCACATCATGTCGTGCGTACAAAAATTAAATTACAAGTTGTACGTTACCTCATTTTTTATAATTCGAAAGGAACGAAATGGGGAACACGGATTTAATAAGTGCTTCTCCCCTTCGTACTTGTAGGCCCAAATTGCAAAAAGGGAAACGGCAAAAAGAATTCACAACTACTTTTAAACAAAATACAGTCTGGGAAATCCCCACTGGATCGCAGAAAAATTCGATTTTTTTTGTTGTACACCATTTTGCGAACAAATAAAGTGAATTTTTACGCCCTTGGTACATTAACAAACGGGGTTTTATTGAATCCCCATTTTACGCAATGCATGTGTGCACAAAGACAGATGCTCGTTTTCAGGTCAGTTTCTACATATATCCATATGTCGTCTTTATCCGTCAGAGAAAAGAACTCGTTTTGCATGTTCGATTTGATAGAAGGTATTTACTAAATTATATTCCCATGGTGACAAAATACTTAGCCGTGCGACACGGCACAACCTGTGTTGTAACTGCCGAGGATTGTAACTAATGTGTTACTTACTCAACTGTGAAAGGGCAGTTGTTGCAGTTGCCACAGCTAAACGTAATTCTCCTTATCATTTGTGGAGGACAAAGGGTTACAGGTTATAAACTTATCCAAGAGTAACATAAATTGGGTGCATTTTCAAACTGGAGAAAAAAAAGAAAGAAAAAGTTGGCACGTTTTTCTCACCTTCATAGAACAGCACATATTTTGCGCATCCATTTTGTTCGCGATGTTGGGACAACATATTGCAGAGTCGGCCGTTTCCTCCTACATTCGCACAATGGACATGTTATAGCTATTGCAGGTTACCTTAATTCATTTCCCTTTTCCACTTTCTCATGTCGAGTGGCAAGACCAGCTAACCACTTTTCTGCCCAAAGGACCTCGTTCACCCGCTCATGGCGCAGGCATGTACTTTTTACACTATTTCAAAATGATTATATATATTTTAATATAATATTAATTTTTTTTATTTTGGAACTGTCTCATAGAAAAAAAAACGTTTTGCTTATAGCACACATATTTTAATAAAACAAGAAAAACAGGCGAAATATCATGGGGGAGCGAAAAAATTTTTAAAACAAAAATGGAACTTTAAAAATAAAGCGAAATAAAACATTACTCAAGAAAGTTGAGACAAATAATTGGTACTTAATATAAAAAAAAAAGGTGCGAAAAAAAAATAGGCAGAGGAAGAAAACCAAGTGCAGGCAAAAAAAAAAAAAAAAAAAAGAAACTTACGCATGTGTTATACAAATATATACGAATATATACAAATATATAAAAACATACATAATACATGTATAACATTCTTAATTATATGCTTATTATGGAAAAGAAGAAAAAAAAAATGGTATACTTTCCTATTGTCTACATATTACACACGTTATGTATGATATATGTCACATGCCTTATTACATACATATGGGGGTACACATATATAACTTTTACACCGGGAAAAGTGTAGGGGTGAGGACGGGTGCTCACGCGGGAACCTGAACTGATATCCACGCGGACACTCCTCAAAAAATATATATATGTAAAAAAAAAAAAAAAAA